CGGGCGAGGCGAGCAGAAGAGGAGCGAGATTTCTCCGGCGCGCTGATTTCCATCGATCGCTCGAAATCCCAACTGGAACTGGAGCGGCCAAGGTGCCGTGAACAAAAGTGCCCCGAATCCCGGCATTTTTCACGACGTCTCACGAATCTGCCGCGCCGGCTGCGTGTCTGACGCGCAATTAGTCACGCCTCGCGTGTAAACTAACGAGAAAACGCGCGGCTATCACACGGCTTATTCACCGCGCGATCCGTCGCGTCGTCGTCCACGTGGGCGGCCGATGGAACCCTCACGTCGTCGATCGGCTCGGAAACCTTCGACCGGACGAGGGCGCGAGTCTCGCTCTTTGACACGAGCCGTGTCGTCGCACGAGCGAGAGTTGGCATTGCGGCGGTGGCGGCGATCGGGCGACCCCCGACGAAAAAGAATGACAATCGTCGAGGGCTGCTCGACCGGGTGTCGATAATGAGTCCGACTGCACGGCGAGGCGCAATGCTCGAAAAGGCGTCCCGGGATCGGATCGCCTTCACGACGGGTGTGTCTTTGGGGCGATCGCGATCGCGATCGCGGACTCGCTTTCACTCGCCCGCTCCTGCGAGAGCGCGCAGCCTCGTTTCACGATCATTAATAACCGGCGACTCGCGTCGCGGCGCGATTGTTAGCGCTCGAATATCGCGGCGAAAGGGTTGACGGCGAGGAGGAGGAGGAGGAGGGGGCCGGGGCGGGCGGAAGCTCCTTTCTTTTCTCTCTCCCTCTTTCTGTCGGTCCCTGTCGCGTTCTCTCGCTCTCTTCTCTAATAGCGCTCGATTTCGTCCTGGCGCGTTTCGATTTCGAATCGAGTTCTCTCTTTGTGTGTCGCCTCCTCGGGTCACTCGAGCGCGCACAAAGGATATACGTTTCTCCCGACTGCAGCGGCCCGATGCGACCGCTGCAGCTGCGAGGCCACGGGGGTGGAAGGGTACAGTCGCGAAAGAGAGAGGAGGCGGGAGGGGAGGCACTTGATCGCAGCTCTAATTAGCCAGTCGCCGGCGAACGGAGCGGAATAATTTCGTAGCCGCGGCGGACTCCTGATCGCTGGACGATTTCAACGGTACCAGGGCCTGCTCCTGGACGATCCGATAGCATCCCTGGTCGTGCGTATTCCGTGCGAACACGCGGATCCTGCAGATCGTTTTCGTCGCATCTCTAATTCGGCGTCGATGTCTCCCGGAAAGAGACGCAATGCCCGCTCTTGAAGCGTGAGAGCTTCGAAGTCTGGAGTCATTCTTGCAGCGTTTCTTTCGGCGACCCGCCACTTTATTATGGGCTTTTTACGATCGATCATTAGGCAGGGAGAGAGACAGGAACACGACTCGCTGGGGGCCGCCGAAATTCTCCGGCGTGGAGTTTCCGTGGCGTATCTTCATGCCGCCGCCGCGCCGTAAACCGGGAATTAATTAGCAGGTAGCACACCGGCTGCGAGCACCCGGGGATTTTTATGAGCCCCGTAAAAAGCCGATTCGGGGGTCTCCTCGCGCGCGATCGTCCTTTCTCCTCTCTTCTCCTCTCCTCTCCTCTCCTCTCGTCTCGTCTCGTCGCGAGAGACACGATTTGTCCATATTGCCAACGGCGAAGTAACTTTAATACGCCTGATTTTACGGAGTTTTCCAGGAGAGACTCTTACTCAAGTCCTGTGCCACGGGACATCGTCCGAATTGGCGACATCAGGGGCGAGAAAATCCATTAGAAAAGTTGCCGCGAATTGCGTCGAAATAAAATGACACCTGCGATCGACTGAGCGCGTTTCTAAAATGCCGCGGAAACTTTCTCTCCTCTTGCTGCGACAATCAATAACTGTAAATTTCACGATGTGCTCCTCCTCTCTTCACGATTGCCAGTGTCATTTTATATCTTTGCACGTCCTTTTTCCCTCGACTAGGAGGAACTTTTAACACGTATTTCCTCGCTTCTGACGTCGTCATTCAAAGTGGCCTTCGGCGAGGCCTCAAGAGTAACAGGCAATGAGTAATGTAATTATGTAACTGCGTGTGGAAATATGTGTATATTGTGTAAAAACTAATAATAGAAACTTTCTCCTTTCGGGAGGGGAAATTCCAATACATACACACACACACACACACACATACACAGGCAGCAGTTTATCCTTGAGGGCCATCGCGCAGTCGACGGGGATTCGAAATAAAGCGCGCTTAAGTCGTTGTTGCTATTAATCTCGACTGCACGCGCAACGAGATGCTAATTTATCCGCGAGGATAACTCGTCCCGACGACGCGTACGGCACGAGCACCCTCGTCCAGCGCTCGTCCTTAGGTAATTTTCCATGTGCGCAGCCCGTTCCATAACGCCTCGCTCATACCGCCTCCTCCTCGCGTCCTCCTCTCACGCGCGCGGCCCGGAATTGCTCCAATTCAGCCGGGCGTTTACTCTCCCGAATATCTTTATTTTCCGCGCACGGCGCGTCGTAAAAAGGGCGGGACGTACGCATTAAGGTTTTACAGCTGAACCTGCGACGGCGGTTCACCACGACTGGTGAACGCGCAACCACCGATGGGAGAAACCGCGTTCTCGCAAAGTCATCGTGGTCGTAACGAGCCGTCGGGCGAAAATACGCGATACATTGTGGACCGGCCGCGATGTATTCAATCACTCGCTTGCACGCTTATCGCCGAAAAACGAGCTCCGACGACGAGCGCAAGCTCTCGAGATTGTCGCCGGTCGAATTACCGGGTGTCCGAAGCAGATCGTGTCGTCTCCTTAAGGGGAGAATTATATGCGGAGCAGGCTGCTTTCAAGGCTATTTTTACGAATTTTTTTAACAGAAACGGTAAGATCAGTGAACTTGAAATTCTCACAATGTATTCATTAATGTTCAAAGTATAAAATAAATTTTACTGAATCACAATAACCGATCCAACTTGTAATTATAGATAAAAATGCAATCATTGGTTTGCGAGCTCTGTGTTTGCTATCGACATAATTCCGAACCTCTCACTACTCTGAAACGAAAAAAATGAGAAAGATTTTTAAAATATTGCCACTATCATATATAGCCACTATCAAAATATAGCCCATATCAAAATGAAGGCAGTGAAGCCAAGTTTGGAAAAATAATGACTGTACAAAAAAAAAAGTATCGAAAATGGAACTTTTTTTCAACTTGTAATTATGTTTAGAAAAAATGAATAAAATAAAATATAACTGTGTTCAAGGAAGGGGCGAGAATTACATGTCTACTGTATATTGTGTAAAAATTTCAAGTTGTTCGGTTCAGTAGTTTTTGCGTAATAGTGTCGACAATTTAAGAAAATGGTATTTCCAGATAAACGCGTTTAAAGTTTGTTGTGTACTTCCCACATAGATATAGTAACAAATTTATTTTATATTTTGAACACTAACGAATATGCTGCAAAAATTTCAAATTCATTGATCCTACCGTTTCTGTTAAAAAAATTCGTAAAAATAGCCTTGAAAATGGCTTGCTCCGCAGGTAATTCCCCCCTTAAAACGACATAAACGTGCATTTCGTTTGTCTGTATTTTTTCCCATCTGCATCTCAAAATAACGATGCATTTTGCAAAAGGCGTCTATTGTCGCTTGTATCCGTACGAGGCGATAGTAAATCTACGAGAAAGGATATTCCCTGCGCTTCTCTGACAGGGTCGCCGTGAAATATTTTTCGAATAAATAGCGGGAAATGTCCTCGGGGAGCTTGTCAGCAGAGAAGGGCAATCCTGCCGGGAGAAAAGTTCACTATCAGAAGCCAGAACGGTGAATTCGAGAGCACCTTGTATATGTGCGTCTAGAGGAACCCTTCCCTCGAGAATGCGCGCGCGTAATCCGAGACTCTTGTGCGAGGCAACCATTTAAACCGCTGACCGTAAACAGAGAAGCCGACGGAGAGCCTTCAGGAGGCACCGTGGGTTCTTGTAAGGGCGTTAATTACGGGGCTGCTTTCGGTTTCTTCTCCCCCGGCCGATTTCCGTTGCCGGAAACGGACCGCCTCTCGCCGGTGCAAAGGAGTAACGAACAACGAGCGGACGTCGAGTGCGGCGCGACCATTTAACTCTCGGCCGAAGTGGAGCAAAATATAACTCGTGTTTCCTCTCTCTCTCTCTCTCTCTCTCTCTCTCTCTCTCTCTCTCTCTCTCTCTTCGTGCTTGAGAACTGTCGTCGCTAACTAGCTGGAACTCGCGAATATTCCTAGGCACGCTTACGTAGAAACGAAGACACTTAACGGGACGGCGCTTCGGAGAAATCCGCGACGATAAAGTGCGCTGGATCTTCAGCAACGCAATCACTGACGGGCGTGATTGATTCCCTCGGCGATTTGAAGAAAATCTCCCAGCGCGTCCACTCCTGCGTTTCATCAATCCTATGCAAAATTATTCCAAAGAGAACGAGAGAGAGAGAGAGAGAGAGAGAAGGGAAATTCTTCTCTCCCGCAAAAAATTACATTCCAGAAAGAATAGATTTTCTCTCTTCGTGTATGAGAAACCACGTCGAGGTAAATTTTTCTCCTCTACGTAAAATTACCCCGACGCGTGCGATGTGAAGAGGGGGCGTTCTTCTCTTTTCCAGAAAATTATTTCAGGAAGAATTCTCTTTTCGTTTTCCTCTCTCCTCAATCGCTCCGCGCGAGCGGGGATTTATCTCTCGCGAATGTTACTTCCAGATGTGCATTTTTTTCACGACTCGCGAAATGACGGTGCTCGCTTTTGCGAAATTAACTGTAACTTTGCGCGACCGAACGTACGAGGGGGGAGCGAGGGGGCAGAGGAGGGAGAAAGAGAACCAGTCGAAAGAACGTATCGCATTACTCGCTCAATGACAGAGTCGGTGGGAACTACTGAAACGCGGACTGTGTAATCATCGGCGCAACGTGCTTCTCGGCTTACTTGGCCGCGCGCGGCCGAATTACCGGGTGTGCTCGAAACACGACACGCCAATTACCATTGCTGCCGTGCAAGCACGCACTCACGTGAGTTATTTCGGTTCTGTTTCAGACACATCGTACGAGAAAGCCTGCCGAAGGGGTAGCGCGCCCGCCACCCCTGTGCTCGGCGCGCGACCCTTGGATGTCACCCCGAATAGGATCGTCGTAAGTAAACTTCATTATCCGCGCGCGCTAATTCGTTAACGCGTAATCGGATATTTCGCTCGTGTGTCGCGTCACGATAATTCCCGGCTCTATTTCCGCCGTGTGTATGTGTGTGCGAACGCGATGTGACACTTTATTAGCGTTATTGCGCGAATCGTAATTAAGCGGCAGATCCGCCGCGGCGACCATCCAAAAAAAAAGTAATTTCAGAACAAGTGAAATCACTTAAATTTTAGAAGATTTTATTCTTATTTACGGCCTCAAGAGAAGGTCCTCTGAGATTAAGAGGAAAATATTATAAACACATTATTCTTAAAGTTAGAAGGATTATATGTTATATCTGTAAATCTTATTGACTTTAATATAAATTTCTTCTTATATACAGATTATTTAATCTTTATTTTTTAAGAGGATTATTATTTATTCTTACTGTACTTTATTCTTACTGATTATACTATGATATTACTATTTATACTGATTATACTAGTTAATTTGAAAAAATTATTATAATAGCACAAAGTAATGTACATATTGATGTATTTCTAGCTCCGGTTCTACAATAATAAGTAGGCACAACTGAAATAAGATCATCATAACAAATAAATTTTTAATCAGTTTTGTTCAGATAGACTTCATAGCTACAAAGATGTTTATCATAACCAATTGTATGAAACATAATTAAAAGAAAGAATATATTATTCAACTTCATGCGATAGATTATAAACTGTATTTGACCAAATATAGGTAAATTATCTTCGTTATATGTTACAACAACACACGTACCTTTTTTTAAAAAACATTCTAAATATTCAGACCCGTATGGTTATTTTTCCGTTCATGTCTGAAGGTAGAACATGACTGAGCAAAAGAAGCCGGCATTCAAATCAACGTATTCCTCTTCATGTAAGAGGAAAATTAATGGATATGAGAGGGAATTCTCTTGAAATAAGAGGAGAACAGTTGGAATAATATCTAACAAATTTTAAATGAATGGTTCACTTTAGTCGCTTTACCGAAAGAGAAATCCTTTTCCCGTAAAAGGCTTCGCTTAGAATAGAATGAGAGACTATGGGAAAAATCATTTTACGAATAGAATATTTTTTTTGGATGAGCGCACTTGATCGCGAGATCCTTCGGATCGTGTTGTACACAGGGTGTGTCTGTCAGGTACAAAAATCCTAAACATCCTGGAAGATTTTATCCTTCCACGCACCTTCCCTCTTAATGGAAAAAAAAAAAAGAAACAGCGAGTGCGTCGGGCGTGAAATGTAGAACTTTCGACCAGACACACGCTCATCTTCACGCTCATCGTAAATTTCCACTTGTCCACCCCGAAGTAGCTGAAGATATCCCCGATGGGAAAAATTTCCCCGTGCGATTCGAGGTAATGCGAAGCTGCAGGCGGGGGGGGGGAAGGGGGGGAGACTTTGTACAAACGGCGATCGGCGCATGATCGATTCCACCTGCCGACACGACAAAATACCTCCGAGATCTCAGCGAGTTCCTCCGATCGCTTCGCGCGGAACTTTTCCCGCGGAATCGCAAAAAGAGGAAGAGAGCGAAAGAGGAACGCTAATAATCCGCTCGTGTACTTTCGTGCCGCTTCTCGCGCATGCGCGCGGCTTAAGCGCTCGGCCTAACCCGAGGTGCATGCATACATCACGCCATTGACGGCTCATGAATGGGAATCGATTTTCCGGGACGAAGGACTTCCTGGGGATAGCAGAGAATGCAGCTTGCTCGTCGGCCAACTTAATGCCCGGCGCGTTGAATATTCACGAGATTCCGCCGGGCGGGCCCCAAAATACTCGCGCGGCCATCAATTCGCGCGCACGATACGTGTAATTGGTCGTTCACGCGCGCGCATCCCGAGACGACGACGACGACAACGATGACGACGACGACGACGGCGACGAGTTCAGCGATCTCATTTTCCACGGCGCTAACTCGACGTTAACCGATCCGGCTATATTTAACGTCGCGCGCCGCGACGCGGGCCGCGCTCGCGTCTCTCCCGGACAATTTCACGTTCATTTAATTTTATCGGACCAGGAGGAGGGGGGGCCGCAGGGCTGAATTTACCGTCCGATTACATCGGTCCGACGATCGACGCGACGATGAAGGCGTCACGAGTTTTCCCATTCCACGACAATCGGCCGCGCGCGAGATCTCGCGGTTGAGCGCGCGTTTACGGCTCGTCCTCGCGTGATCCTCGAGAAGGAGAGAGAGAGAGAGCCGCGGCGGTCGCGTGTCGCGAGCTCTCTCTTCTCCGCCGAAGAGTGCATCAGCCTCGCAGATTAGATCTCGTTTAGCGCGCGCGAGCTCGCTGTCGGAGATTTACCGGCGTTTCGACGTTTCTCGCGGCGACGCGCCGCGATTAATACCGTAGCCGTGTCGGATGCGTTCTCGGCGGCCTGATACCGCCCTTGAAGAAGGTGCACCGCGATACCACCGACCTCTCGACCTCCCGCTAACGGAACGACGCGCCGTCGTCGCTCTTCGTCGTCGTCATCGTCCCGCTCCTCGAGCGACATTCGTGACCTCGCGCGACCTGGCACGGGCCGTTTCCGGCCTTTTCCCCGCTCGAGGTGTGCCAGAAATGCCCCCTACCCCCTCCCCCGTGGCCATTCACGCTTTGCTCGCCACTCACGGAAGCGGGACTTGCTTCTTCCGATCACGTAGCCCACGAATCTTCCGGCGTCGGCTCACTCGGCGAGGCGTTAACTGCCTCGACTATCTCTCATCTCCGCCGCGGGAGAGTAACGCGGCATTTTCGTATCTCGAGAGAGCGTCCTTCCCCGCACTTCGCGCATCCTTGGGGTCGGGTTCCTCGGGAACACCTTTCGAGGCTGCGCACCTTTCGAGGCAGATGCGCGCGCGGCGAGCCGAGAGAGAGAGAGAGAGAGAGAGCCGCGCGCGCGACACATTGTCCGGGAAAACGCGCGCGATATCGCGCGGGATTCCCCTCGTAAACGCAGATTTATCCGTATTATCGGCGCGCGCGAGCCGCTCCGCGCTCGTGCGAAGGCAACGCGGAAAATATCGATCGGACTTTGGTGCCCGCGCGAGCAGGTGTTCTCAATTCTCACGTGCGCGGCAGCCTCGATCCTCGAGCGAGCGTCTTCCCGCGGAGAGTTTTCCCGCGGCGGAAGACTCTCCCGCGCGCTTCTTCCTCCGCGCGCTCGTCCTTCCGCGGCAGGATATCTCGCTCGAAGCCACGCGACGCTCGAGGATAACTGTAAACTGCTAAACGAACAAATAAGTACGACGGCGTGTCTCGCGCGGCCGAGCGGACGAGGCCGTCGTTGTTTTGTCGTTAATGGCGGCGACGGCGATTCCGCAGGAGAGGGAGAATCCTGTCCGTCCGTCCTGGGACTGTCGCGAGACGGCCCCGCTCGTAACGCTAAATTTCCGCGGCGTATGAGCCGCGATACGTCGCGCATCTTATTGTTGGCCGATCGCATAAACACGTCGGATTTATACTCGCGGTCGATTCTGGAAACGCCTCGGAAGACGGCGAGGACGCGAGAGGAAGCGAGGACAGGAGAAAGATGACGGGATATTTTTTCGGGGGGCGGGCGAGGGGGGGGCTAGAACGTCGTCGCGCGCGCGCGTTTTTACGGCGCTCGGCGGTTTACGCATCCAGGCCGTTCGTCGACGTCGTCGACGATCGAAAGGGGTCCGTGGCTCGAAGGGTTTTCGAGGAACAAAAGGAAGAACGGACTGGTTTCGGGGGGCGAACCGTGACAAGCACGTCGTTTCCGGTGAAGCTACGTCGCGGCGGCCACCGCGCTCGCGAGACGAATTATTCCCTCTCGCGAGATCTCGATCGCGCCGATGCCCGATGAGACGAAAAAGCGCCGGCGAGTGTCGATGAGAAGAAGCCCCCTCGTTGAGATTCCTAGTCAGTCCTTCGCCCCCCCCCCCTCCGCTCGGAAGTCTCCCCCCTCTTGATATGCGTCGGCGATATCGATGCTTCCTCTTTGGAAATTAGCGGAGCAAAGCGACACGCTTCGCTCGGACGTCGGATTGAACCCGATCGAACCCCGTCGCAAGGTCGCAGGGAGGGCAACCCCCCGCGCTAATATCTTCAATGCGTCCGACGTCTCGCAGAGGATTTTTTGCGCGGAACGCTTTCTTTTTTCCTTTCTTGCACATCCGAACGGAGCCGCGCTGGGGACCGTCGACGTGGGTAGTCGGTGGCGGAGATCGGCGGAGCGTAGCGTAACGACGGGCGAACTTACGCGCGCGTTACGCGCAACAAAGGAAAACGTTCGGGACGTCTCGATCGACCGCTCATTCCGTACGTGCGGCACGTACCACGGACGAGAGAGAGAGAGAGAGAGAGAGAGAGAGAGAGGGGGGGGAGAGAGAGAGTGGGACCGGTTGCAGATGCAATCAGCGGACGCGCGCACCAACGACGCGCGGCAGCCTCCGAGTTTGAGAACCCCTCGTCGAAGACGTTTTTGTCCTTACCGGTGTCGGGTACGAGAAGCCCGTCCATAGATGAGGGACTCCGGGGGTAGCGGCGGGGAAAGAAGGGAGGGTGACCCGTTTTGCCTCACCTGAATGCAGGGGCAGGGTTTTCGGTCGCGGGACAAAGGTGCGCCCCAAGGATCCCTTGACTTCGGCTACCCGGATGAGCCGACATCTGCGTCAGTCGTCGGCGAGATTTTGCCGCGAAATCGCGACCGGAGAGAGATTCGCGAAGTCGAGCGCCACTCGCCGTCGGAGGAGGAGGTGCTGCTGCTGCTGCTGCTGCTGGTGTGTCATCGACGTATCGACGTCGTCGCGGTTGGAAAAGTTTGTGCGTTGAATTGAGATGAACCGCGCGAGTGCGTGTCATCCTCCCGCGGTTCTGCCTTCGATCTCATCCTTACGCCTGGCGTTGCCTTCCCCACCGGCTCTCACCTCGGCTCACCGGAACGGTCGCCGTCGCCTTCGGAGAATCGTCGGAGACGTGTAATCGTCGACGTGACCGGTGTCGCGCGATCGCGCGATTCCAATTAATGCGCTTGACAGGAGCGGCGAAGGATCCGCGCGTGAGGGGGAAGCGACGTGTGTCACATTGCGAGCGAGGAATGCAGGATTTGAATGAGCCGGCACGTACGCATCTTCTCTTCCGTCGATCGATACGAAGTTATGTAAAAACGGACGACGCGTCTCCGGAGAAGACGCCGAGGAGAGAGGCGAGAAGGATGTCTTTTAAAGTGTTTTACTAAACAACCACCGACTCATCCCAGCCGCTCGCTTTTGTCGCTCGCGACCAGTCTCGTTGTCCTCGGCCACGTGTCCTCGCGCCGGGACTCATCAGGCTGAGTCGCGAAGTCCGAGTCGCGGGCGAGAAGCGCGTCGAGAGTTTAAAGGCCCGTCCGATTTAAATTGCCCCGACGCGAGAGGAAGGTCCGGAGGGCGTGTCCTTCCCGGCCGGCAGGAAGAAGCTCGACCTTCCTTCTCCGCGGTCGTAAGGACGGCCGAGCGTACCTGAGAGCGCCCCTACGAGAATCCCGAGAATCCTTCGTCCCGGTCGCTGCAGCCAGCTGGCGCCTCGCGGCTCCGTCGAAAGTCGAATCCTTTCTCAGGAGCCGCCGGCTGGAAAGTACCTGGCGAGTACCTGCGAAATCTGGACGCGCGAATTAGACTGACGTCGGCTCGGCTTCACGTTGCGTTGGGTGTAACGAACACGTTTTACTACGCGATGATCAGGAAGAACGCGCATTTCTCGGCGACGTCCGAAGGACGCAAGGAGCGGAGTTCGCAGGATTTTCTGGAAGCGACAGGGAGCCTCCCGGTGGCATCGACGACACTCCGCAGGTCCGTTGGTGTTTAATCGCTGGGACACCTGGGCGAACGCTTGCAAGAGCGGTCGATCAGACATCGATTCAGCGGGACGATCCTGACGATGTTTACGTGTTGATCACCTGATTGACGAGCAGTCAGTCGTCGGTACGAGATGCGTCTCTGTCGCGAAAACCAGAGTTGCTGCAACGAGCGACGAGCGACGAAAGTGGACAGGAACTCGAGCGGCATACCATGAAGACCGGCGGCGTAACCGCGACAATGTAGCTCCGCATAATTGCACGTCATGAAGTGACACGCTGTGGCAAATATAGACGAATCGAGAGCGTGGCCGGCCGTCGAAAAGCGCCGAGCGTTGAGGACGACGGGTCGACTTGAAGATGCAACGAGGATGAAGAAAGTGAACGTGAAGGTGTCCCAAGAATGGCGACTCGGAAACATCGCCGTTGCGCGATATAAGAGGCGCCATCGTTGAGTGTTTTTCCCGCGGAATCTCTTGGTCAAGTTTGCGACCGGGAGCGCGAGCCGGAAGATGTGCGTGAAACCTATGGAGGAGAACGAAGACGAGAAGGTTGTCAGCATGATCTTCAACTACTTCACCGGGAGGGTAAATATCGCGAAGCGCCGCCGTCGCCGATCGAAGTACTCGCAATTCTCGCGACTCGCGGCGTCACTCGAGCAAGTGCTCGTTCTTGTGCTTCACCTCAGCGCCCAACATGAATGTCCTTCACCGTGTCCTTGAAGTCGTCGGTCCCCTTTCCTGCGACTCGCTCTGTGTACAATTTTCTGCTCGCGTCAGACCCCGCGCGCGGCACTCTCCACAACGGAGGCTCACGCTTTCTCGTTTCAGAACTTCTTCTCGAAGAGGTCGTTCCGCTCGAACCCCCTGAAGAGGACGAAGAGCGTAACGAAGCTCGAGAGACAGAAGCAACGGGGCGCAGGGCTACGGGGTTGCCGCTCGCACGAGTCTCTTCTTTGCGGCCAGGCGGTGACCTCGATGGACCTCGCGGCGGTGACGCCGCTACATCCCAGTCTCCTCGGCAGGCCGCACTGCTTCCAGGTCACGCCAAGCACCGGCGGGCCCAAGTATTTCAGCTGCAGAACCGCTCACGAACGGGACCAGTGGTTGCACAGGTCGGTGGGACGGGACGGACGTCGCTCCGTTCGCTTTTATTCATCGTCAGCCTGCTTAACCCTTTGAAGCACGAATTTTTCTATGCAATAAAAAAGAAACTGATTATGTAAATAGGGGTTTCCTGGGTCGCTGATTACGAATCTGGAGTCAAAATTTTAAAATTCAAACTGGCGGATTCAATATGGCGACTTCAAATGGCAAACTTCGATATGATATTATGGATATATATCAAACTCGGTATATACAGGGTGCTAAATTTCAAACGTAACAGGTACAAAATCTCGAAAACTATGAAAGATATTAAAAAAGCTAAAACACGTGTTCCATGATTTCGAAGGGGAAAGAGAATAGCATTATCAGTTTTTTATTTTATATAGTTTTATATTATAAATTATATATTATATTATATGTTTTATATTATATATTATATATTATATATATTTATATAGTTTTATATTATATAGTTTTGGAGGGTCATTTTCAGGGTCAGTTGAAGGTCAACTTAATTTTCTAAAATAGAAAGCCCAATTTTTCATTATACCTTCTTTTTCTACCAATTAATTTTAACAACTTTTGTCTGAAACATTTTTTTATTTGCCTAATATTTTTTGAAATATTTAAAGAAAACTTGGTAACTTTTTCAACATTTAACTTACGATATCTCGCTAACTATCTGTCGAAAGAAAAAATAGTATTAAACTTTTCTACTTTATTCACTATCAAGAATATATTACTATAATAGTGTCCTAATTTTTGTTAATTTAATGATTTTGAAATTTCCGAAGGTCGATAAGTTAACAAAAGTTAGGGCGCTATTATAGTAATATATTCTTAATAGTAAATAAAGTAAAAAAGTCTAATATTACTTTTTCTTTCAACGAATAGTTAGCGAGATATCGTAAGTTAAATGTTGAAAAAGTTACCAAGTTTTCCTTAAATATTCCAAAAAATATTAAACAAATAAAAATATGTTTCAGACAAAAGTTGTTAAAATTAATTGGTAGAAAAAGAAAATATAATAAAAAATTGGGCTTTCTATTTAAAAAAATTAAGTTGACCTTCAACTTACCTTGAAAATGCCCTTCAAATAAAAAACTGATAATGTCATTCTCTTTCCCCTTCGAGATCATGGAACACGTGTTTTAGCTTCTTTTAATATCTTTCATAGTTTTCGAAATTTTGTACCTGTTACGTTTGAAATTTAGCACCCTGTATATGTTTTCTCGATCATAAATGACAAATACAGAGTCGAAATTAAAAAATTCAAAATAGCGGATCCAATATGGCGACTTCAAACGGCTAACTTTGATATGATATTATGGATTTTAATTTCGGAAACCTGATAACAAATTCCATGATCAGCGACCCAAAATACCTCCATGTATCTATTTCTGTCGAAATCGAAGGATTTTGAACAGTTTCCTCCACCACATTGGATCCGCCATTTTGGATTTCGAAATTCTGACCCCGGATCCGTAATCGGCGACCTCAAAAACATAAAATGAACAAGTTTCGTTGCGACCGTTTTCATAGATCACCGTTAAATGAATTTTTACTGAAAAATATATAATTTTATGCAATTTGTTTATATTTACAGAATGCTTAAATTAAAAAAAAATTGACATTTTACATTTTCAGCACGTATATCAATACTTGACATATCTTAGAAGTGAAAAAATTCGGACGAAAATATCAAAAAGATAGCTTAAATAATTAAAAATGAAGAAAGAAAAGATGGGATTGTGGGATCCCAGCATGCTTCGAAGAGTTGAGCTCAGGTCAGTCGCCGGGCAATTTGTTTTCGTCGACGGCCGAGGACGGCCGACACTGATTCCTCCTCCGAGAGAAAGAACATGGAGTAGAGTAGAGTAGAGTAGAGTAGTTTAGTTCAGTTTATTAGCCCCTCGGGATACGGCCTCTTCGGGCGCGTGCGCTAATTACATGCAAATAAGAGATACGTGAGCGAAAAGTCAGTCGAATTCTTTTCCCGCTGGAATTCAACTCGAAGGCATTCGGCAAACCTTGATTTTTATTCGTGAGTCTCCGAAACGTCTCTATTTGTGACGCGTCAGATTTTTCGTGCGCGCGATGGCGACCTTTCGCGTTGGCGATGCGACGCAAGTTCTATTTTGTTTTTCTCTCATTTGCCGCGCAGCCTGCGGAAGTCCGTCCAGCCGGACGCGGAGCAGACACGCCGAACGGACAATTCCCTGCAGATCTGGCTGCTGGAGGCGAAGGGCGTGCCCGCGAAGAAGCGATACTTTTGCGAGGTCTGCCTCGACAGCACCTTATACGCTCGGACGACTGCCAAGTTGAAGGCTGATTTGTGCTTCTGGGGCGAGCACTTTGACTTCCACCACTTGCCCTCCGTCAACACGATCCAGGTTAATCTGTACAGGGAAGCGGACAGGAAGAAGAAGAGGGACAAGAATGTTTTAATTGGTAAGCAGCTCTTCCTAGGTCGCTCATCCAAGCGATCGAAGCGCGGTATTTGCCGGTCCGTGATCAAAGTGCGAATTTCGAGTCGACCGGGAGGCGCGTAATCTGACGTGTACGCGCGTCTAATGTAACATGATCCACCTGTCACGCCTTGTCCCGTCGCAGGTTCCGTCAGCATACCAGTGCACAACGTGACGTCACGTTACTTGACGGAGAAATGGTATCCCGTGGTGGGTGACAAGGGACCCCTCAAGGAACCTCCCGCGCTAAGAGTGAAGTGTCGCTTCCAGTCGGTTGACATACTGCCGGTTCAGGTGTACCAGGAGTTTCTGGAATACTTGAAGACCGATTACGCGTCGCTCTGTGAGAAATTGGAGCCCGTTATCGGCGTGAAGGCGAAGGAGGACATCGCGACCGCCTTGGTGGCGGTGATGCAGCGGGAGAAGAAGGCGCCGCAATTCCTCGCCGACCTCGTCATGATGGACATTCATCGGATAGGTCGGTCCTCTATTACCCGCGCGACCGCTTGTCATGTATAAATACGTTGGCGCGTTCCAGCCGGGAACAATGGGTCGTTATTGCTTGCAATCGGACGATTCGATTAATTTCTAATTCGAAGACTGCCGCCGGTCGGAGGCGCTCCCTGATATACATGCGATGAATGCGACTGGGAAAGAAACAGCCGCGCGCGGTTGCAAGGAATTCCGTACATTCGAAGACATTTAATCTTCATTGTTTCACTCCTAATATGCCTAATCCCCTTCAATTCGGTTCTCATTCAATTTAATTTCCTTCACATCATTCGGTATTGTAGATCGGACAGGAAATGCCATTTGCGCTTACAATTTAATTCTTTCTTCAACTCGGACAATTCCAGATGACGAAAGACTCACGTTTCGAGGCAACTCGCTGGCCACGAAAGCGATGGAAGCCTACTTGAAATTGACCGGAGACAGATACCTGCAGGAGACACTAGGAGCCGTTGTGAGAGGCGCCGTCGAAGGCGGCGATTGCGAAGTGGACCCGCTCAAGGTCGCTTCCGTCGCCGCGTTGCACAAGCAACAGCAAAACCTGCGCAACGCGGTCGAGCTGGCATGGAGCAGGATATTGTCGAGCCACGCTCACTTCCCGCTGGAACTGCGCGAGTGCTTCCGCATCTTCCGCGAGCGCCTGGCCGATATGGGCCGCGAGGACATCGCGGATAATCTCATCTCCGCGTCGATCTTCCTGCGATTCCTCTGCCCCGCCATTCTCAGCCCGTCTCTCTTCAACATCACGCATGGTGAGTCAAAGACTCACGCGATTATCATACTCTGATCGTCGCTAAGACACGTCATTCACCGTTAACGCATATTTTCTTCGACCATTGCGCAAAAGTCGCCGCGTAGAATCAACTTCGCTCGTTTCTTACGAAGGAAAACAAATACCTGTCGTTTCAGAATATCCGAACGAGAAAGCGGCGAGAAATCTGACGCTGGTGGCGAAGACTCTCCAGACGCTCGCGAACTTCACGAGGTTCCAAGGCAAGGAGAACTTCATGGAGTTCATGAACGACCTGCTCGAGCGCGAAGCTCCGTCTATGAAGAACTTCTTGCAACTAATTAGCGTAAGAATTAACATCTCATTAACATCTCGTATTTCTCACTGCAATTACGAGCGCCTACGCTTAAGGAGAAAGAGATCGCTCGTGTACGGTCGCTCTGTGTGCGCTTGTCGAACCTTTCTCCGCGATCACACAGAATTACCAACTGAAGCGAAACGTCTCTTTCTGCCCGACACAGAGCCCACTGCCAAAGGACTCACCGGCCAATAACTCCCTCGAGTTCGACGGCTACATAGATCTGGGCAAGCAGTTGTCCCTGCTGCACGCGCTTCTACGTGAAAGCATGACCGCGATCGCGCCGAGCTCGCCGTCGATGCCGCCGTCGCGACTGCCCGAGATCCTCGACAGGATCTCGCTGGCGCTGGACCAGCCGGGTCCGAGCCCGGTGCCCGCAGCGCATCGTTACCCGAACCTGCAGAACAACATCTTCCGCTACAACGACCCGACGATCGCCAACAGCAACACGAATCTCTCCATCTCGGCGACGTCGACCCTGAGCAACCACAGCACGCTGAACGGCACGATCAGGGACAGCAACGAGGTGCTGCAGACGAGCACGTTGAGCCACAACAGTTCCCGCAGCCCGAACGTCACCAGAGCGGCGACTTTGCCGCGAAATGCTTACATGCCGACGAACGGCAAGCTGCAGCTGCAAATCACCTCGGACGACTATCCGTTCGAGCCACCCGCGTTCGTATCGCGTTCCCCAACGCCGATCACGCGGCAGCACAGACCTCTCGGGCAGAACCGCTCCGGGCCGGGTTACAGACTGACGGCCAGCGCGAGCTTGGCGAACGTCAATCACTGCCAGGCGCACCCGACGAGCCCGACGCGTTCCGAGAGTCACAGCAATCTCAAGGACTCCAACTACAACATCACGTCGCCGCAGAGCAACCAGCCGAGCAACGGCAGCGTCGTCTCGCAGCAGCAGCAGCAGCAACAGCAACAGCAGCAGCATCGACACAACATGGCGCGCTTGCAGAGCCTCGACATCCACGACCGGGAGGACAATTACAATCACAATTACAACGTCTCGAGGTCGGCCAGCCGGAACCATTGCCACAAGGAGGAGAACGCCAATCAGACGCAGCAGCGCAACTACAACAACGTCTCGAAGACCACGGTGAACGCCAACGTGGTCGTCAATCCGCCCACGAATCTCACCCTGTCGATCAATCATCAGCCCAACAACAATTACAACAACACCTCCAAGGCGAACAACGCGCCCGCCAACGGCAACCTCGACGAGCTGTCCGACCTGCTGAGATACGCGGACGACGAAGTGTCGGAGTCCAAGTCGCAGAAGGGCTCGCAGATATCCATCTCGCAGCTGAGCAACGTGGCGTCGTCCGGCTATCAGAGCTTCGCCGCGTACAGCCAGAGCTCCAGCCCGGTGGACCTCAGCAGCAACAACGCGAACCCGCATATCCTGAGCGCGGCGCCGCTGGCGTTCGCCAATCCCGTCTACCACATGGAGTCGAATCACGCGAGGACGGGCAGGAGGGACAGTAGCAGCTCTGAAGACAGAGAAGGCAGCGGCGGCGGTGGCGTCGAGAGTGTGAGGGGCGTCGACCTGAGCCCATCGCCGCCGCCGAAGAACAACGTGCGGAACCTCCAGAGGAACAGCCAGAACCAGTGGCGGCAAGGCAATCAGGCGCACCGGAACAACTCGGAGCACACGCAAGATGTCTGTTGCACGAAGCTGAGGAGGAGGCTCTCCTTGGACTCCACGAGGGACCTGTCCGACACCAGCGAGGAGGAGAACTGCACCACCAGGAGGAGCAAGTCTCGCAGTCACCGGAGCATCGATCAGGTGAGATCGTCGGGACGAAGGCAGAATCATCGCGAACTCGGTTCAGGGATACCCGGACGCGCGAGACTGACTTGTGTGAATAACAGATCTTTTTTTACAATCTTTTTTACTTCGCTCTGCGTCTACTGTGACTTGTTAACTTGCGAGACTTGATTTCCGCGACCTGCCGTCTGTCTGTCTCTCTCTCTCTCTCTCTCTCTCTCTCTTTCTCTCTTTTAACGAATACTTACCATGTTACTCTTCCCTCGACGTGTCTCAGGTAACACGACACGTCCTCCAGGGTGCGCTAAAATTGCGCCCGGTACATCCTGAACTTGGAGCTTTGGATGAATCTGGGACGTGTCGTATCATTTGGGACGTACGTTGGCTCGTTGTAACTAACACGACGCGTGTCTCTTCGTTTCCAGTACGAAGTGGACATGTATGAAGTGGAGAGGCTGCAGAATAGCGTAGATCGGCTGCGATTGCGCGCGCGATTAGGCGCCACCGAGGATGCCGATATAGACCTCGCGCCGGACACCAACATGAAGAGCATCATTTCCAGGTACTTGAGAATCCCCACGTAACTTGACTACTTATAGCCGCTAAAACCCACCGGATCTCTTTGCCTGAGTGTAAACCCTCTATACCACCGTGATCATTATTATCACTCTCTTATCTGCGTTTCTTTTTTTCTCTTTTTTTTTCACTTCGACGTCTCTCGTCATGTTCAGCCACTCGATCTTCCATGTCCTCATTTTCTCGGCTCTCGTCGTCTCGAGATTCATTCGCAAGCTCCGTAAGAGGAAAAAGAAACGAAAATCTAGAAGTCTTTCTCTCTCTCTCTCTCTCTTTCTCTCTCTCTCTCTCTCTCTCTCTCTCTCTCTCTCTCTCTCTTCTAGGACCGACGGATACGAATTGGCAGCTCTCAGATTCACAGCTAATCGCGCACTTCCAAAGTGACATGACGGTTTTACGGAGTGCGCGGGATTTCTCTTGTAGATCGTCGCGTCGATCTCGCGTCGCCGATCACGTCACTCGATCGGACGGCGCGGCGCGGCGCGACTTTGTTCAGACATTGGCCTCGAGAACGATCGGTAGAGAAGAGATACGCGGTAGTAGAGTCCCGCTACCTGGCGCGGGCTACCCGCTCTTTATTTCGCGCGTCTGTCCGGGATGAAATGTTGCGTGTTTTCTAATCGCGTGTGTACCACTTTTTCTATGTCTAACGGGACTAATGGGGAAACACACTCACCCGTATATGAACGGCTACTTTATCGAAATGATGTATGTTTAACTGATTGTGTGTTCCTGTGCATTCTATCCGCTGCATTTGGTATACTCTGGCTTGATCTGGACCTTGGTGTAAGAGTCAATCATATTTCTAAGCTTTCTTATAATTTTTACATTCTCACATCGTTTTTAGCTTCTCTCTCATCGTTATATATATATATCTATATGTATATATATATCTATATATATATATTTATCTTGCTGTCTCTCTCTTTCTCTCTTTCTTTCTCTCTCTCTCTCTCTCTCTCTCTATCTGTCTCTAACCGAGAAAACACTCTGCCGCGCGGTCGTTGTGTCTCTCCGCGAGTGTATCCGAAGTGAGGCGGGAAAGCAAGCGCGCGTCACACCTCAAAGAGCGTCCGGAGCGTTCGCGCGTTCACCGACGGTTCACCGACATCGTCGTCACGTCACGTCACGTCACGTCACATCAGCGACCCCGTCAACTCTCCACCGAATCGATTGTCGCTCATCGAACACCGACAACACGTCACAACACACTTCCCAAACACGTTCGTGCTGCACGTGGATGTTCTGTGACTCCCGAACTTGGTGAAATCACGTCATCTCTCAAGGGAGAAATGTTCGTCGCGTCCGCGCGAGTCGCCTCATCGCTCGCCTGCTTTTGACAAATGGACATTTCTTTCTTCTCTCCTTGCCTCCCCTACCCCAACCTCTTCACGCGCAACTTGAGGAAACTATGATGCAGACACCACATGGTCCCCGGACGCCTCCGCCTTCACGTCCCGTCTCTCCCAACTACAGCCGAAGTTGTGCACTAGACACACTGTCGCTTCTTGCAGCTTGATTTTGGATCTGTCGATGTTGTCTCACTGATTAATCATGCATCGTGGTGCGCTTGGCTCCTTCTTGACTTCGTCGTAGCGTCTCTCGTTCCTTGGTCTCCGTGTGAGGAAAGTGGAATTCCAAGGTCCGTCGAAGCCGAGTTAAATCACTCGCGGGCGCTTCAGTCCCTGAGGAGAACGGACCTGGATTCTCCACGTTTGAACTAAAAGAAACCGGAGGCCCGAGAGACGTTCACGCGCGAAGCTCGATTCCACGTACGCTGGGCTCCTCGGCGTCCTTCATTCTCCGAGCGTCGCGAGGAGTGATCCTCAAACAGAAGTTCCCGGAGAACGAAGTTCGCTCCGAGGAGCACCTTCGGCGAGACGCCGTAGCTTTCTGTGAAGCGCTTCCTTTTCTCTCTCTCTCTCTCTTTCTCTCTCTCTCTCTCTCTCTCTCTCTCTCTCTCTCTCTCTCTCCTATTGTTCTCTTGTTTTCTGCCCGCACGCGTAACGCTCGTCCGCTTTTGCCCGCAGGTTAATCTCCGTGGAGGAGGAGCTGCGTCGCGAGCAGCAGAAGATGTCGGCGGCGTTGTCGTACAAGCAGCGCGTGATCGACGCGCAGGAGCAGCAAATAGCCGCCCTGGGCGCAGCGAATTCGCGTCTGATGTCGACGAATGCGAGCCTGCTGTCGGCGCTGAGCAAGCAACGCTTCAATGCCAAGTCGCAGGCGGCCGGTGAGGCCGCGCCGTTGCTGCAGAACATCGCCGACATCGGCGAACTCAAGAGCTCGTCGTGTTAAGCGTGTCGTCGCCAGGAGTCGCCGAGGCCGGAAGAGCGGCGGAAGATCGACGGACGGGACACGCGAGCGAGCTTGCACGCGCTTGTCCTCCTCGCGTAGCGCGATCGTAGATGCCTCATCATCGACGACGGGATCTTCCCCGAGTGATCGCACGCTCCCGTCGCAATCGAATGAATACAGTCGACTCGCCGCAGGATACGAGGACGCCGACGACGGGCGGTTTAACGAATCTCTGTGAGATCGAGAGGGACGATGACGCGGGGAATGGCGTCTTCTCGTCGTACGGGAGAGGAGAGGCTCGTCCGGAGAAACGTGTGAGGGATCGACGGGGTCTTCCTCGGTCGCGATTCGCTGCGTGCGTCGTACGAGTCGCGTTTCGTTTCAACGCTCGCTGCCTATCGGTAGGCAGTTTCACACTCGGCGCTCGATCGTCCGGGACGAGATTAACGCCGGCGGTGTCGCCAGAGTGGGTGTCGTGAAACTGTCCGGGAGGGTTGGGAGGCGAGGTCGGGATAATTCCGTTTTCTCTTGGACGACGCGATGGAAGTCGAAGGAATAGCCAAGTTGTTTCGGTCGGTCAGGGCTCTTCCGGGTTGCTTCATGACACCCTGGCCAAAGATTCGAGGAGGCGGAGTGGTTCTCGCGGGTAAGAAGGAAGCCGCGAGAGAGAGATGGGATTGCGAGCGACAGAGTAGAGCGAAAGAGAGAGCGAGAGCGGAAGAGAATAGCGTGCGCGAAAAAGGGGAAAAACAGAGGCTACTTTAGTGAATAGGCAGAGAGACAGGCGGAGTAAGTAGGCAATTTTCGTCGAGTTCATGTGACAGCGTTTAGGATAGGTTATTTGTCGCCGCGACTCGCCCGAGGCCCGCTTGAGAAAACCGCCGCCGCGTGAACGACGACCGATCAGCTCGCGTCAACGACGGATCAGTCCGGGGAGGAGCGTGTGACCGTTCGCGAGAGTCTCTCGACTCTGCGACTTCGCTTCGTTCGGCACGAACGAAACGAAAGTGGCTAATAGGACGTACAGCTGAACGGACGCGCGTCGAGATCGGAGAAAGTGCGCGGTACAAAAAGATTCACTTCCGTCGCGTTTAACTCGACTAATAAATAGACTCCAGACTTTGCTTGATAAAAAGAGAAAGAATTTTTTTTATTTTTCCCGGAGTTAAAGACTGAAACGGGAATAATCCCGCAACAAAGTTATCTTTGGACAAAATTCATCTTTGATAAAAATACGAAGGGTGAGAGGTATTTCGCTCTTATTTGCGAGCTGAGACTACTTGCGAGTTTAACCAGTCGTGTTCTACAATGTTATGATATCAGATGATAAGGCGAATATGCTTTATTGTTCTTTTAAAACGTAGTTCTTTGTCGCGCGATTTCTCGAAAACTTCATCAGTTCGGCTCTTCCACTTTGCTACTGTTGCCTTGTCGTTGGATATCGAGTATCTTGTTCTTGCACTTGGAATACGGATTCCACGCGGTCGTGAAACGTCCAGGTTTATTTGTGTCGCGCGAAAGTCACGCATGCCACCGATGCGATATCTCGGAAGACTCGAAACCAGCATAATTCTGACGACTTCAACTTCGCGGGAAGGAAACGATACTCCCGTGTCGTGTTCCTTCCTTCCTCGTTTGTTCGCGAAAGGATCGTCGTCGTTCAATCGCAGCAGCGAGCGCGATGTCCTGGAGAAATTCGACGAGATTACGAGATTATCGTTCGCACGCGAGAACTACGGTTCACGCACGTACAGGAACATCTTCGTGCGCCAGGTTCGACCGCACTTCGCAGGAACTCGCAAAGACTCGTCTATTTTTCTAGTTTGTTCCGCTTAGCGCGTCTCTCTCTCTCTCTCTCTCTCTCGCGACGCGACTTTTCTCCTTGCCTCGTTGCTCATCGACGTGGGATCACAGGCAAGTCGCACGAAATAGCCGGCACGATTTTCTCAGATGATCGAGCATCGTACGAGTTGCAGGACAGGCGTACGTTCGTTAGAAGCCGCCTGTCTCTTCCGCGAGCGACACACGAGATTTCATCGAGCGAGAATAGCCGACGAGAAATGCGCACCGTCCCGAGGAATGAACTCCCGAAGTCGTCGACGTCCCTCGCGCGTCTTTGGATCATCCCCTCCCTGCTTTTGCCACTTGTTTTCCCTCTCACGAGGCGCGAGAGAATCGTCGCGACTACCATTTCGATTCGACACGACAACCCTTATTCTATAAGCGACGATATTTATTTAGTAGTGTCTACCAAAGATGATGAATTTCGCATTGTAAAGAGAGAAAGAGAGTGAGAGAAAGAGATAGAGAGCGAAAGAATACCGAGAGATTTTCTTTTTATGTAAGATATCTTTTTTTTTTTACTTTTACGTCGGCCGTACCCAGTGAGGGCGGGAGAAAATAAACGCGCTTATTCGCGGTCGAGCGAGAAGAACGACGCGCGAAAGAGCCCGAAAGAGTTCGAAAAGGACGATCTTCTCACTCCGTTCACTCCGCAGCGAGGAGAATCTTACACCGAGACTCCTAAGTAGCGCGCGCGCGTGCACGTGCACGAACCGCCCGTCAAATAATTCTATACGCGCGAACGAGCGAGCGCGTGATGCATGACAATTAGAGCCGCCTCCCCGAGAAGTCTCGTTCGCGAGTTAGTGTGTTTACGTTTTATTACATTACGATAACAATTATTATTGTAGCCATTGTCGTACAATGCATGCGTGAAAGACTGAGTGAGAAAGCGGGTGCGAATCAGTAGCGAAAGGGAGAGAGAGAAAGAGTGGGAGAGACAAGAGAGCGAAAGAAGGGGAAAGAGAAAAAGAGCGTGTGTGCGTGTGTATGCTGTGAATGAGAGAAAAAGAGAGAGAGAGAGAGAGAGAGAGAGAAAGAGAGAGGACGGAAAGAATGAGAAATAAAGAACAAGAGGAGAGAGAGAGAGAGAGAGAGAGAGAGAGAGAGAGAGTTGAAAGAAGTGAGAAAAGATCATAATCAGTCTAATCTCGTTAAAGAAAAGTATTATCTCGTCGACTTTGTACCATAGCGTTATTCTCGATGCGTGTTCGAGCGTTTGAGTTTCTTGCCTCACGCCTATTATTTTTGTATAGAGATTGTCCTTCATATTCCCGTTCTCCACCTCCTGCTCCCCTGCCCGCCCTTTTTTCCCATTCCCACCGATTCCTTATTATTTGTTTATGTACTTTAACTTCACCCTGCCGCCTGTCGCCAACCGCTCTGCGTTCGCAGGGAAACTCGTCGGCTTTGTGAAAGGCACTTTTGTCCAACTCGTCGAATGTATTTACGTCACGAAATTAATATATATTAACGCTACCACTCCCTTCTTCTCTTGTTGGACGATGTAATCGAATATCTATTTAAAAGAGATCCACACTCTTAAATAGCGTGTACATTTATTAAGTTTTTTTGGTATATTCGTTTCTCTTGCAATAGATCACCTGTATTTAAACGTATAGCGACTATTACACTACATGAACAAATAAATACGTTAGACATATTATAAAAATGAGTTCGATAACCTTGACATTTTGTAGTATTTATTTGCAGTGGTAAGCTAAACAATTCTTATTTTAAGCCTTTTAAAAAAAAAATATTCTCTGGAAGGAAAAATCGAGGATATTATTATTTTGTATAATTTAATGAGTATCATCGATGTAACTCCATTTTCGCATTTTGCATTAAGAGATAATGAACAAGGATCAACAAGGTATCCCGGATTCTGGCGGGAAATTTGAATTTTTTAGTTTCTCTATCTTCGCACTTCGTACATCCACCGACGAGATACTATAAAGACTGTTGAGCGGTTTTCTCCGCTGAACACAATGATTGTTGACATACTTATGTCATACCACGTATATTTCATTTCTCGCCTTTCGTTGTGAGTAGTTAGTGCGTAGGCGTGCTCCGCAGGCAGAGCAACAGCTCTCATCTTTCTCGAGTCGGGATGCGTCCCGAAAGTCATTAAAAAAAAAATGACAACCTTTATGTCCGCAACCGTACATGTAATGCGCGAAGCAGATGTGCAAAATAGCCGGAGTGTCAGGGAAGGAATGCAGGCGTAGTTCCCCTGACTCCCCCCACCATGGTTCGAGCGGTAGGCATCCCGCAGGGGTTTTAGTCGGTAGAAGGCCGACATAACCCCCGCCCTCCCCAAGGGGCGGGGTATCCATGAGGATTTCCCCTGCGTGACCAAAAAAAAGATGTGCAAAATACGGACGTGATTCTAACCTTTCGAAGTGACACACGTATATGTAATTGCCGTTGCAATAAGCCCGAATGTGATACAAGTTTTTAATATCAGTTATAATAAAGAAAAAAATACTTATCACGAAAAATAATATTGGTAAAATTACGGTAAGTAATAAAATACTCGTGTGTGTGCGTGATCATGAAAAAAATATATATGGTATGTGAAATTATAAAATTTTGTTATTAAATTTTTATATAAATTGTAAATAAATACTCACAGAAAAACATACCGAAACGGTAGCGCGCCTACAGAAGTATATAAAACTGTTTACTGCGCATCCTTTAGTCCGTATTCTGCGCAAGTCGTACATACTTTTTGGCAACAGTTAAAGGGACACAGTTAGCAGTCTAGTGTATTATATAGAAGTCTGTGCTTAGCTATCGCTTCTCTCACTTTAATAATGGATGCATCCAGAACCACGAATGCTCACTGAGCGCTCAATGAGCTTTTACATTTGATTGGTATATTCTTTTAGATTTAAGAATATACACCAATCAGATGCAAGAGCTCACAGTGAGCATTCATGGTTCTGGATGCACCCATTGTCTTCAAGTCCTCTCGCGGAACGCGCAGTCTATCTGTATAAGTCTATGCCGAAAACGCCGTGTTGACCGCTCAAGCCCGTTCTACATTAGTCGCAAGACACAGAACGCAAGTCGCAAGTCGTAGGAATTCACCAATCACAGTCGAATATTCCCTTAACATTCGACTATGATTAGTGGATTTCTACGACTTGCGACTTGCGTTTTGTGTCTTGCGACTAATGTAGAACGGGCTTTGGGTTCCTCTCTGGGTTCACATGTTTAATGTTACTACTTGTCCGGTTAAAATCCCTAGAAAATGAATTCTCCTATTGGACGCATTAGGTAACATCTCGACGTATTGCATATCGGACGCAATGGGTGCGTTCACGACACTCAACAGTTGCACAAGGCGAATGGCGTATGGGTACGCCTTATTGCCTAAAGCCATATACCGAACGAACGAACGAACAGTTGCGCAACTGTTGAGTAATTGGTCAACATTATTGGTCTGAATGTAAGGATCTAACAGTAAGGACCAATAGTCACTAATCGCTCACTGAGCAATTTTCTCCGCTGAACGCTGAACTTCCACTTGGTCTGTTCTTTTTAGCTGCACTACTGAACTGGTGCAATTAGTTAAAGTGAGAAAAAATATAGTTGTCTCATTCTAACTTATTGCACTAGTTCCGCAGTGCAGCTAAAAAGAACAGACCAACTATGACATCTGGAGCAAAATAATATAGGACAATATCATGGCGTATAGGGATATCTACTTTCCTCCGGAGCCAGTTTAGAAGGAGAAGAAGAAGAATATAGGACAACATCGATGAGAGAATCGTAAAACTCATAACGAAAGTTTAAAAACGAAAAGCATAAATACGCTCTCACGTTTTAAGGGAGATCTTTGACATGTCATTCGCGAGTGTAATGTTCGTGTGATAATAACAACAAATATAATAACGAGCGTTGTTTATTTATTTAACAGTAATACTAAAAGGAAGATATCGTTGATCAGTGAGCGTCTAAGTCTAAGCAAATCTTGAAATTCCAAATTTCAAAAAATTCACCAAACGTACTTAATCAACTGCCCTGCAACAATCTTATTTGGGTAAAATCAAAAGTTTTCGGTCATTCATACCGAACAATGTATTGTTTGTAACAGTGTGATCTAACCTCGATTGCATCTTGTTATTAACACATTGTGATATTGGCTAGATTAGATAGCATTTATTAGGAAAGATCTATTTTTCATAGAATTTTTTTAATTTATACGCAGCTCGAATTTCCTCAGTGTGAAAAGTCTTTATTGCCAATTAAATATTATGGAAAACATCGCTAGAGAATACCTCTTCTACTACAAGATCATATCTTCTGCAATGTAAAGCAGCAATTAAATTATAACTACGCCAAGAAAACATGTGCAGATGTTACGGAGTACTCTTAGGTGGATGACAGGTCTTTCAGGGATGGATTCCGGTAAGAAAGTAGAAGCAACTACTAGCAGTCAGCGCACTGTCGCAGAATCTGGAAGTTCAGACTCTATAGAGGTAATTGAATATTATTTTATTGATATGACAGTATAACGTACAAAGAACTAATTCAATTGCAGGTAGACAATTCACATACAGTTCTACTAAAGATAGCAACACTATATGCTGAACGTCTTATGAATGATATTTGCCTTGTTGTTGATGGTGTGGAATATCCAGCACATCGACTTATACTTTGTGCTTCTAGTGACGTTTTCCAAGTGAGTACAAATTTGTTCAACTCGCCTTTATATTAAAAGTATTTGCATTGTTAGCATTATTTTATTTGGCGCTTTAAAGCATTTGTACCTTCATTGTATTAAGGAAACTAGATAAATTTAAGCATAAACAAATGTATGTTAATTGAATATAAATAATAATATTTTACTCAGTGGGAAATATTCATAGAATTGTCTTTATGTGCCAGGTGATGCTAATGAGCCCACAATGGAGTGAATCTCAGGAAAGCAGGGTAACTCTCCAGGAGACGCCCCAATGCGCACCAATATTCAGCGAATTCCTACGTTACTTTTACACTGGCCAAATAAGAATCAACTACAGTGTCGTGCTGCCGATACTATCCTTAGCCGATAAGTACAACGTGAAAGATCTGATATCGTTGTGCCTTGACTACATGCAGAACCACATCGCACTGGCTGCCATACATGGCACTCTAGTGTCCTGGCTGCAGTACACATCCAATTGCGGTCATCAGAGCATTAGCCATACGTGCCAAAACTTCGTCAAGTGGAATCTGGAGCTCGTGGCGAAGACTCCGGACTTTGGTAACTTCGATCTGGATATCCTGGTATCGCTGTTGCACCAGAGTAGCTTAGTTGTAAAGGACGAGATGACGCTCTACAAGTGCCTAGAATCGTGGCTGGATCATCAGGCATATCGATTAAAGGCACAGCTGTCGGCGGACGAGCTGGAGGCTACGCTTCATCAACTGGTAATAGCCGTGATGTCACCCGTGAGATTTCCGATGATGTCACCGCGGCAATTGGCTGACCTACTGTTGTCCCCGTTGACGAAAAAGTACAAAGAGTTCTTCGTGGAACGCATGTCGATCGGCATGTCTTTTCATTCAGGTCACACCGAGAGGGTGAGAGAAGTGAGCTTGAGCGAAGAGGATGGCGCGTTGCTGTTCGAGCCGCGGCTCTACACAGTCGATACATGCAGCTCGCTGCTGACCATCGAGAACTTTCACGGGTTACCATCCTACCACACGAGAACACTCGTGTTCTCCAGCCACTCGAGTTTAGCGGAGTACGCGGGCGACAGAGCGTGCGAATGGGTCGTGGATATCTATCCGAAAGGTGTATGGTTCAAGAAGTTTTTCCTCATAGTGTGGCAGGGAACGGTGGAGATGCCGGAGCACGTGAAACGATCGGTGAGACTGTCGTTGACCTGTAAGGAACCGCCGGTGAACAGCAATATGCGCGTGAAAATAGGTGTGCTGATCTACGGCTTGCAAGATGGCGTCGAACACATCGCTCGAATAACCGAGATCATACACAGGTTCAGTAGGAAGGACCGCGTCCTCAATCTGGACGATCTCCTGCCGTTCGAGGAGCTCAATCCGCAGCAGGGATCGATGCCGGAAAATGTGGTGTCTCCCTTCCTCGTGGGCCCCAATAAGGACATGCTCAAGCTGCACATCGTTATATCGCCAGCCAATTAGCATTTATAAATATAGCTTACAATATACAGTTGCGTCACTAACTAAGTATTACACATCGGAGGAATGTTCTCGTTCTGCTTGCGTCACATAGAACTTGAACAAAGGCGCTACCAGAAAGAAACCTGAGAGTAGCTCCCGCGGGCCGTTTACGAGCTAGCCCAAGGCTTCTGTGTGGCGCCGCGAAATTCATCTCTTTCGAGTCAATCGTGCGATTAACGAATCCCTTATTCTTTCTCTTCTCCGATAGCGAGTATTTTCTGAACGTGCGCTGAGTAACTATGAGAGAATAATATCGGCGTGAGGTACTTGATGTGCAATTTCTTCGCGCATTTCCGTGAGACGAGCTCGCTTCCGTAGATTCGCGAGGTTCGAGAGACCGACTGTCAAAACACTGTTCATGTGATACCGAGTAACATCCTGATGAAGTATATTACATCGCGAGTGTAACATATCACGTGCAATATACTTCAGAGAATGACAGTAGCCCCCGCTGCCACGCTGTGATCGTGACTCTGATTCTTTGATGCGTAAACTCCAATTTCTGCGATTTCGCCGACGGCTGTGTGACGTGTGTGTGTGTATATATGTGTGTGTGTGTGTGTGTGTGTGTGTATGTGTGTATGTGTATGCATATAAGTGTGTATATGTTTGTACGTGTATATGTGTGTATACCCGAGATACGAGCATTATTTTATCTCGCAAAAAATCGTTGACGCTATCATAAAATATGTGACAATGCAGAATGCGTGTGGACACTTAATGTAACATAGATGTACGTATCGATATAGGCTTGCTCGTTAATCTCAAACCGCAGTCTGGTATTACAAGTTTCTGACAAATAGTGCAATCGTCGATATTGTTTCAAGGAGATATGATATAGCGAGAGTTCCTCCTCGTATACCTCGTGTGCGAAGTTTGCAGAAATGTCGCCGCGTCTCGTTGAAAGTAGCAAGAAAGAGAGGAGGAGGAAGAGGCAGGAAGTTTCTTAGCCGGAGCAGCTTTCAGTTTCTCACGCATCTACTAGTAGTACAGTTTACCCTAGGCGTCACAATTTCGAGATACGGCGCGCGTCTGCGAATTTCACGGCGAATTTCTGCCGCATATTTTCTTTTCTTACTACCTTTTTGTACGACGAGTAGACAATTCGGCGACGAGAGTCGCGTCGACAATTTGCGGCCCATTATTTGCGTCGCCGCTATGTGTTCCTGCATTGACGATTGACATTTAATTTAAATCTATTGACGTTGGATCCCCGACGAAATAACACGAGACTCTGAATAAATTATATAATATATCAAGTGAGCGTTTGCAGTATCTTTGCAGTACCACATCTGAAAACATCCCGAATATACGTTTAGGACGCGCAAGGATGAATCGAAGGATCATTCGGAGAATGAACGAGAGACATCTTACCGATTCGATCACAGATTTTTAGTTTTCACCACGATATAACGACAGAAATTTATCCGATCCATCTCCCTACCGAACACGTCCCTCAACGTCTTATAAAAATAATTGAACGATAAGATATGTAATAATTAATAATCGGGCGCCCGTTTCAGTGTATACATCACTGCTGAAATTTGTAGGCCGCGTTATCGTGACGAGTAGATACTGGTGAAAGGAGCAGTATGTTTCGCCGCTAATATCTTCAGTTACGACGCAGCTGCCGGTGTGCTCGGACGATTTTACTTGACGTATAAATTTTTCAGACGCGTTTACTTTACTTTGTGCGCTCGTGTGAGTCTCGCGATTACATTTCCTCTAGAGACAAAATGAAACTGTATTCCGTTTCGGACGGCCCGCCGTCTCTCGCATGTCGAATGCTGCTGAAAGCTCTGAAGATCGATTTCGAGCTGATTAACGTGGACTTTGGGAAAGGCGAGCACATGACTGAGGAGTATGAGAAGGTATTTGATCAAAAAGAAACGGTGACGAGTCTCGATTGTGGATACATGAAGGACCTCTTTCTCGTAGCTCAATCCGCAGAAGGAGATACCCACTCTCGTCGACGGCGATCTCGTGATGGGCGAAAGGTGAGCGTTATAATTATAATAATAATTATAATATAATTATAATAATAATTATAATATAATTATAATAATAATTTTATTATAATTATAATGATAATTTTATTATAATTATGTTATATAATAATACAATAATAATTATATAATAATAATTATAATATAATTATGTAATAATAATTATTGTAATTATATTATAATTATTATTATAATTCCTCGGAATTTTTCAAAGTTTCAAAGAAACGCTCAGAGCTTTCCGCCAGATCGGAAGTTCGAAGGTCTACAGACGCGACGTTAAGTGTGCGCTGCAACGCGCGATTGAGAGAACAGGATGCAGCGTTGATTATAAATTATTAATAACATCTTGCGAGACCGTTGCATAATTCATATCACATCGCTGTTTTTGCAGCAACGCGATCTTACAGTATTTAGCCGACCAATATGACACGAGCGGCAAATTGTATCCGAAGGACAACAAGCTGCGAGCGATCGTCAACCACCGTCTGTGCTTCAATTTGGCGCTTTATTACCGCAATATCTCCGAATACGTGGTGGGTGCGCGTCGATTTAATTGCTGCGTTTAATTGAGCTTCTCAAATAGATTCAGACGCGCGCTTTATCGCTTGTTCGCAGTTGGCACCGATATTCTTCGATTATCAACGCACCCCGCTCGGTCTGAAGAAAACGAAGATCGCGTTGGACATCTTCAACACGTACTTGCAGCGCGGAAACTGCGAGTATGCGGCGGGCGGTCAGTGCAAACCTTGTTACTTTCATCTTCACAATTTCGTTTCCATTTCAATTTTCCACTCGATACTCTTTCGAAATTTGAGGCCCGGTCATTTCGCAGCAACAATTTTAGACAAATTTAAATCCAAAGAACGTTGATACATGCTGATATTTTTAAATGAAAGTAATTTTTTAATTAAAATATTTTTGGGATTTTGTGTTTCATCTTGTTATTGTATTTTTTAATTATTTTATTTCATCAACTAAAATCTAATTATAACAAATTAATGAAAAAAGGTGAAAAGCAGATTAAATATAAATTGGCACAGTTCTTTTCTCATCAATTCTTTGGAGAAATCACAGAACTATCGACAGCTATCGATAGCTGTCCGCCTCTACTGGAAGCTTCAATCGAAAAGATTTTACGAGCGATCAACTGACGATTTTTGTTGTATCACACAGACAGTTTGACAATCGCCGATCTGCCGCTGATAGCCTCGACGATCTGTCTGGAGGTCATCGACTTCAAGTTGAACGCGTGGCCTCTCGTGGCAAAGTGGTATGACAATTTCAAGCGAAAGTATCCCGACCTTTGGGAAATAGCGCAAGGAGTGATGCGGGAGCTCAGCTACTTCGAGAAACATCCGCCCGACATGTCCGAGATGGACCACCCCATACATCCGGTGCGCAAGAGCGCGTGAAGAACTCCCGCAAGGTCACGCCAAGTTCAAACGGCTCGTATCTCGATTCTTCAGCCGAAACGAAAAATAGCCGAAGCAAAAGAAATATATAACCATATTACCGTACATTACTAGAAAGTGCATGTTTCATTGTTCCGCTCTCCCTCTCTTTCTCTCTTCTTCTTCCAAAGCCTCGGACTCGCGCGGAGGGAAGAACAACACACAGGGAGGATGGTATTCTTACTAAACTAGATTTATTGTTGAGACACATCACATTCGCTCGTCGTAAGCTTCCGTAATACTTCGCACGTCGACGTTTGACTAGAATCTCTAGAGTCGCACGAACACACCTCACGACGAATGTTCGCGCGATCGCCGTACGTTACTTCGCATCTCCGTGTAATTGACAATATATACGTACAAACGAGAAACGAATCCGTCGCTGACGGATTTCCAATTTGATCCGGCCGTTAAAACTTACGCGTGAAACTTACAGACGACACTTGTCGTGGTTACACGTATCGAGTAATATCGAGTAGTGACAATCGAGTAGCATCGAGTGGAAACTAATTATATCGAGCTACGCGTAGAGCGCGCGTAAGGATCATTAGATCGAGAGATTAGTCGAAGAGAATGACGTATACACCGGTGAAACAAGTTTACGAAATATTCCTTGTATTTTTTTTTCCTTAAGAGCACGACGCTCTCTTATAAAAACGCATGTGTATATTTGATACAACTCGTGTCTCGCGAAGCTCGTCGCGGAGATTCTCGCTCGACTCCTCGCGGTCGAAGTTTCGACGTCGCGAGCGGATCCCGGAATCCTCCCGTGAGGACCGTCGAAAGCGTCGCTCAGCGTCGGCTTCGCGTTCTCGAGACTTGGGAACAACAATAACGGGAACGATACATCGTAAATTGAGCCGCCACGAACCGAGCCCTCCTCATCCCCTCCCCTTTCTCTCTTTCTCTCTCTCTTCATCCCTCTCTGTCTGTCTCTCTCTCTCTCTCTCTCTCTCTGTCTCCTTGCAGACCCACGCTTCCTCTCGCGGACGTCGCAAGAGCCGCGAATCGCTCGTTGGAACACTATGGTAGACGATTGAAAATTTATTGCTCGGGGTCAGTAAAGATTAGACTAGTCTATTATCCACCCTGTGACGTCATTCGCTAATCCCGCGGGATGAGTACTTCGCTACGAGTCCGTTCCTCCCCGTCGCGACGCGGAACTAACGATATCTACACGGTGCAACGATCTCAATCGGAACTACTTCGCTATTTCTGATTGTCTTTACGTATTGCGCGCGTCCGTCTGTGGTTCCCATCGGCAACGACGACGACTATGTCGAGTCGAGTGCTAACGCGAATGCTAATCGACGATAACGATGAAAAGATCTCGATCCGATTAATTGTACCTAATTGCGTTTTCGCTCGGCGGGTTCTCGCTCGTCGAGGTTCCGGCGCGACAACGCGCGAAGGTGAACGCTTGATTATCCTGAAGCGATCGATGATCGACGCGTTTTCTCATCCTCGTCATGGCTTTCGTTCCCCTTATTGCGATCGAATCGAGACACGTCGGAAGCGAGAAGTAGTGTGGAGGTGAAATTCAGGGATAAAGTATCTAGCTAATGGAGCACCGACCCTGAGGCGAGTATCTCTTCATACACGAGAACCAATGCGAAGGAAAAGGCAGTGGCAGAGTTGGGAAGTAACTTGTTACTTGTAACGAAGTTGCAGTTGCAATTATTTTTTCTTTTTGGTAACTATAACTTAACTTTATTCCGTTTTTTCATCTGTAACTGTAATTCAACTTGGTTATATTTGTTTGGTAACAAGTAGCTAATTTAATAGTTACTTTAATAGTTACTTTGTATTTCAAGCTTAAGTTTCTGGCAGACCAGCACGATAATGCGACTTGCGATGCTTGATATTCAATAAGCATACAGTTATTTTAGCTGCATTTGAAAAACGCGCTATTGCATCATCTACCTTTATCGTTCATTAAATGTGAAACAAGGATAAAATAACGCAATAGCGCTGATAATCTCCTCTTCGAACGCAATCTGTATTTCTTTCAAAAAAATTGTACGTCTTGGACATTTCCGTCGCGTGTCGTCAGTTCTTATTTGTTAACATAATCTGCATTCAGCGCTGCGTGGTTTCAGTTATATAAAAAATTCAAGCAATAGATAAAAAATCTTTGGAGAAGGATTATAAAATCCCACGGCCAGCAGAAATATTCGAGCAATATTGCAGCAAATATTACAGAAATATTACAGCAAAAATTTGGAAATGAGAACAACCGGGCATTTCTCTGCAAAAAACGTATGCTGGCAAAAAAATTATTTATGCAAGTAAAACCTCAATTGCAAGTCTAAGGAAACATATGAATGTAAGTCTTTATTTACAAAATATCAATATATCTTTCAGTGAAAAACTATAATTTTTGATGTTAAGTTTACCTTTAGTATTTTTAGCATTTATTATCCTCATTCATTCACTTTCTTATAATTGTTATTAATAGTCTTAAGGAGTAAATATTAATTGCTTATTTAAATTAACGAATCCAATTTATAAAAATTCTGTACAATATGAGGAATATAATGATCAACAAACTACTTTTACGTAAAATTGAAGGAAAATTTACACAATTACGAAATTAAAAATAATAGCACAATTATTGTAAAAAGGTAACTGAAGTGTAATGACTCGTTACTTTCTAAATAACTATACCTACCTGTAACATGTTATTTTTGAAAATCAGTAACTGGTAGCTGTAACCAGTTACTTTTTCAGTGAAAAAGAGAGAAACTGTAACTGTAACTAGATACTTCTACAAAGTAACTTTCCCAACTCTGAGCAGTAGGTGATGTACATTCGAGACATCAAGGTACATTCGTAGCATCAAGATAGGACAACACAGTCCGCGCAAGCGTCGCACCTCTAGATTCTTCGCTGGTCCTACGGAGTTCGACGGAATTCGCCGATGCCAGGTCTAAGAGGATAAAATATTCACTCGAGACGACGCGGAGGAAAAATCCACACGACTTCTCGCCGCTGACTTCTCGCCTGACCATGCCGACACGATCGCAATCGCAAAGGAAGCCGAGAACCTTGAGAGCGAACTCGCGCTTTGTTATTGCTTACGTTACGTACATATACGACAGCGAGTCCCCTCGCGATCTCTTCCGTAATGAGATACGTAATGAGAACCGGAGAAACTCTACTCGCCGGCCGACAGTCCCGCTGTTATTCTCAGCCCGAACCGTGCGTGTGTGTCAATGAACTCGCAGCACGGGAGGTAGCCCCGACGCGAGCACGAGGAAGAGGTGAAAAGTCCATCGAGCCACAGCCGAGGGTCGTCGTCGAGAAGGCGCTGAGGATACGTCGCCTTGAAGACCTGAAGAGACAGCGGCGGGCGAGCGCTTTCCCCTCCGATCCTTCCGATCGGATTCGCGCTTACACGTTGAGGAAAGCCCTGACCAGCGGGTCGCCGGCGAAGCGACCCATCATGGCGGCCACCCGCCGCCGGCGCCGGCAGGACCTCTCAATTACCGATTCGCTGCTCGACGGTGTGCTTAGTCACCGAACTCTTCCGGAGGGCGAGCGTAGGTGCGACTTTATGTAACCGGTTCGGTAATCGATCACGTCGCGCGACGATCCGCCTGACATGCCGTGCCTGTGTCTCCTGCTCCACCTGCGAAAGCGAAAGGCGCGTTATTCCGGGCTGATCCTGGCGGCCGTGGCCGGTGATGTGGTCAGTCAGCATGCAGAGCGCGTTTGTCGTCCTTCGTCGGTCCGGTTCCGAACGCGTGGAAACTTTCCGAGACATCCTTCATCAGTCGCTCCGCGAGATTGGAGCGACAGTCTGTCGAGATTTATTGTCGCGTTCGCGTTCGAGGTTATATGAAGGCGTTCAACACCACGTATCTCGTCCTCCAAGAATGAGGAAGCAACGATTCGGCCGATTTACCTCTCCTCATTTCTCTCTCCTTATGGAATGAGAACGAAAGAGAAGAAAGTGGACAATTTAGAAACACTTTTCGCTACCTCGAAGGTATCTCTTCCGCGATCATCGGTATCATCACATCGATCTGTTTTATGCATGTTTTCTTTTTTTTTTTGTTTAGAAAATCCCCACGCCATGATTCACCGAATTCACACCTGTCGCAAAGAGTCACGGACGCGTCCCATGGTCGCGTCTTACACAAGGGAAGACCTCCCGATTGCGACGGGATTATCCGCTCGTTTTCGCGAGAGGTGCGGTTGACGTAGTAATCGTCCCGTCAAGTATCGAGCAGCTCACACACGTCGCGATACTTCATTCCAAAAACGTGTTTGACACACACACAAGACACGCGCGCGCACGCACATCGACTAAATATGAATAACAAAGACAAAGACGGATATCCAGAGCATTCACGAATACCTGAAACATTCAGGAGAGACACAGGAGATACTAAGGGGGGTAATCACTACGAGCTACGGAGTAAGTAGATGCCAAGAAACTCGGGAGCTCTGCAAAAGACATTCTCTATCGCACGCACGTGCTGTCACACATCGAAGTGTGGGCTGCCCCGCGACCGTCGCCGTGTCTCCAATCACCTGGAGATGGAGTCTTCTCTCAAGTCAGAGAGACAGAGAGAGAGAGAGAGAGAGAGAGAGAGAGAGAGAGAGAGGGAGGCAGGTGAGTGTCTCTCTCAAATCGGCGAATCAGAAGAGATCGAGATTTTGTCCCGACAGAATCTCGACTGCAGAAAAACAATAGGCCGCGATTTAAACAGCATTTAATGGCTAATTAATGTCCGGTGCTAATACATTTGATATATTAAAAAATACATTTGATATTAAAAAAAGTTCGGCCTGAACGTTGAATCGAAGGGGAAACGAGGACAGCGATACCTCTTCGGGACAGCCCGCACGTACTCGCTACCAACGCACGGCACTTGCGCTAAGTTACACCGACCATTTAGCCAGCTTGCTCAGACAGCGACATCGCATATTACACGCAGCTCAAAACTCAGCTCATCTCGAAACGACCCGCGACTGCCATTCGCTGCTAGCTGATTAGCTCGCTCGCTCGCGCCCTGCGCTCAGCTGCTCCTCAGCATCCACCAGCACTTGCTCTCTCCCTCTCTCTCCCTCTCCCTCTCTCTCTCTCTCTCTCTCTCTCTCTCTCTCTCTCTCTCTCTCTCTCTCTCTCTCTTCCTTTCAAACGGGCGGCATACCACGGCACAACGAAAGAACACGTCTAAGACAGCGGCTACTGGGAGATCGCCAGCCACTAGATCTCAACACCACGCTCGATCCGTCTCGATCGTCCTGCATGAGATTCCTACCTGATCTCTTCTCTCCCTTACCGCGTCGCGCGTGGCTTCGACGCCACCAGCCTGATCGTTCTCATACCTTGCTGATTGCGAGGATCGAGGTACGGTGGCATCGCGCACCGGTGGCTGTTGCCGACGGCGGTGGTCGAGGTCGAGGTCGAGGTCGAGGTGAAGGTCGAGGTGGAGGGAAGGACACGGCGCGGTTGGGTTTCGGAGGTCGCGCTGTACTGTTGTTGTTGCTGTTGTTGCGCTTGCGAGCTGTTAACGTGCCGATTAGCGGCGCCGCCGCTGCCGCCGCCACCGCCTCCGATGGGTTGTTGGTTGTTGCTGCTATTGCTGTTGCTGTTGCTGAGCGGCAGCAGCGTCTGGCCGTCGCCGTGCGCGGCGGAGACGCCGTAGCTCCGCAGCCGGTGCTGGCGTTGCTGCAGCGACGCGGTGCGGCTCCTAACGACGCTCCTGCGTCCTTGCTGGCCCTCCGAGGTACTGCGTATATACATATCAATCGCGAGGCTCTCATCAGTCGGTCTCTCGATTTATCTCCGTGTGCGGGGCACGGCACTTGCGGGTGGCTCCTCTCGACCGGCGTGTACCTCGACCGGCGACGCGGGGGAGTCTCTTGTTGATTTTTTTTTTTTACTTATTTATCTATCCGTCTCTTTTCGTTTTGGTCTTTTCGCTCTTTTCTATTTTTTTTTTATCTGAATCGAGGGGACCGTCGCGCGGTTGCGATCAGCGATTTTCGGGTTCCTCTTACACGGGGATCAAGCGTAAGAAATTACGAGACTGTGTGTGTGTGTGTATGTGTGTGTGTGCGCGTGTGTGTGACGACTTGCTAATTAGACAGGCGGGACAACGGGGGGCAAACAGACAAGAAGAAGAGGAACGCGACTAAGTTAAAAATATAATATATATATATATATATGTGTGTGTGTGGGTGCGTGTGTAAGTTTACAGGGTGGCCCACGTAAAGTGTTACAAGTCCATAACTTTAAAAATATTTATCAAATCAAAAAATTGTTCATAAGGAAGTTTCATGTATTCGAGAGGCCTGTCTAACTACGTAAGTCTAAAACGTAAAGTCGCCCTCGCTTTAAGGGGGACAGTAACTTCATAATTTTAAATGAAACCCCCTGTAAAATGTTGCATATTTGGATTCTACGGGAAAAAACAAGTAAATTTTACCTGAAACATTTGTTTGGAAAATGCTTCTATCAAAAGCTATCAACCAGCTCAAAACTAACTAAATGTCTGATAATTTGTATTTGTCTGTGATCTGTATTTACGTGTCCCGATAAATGTGTTTAATAATGTTTCTGTTGGTTAACATCTCGATAAATGTGTTTAATAATGTTTCTGTTGGTTAACAAGTATGTACTCCAAAGTCTTTTTTGTTTTTCTTGTATCACGAATGCACCTTTGTGTCAATGGAGTTCTATCACGAATGAAATCGCTAAAGGTTTAAATGCTTGTAACTTTTGATAAAAGCATTTTCCAAACGTTTCCAAATCTTTCAGATCAGATTTACTTGTTTCTTCCCGTAGAATCCAAATATGCAACATTTTACAGGGAGTTTCATTTAAAATTATGAAGTTACCGTCCCCCTTAAAGCGAGGGCGAGGCTTTACGTTTATGTAGTTAGAGAGGCCTCTCGAATACGTGAAACTTCCTTATGAACAATTTTTTGATTTGATAAATATTTTTAAAGTTATGGACTTGTAACGTTTTACGTGAGCCACCCTGTATATGTGTATATGCATGTATGTATGTAACACGTCAAGGACAAAATAGGTGTACCGTTCCAGGATGCTTCACGAGCACACGATCGTCAAAGCAAGCAATCTCGCGAAACTCTCGGGGACAGCGAGGGGATCCTTTTCTGAATCTAACGCGCGCTCCGTCGTCGACGACGCGCTCGCGTACGCTCGATCGCTCGAAGCTCGGATCTCGAAAGGGATCGGTTGCATTTACCTAATTACACAGACACGCGATGCATGACCAGGTAAAAGTGGCAACGGACGAGCAACGGGGGAGTGAAACAGAGACGTGCCGTTCGCGTGTAAGAGCTGCGAGCGTGAGAAGGGTAAGCCAGAGAGTCAATCGTACTCATGCAGAGTGGAAGAAATGGAGAGAGAATATCATAAATCATGCGCTTATCGACATTTATAGCGCTTGCTCCTTTACGGAAAATTCATCGAGGACACACGGGTGGTATCGCTGGGCACTTGGGCGTCCCTTTCTACAGTACTTGGCTCTGGATAATAATCTGCGTAATTCGCGATAAGGATAAGATTGCAAGTTTATTTTCAAGAACGGTCTTTCCCTTCCTGACGATTGTTCGCTCGCGACTTGAAGAGACGCGAAAGCCAATTCTCGTAAATAAATTTCATCATCTTCGGCTATGAGATTTGACAAAGTTGACCCTGACCCGCCGGTTGTCGAATACACTTTTCTCGATTTGTTGAGCGTGTGGAAATTATCCAAGAATAATCGCTCTTCGCTCGAGGGAGAAAGAGAGAGAGAAAGAGAGAGAGAGAGAGAGAAAGAGAAGGAGGGAGGGAGGGAGGGAGGGGGGATGAATTTTCAGTAGAAGCAGAGCAAGACGTATGGGATGTATTTTCTTACCTTGCACTGTGACTCATGAGGACTATGTTTCTGTAACAGCATATAATGGATCCTGATTGTTGTGGGAAGCGAGTGATGGAGTGTCGACGTTGATTTCACAGACAATACAACAAGCAGCTCAAGCAAATCAGTCGTTTCTTTATCCAACTCAAATTCTCTATCTAAACAATCAAGTTCTAAAGAGCCGAATAATGTGTATCCTCGTTGTACAATCCAACGAACAAATCTCCCGACTGTCGGCGTAAGTAAGAATTTGCGCAATTTTTTTCAGAACAAGGACGGAGAACTGATATACTCAAACAAGTCCCTTCGGCGGGTCGTAAGAACGAAAGAACTGAAAGAACTGAATCGAACGTCTCGGCTGGCAGAGAAATAAACGCAACTCGTGTAACTCTCTGTCTCTTCGGGTCTCTTCGAGCTAGAACCAAAGGGGGTAAGAAAACAAGGATAATAACGAATGCAATGAAAAATATTTCGAACGAAATCTCTATCGAAATGATCAAAACCTCAAAGGACTCGAGCAACATCCCGGGCTCCCTCACTGGCTGTCTGCGGGGTCGTGTGAACAAATGGCGAAAGGCGAGACTCGTTTCAAACGTAACGCATCAGAGGCACTGCTTTCGAAGCGATCAAGTTTAGAAAAAAGATCGAAACAGGAGAGAGGAGAAGCTATTAGACGAAAAGGGTTCTGCTTACATTGGCCGACTTCACGACGTATCTAAAACGTATCACTGGTCGAATCTTACGTGAGGACTGTTTGCGTTTGACTTTGAGCTTTTTACGCCACGTCGCGCAATCGGTCGTATGTCGCTACAAAACATACTCATTTCTTTTTGTTTTCTTTTTTTAATTACACTTTAAACCTGTCGCATATTCCGGGCATCCTGCAAAATAATATCAATGGCTAGTCTTTAATATCCTCCTTTTTTCTCGTTCTTTTTAAAGCGATGTGACGCGCGAGATGCGCGAGACGCGCGCGCGAGAGTCGTCTCTAAATGCGAAAGAAAAACCGTCACGCATAAAAAAGGATCTATGATGTATGTGTGTGTGTGTGTGTGTGTGTGTATGTGTGAACGTGACAAGACGAGGTGCTCGCGTGTCTATTTGCGCGGTGTCATCATTTATATGCGCGTGTGTGTATGTGACGAGTGATACGAGCTACGAAGCTACGAGGTGTGATCTGATGGAAACGCAAAAGAAATCGCAGCGAGAGTCGTGTCGACGCGAGATTTTGGAACTCCTCTAAGGACGAAAAGGGCGGATCGAGAATGGCGCGAGTGACAACGCGGCGAGATAATAATTCGCACACCCAAAAAAAAGTATTCTATTTGTAAAGTGATTTTTCCCATAGTCTCATATTCTAAGCGAAGCCTTTTACGGGAAAAGAATTTCTCTTTCGATAAAGCGATTAAAGTGAACTATTCATTTAAAATTTATTAGATATTATTCTAACTGTTTTCCTCTTATTTCAAGAGGATTCCCTCTTGTATCCATTAATTTCCTTTTATATGAAGAGGAATATGTTGATTTGAATGTAGGCTTCTTTTGTTCAGTCATGCTCTACCTCCAGACATGAACGAAAAAGTAATCATATGGATCTGAATATTTAGAACACTTTTTAAAAAAAGGCATGTGTATTGCTTTAAAAAAAGGCATGTGTATAACATATAACGATGATAATTTACTTATATTTGGTCAAATACAGTTTATAATCTATCGCAAAAGTTGAATAAGATATTCTTTCTTTATAAGATAAGAGAATAATATATTCTCATATATTCTTTCTTTTAACTATATTTCATACAATTAGTTATGATGAACATCTTTGTAGCTATGGAGCCCACAACAAAACTGATTGGAGATTTATTTGTTATGATGATCTTATTTCAGTCGTGCCTATTTATTGTAGAACTGGAGCCAGAAGTACATATATATATATATATATCATATATTACTTTTCGCATTATAATAATTTTTTCAAATTAACTAGTATAAGCAGTAAGAATAAAGTATAGTAAGAATAAATAATAATCCTCTTAAAAAAAGATTAAATAATCTATGCATGAGAGGAAATTTATATTAAAATCAACAAGATTTGCATTATACATATTCACATATAATTCCTCTAACTTTAAGAATAATGTGTTTATAATATTCTCCTCTTAATCTTAGAGGAATCCTCTTGAGACCATTTATAAAAGTAAAATCCTCTAAAATTTAAATGATTCCGCTTGTTCTGAAGTTACTTTTTTTTTGGATGCACTTGCCGCTTTGCGGCAGAAATGTTTAATCGACGACGGCGATGTTTCTCACGACGTGGATGTGACCCGCGAAATGAGAACGACGAGACGCGCGAACGATCGTCCTTGCGATTCACGAGGCAGTTACGCACGCGAGGTCCTTCCAGGGGGCGGGGGAGGGGGGACGAGAAATGTGCTTTCGCGAGGGTCAATACCCAGTGCTTGCTCCCGAGAGATCGTCGGAATATGAAGGCGGCGTGTAAAGAAGGTAAGTAATAAATATAGATCAAGCATATCCTACTTGAGTGAGAGTGACTACGCGCTGCCTCTATCCTGGTGCAAAACAAGGTAGAAAACAGTCCGATATATTGTGTTGCAAGAGAGTACAAAAGAGAGATGTATAGAGAAGAGTATATAGAATCGTATATATGTAGAGAGAACGTACGTAGAATTCGCTAGAGAGAGAGAAACTAAAGACTAAGAGAAATCAAATGAACTCCGAATTAAAGACAGGTGCATACCACAGAACCGCATTGTACAGGGCGCGGACTTTGAGGGAAACATACCGGAGTAGCCTCGTTATGTAGTCCGGCCAGTTGTCTGGGAACATCACGAGGAAGAAACCGACCGCGATGAAGATCATGCCCGCTAATTTCATGCCCATGAAATGCGCCCCGTAAAGGACCACGTCCAATGCTGCGCAATCGTGTCAGCGATTCGTCAGTCGGTGACGGGCAATCATTGCGAATAACCCCACTTCTCCCCCCCCTCATGTAACATTCCAATCTTGTGCAAATTTCCATCCTTTAGAAAAGTTCTACACTTTTTTCGCACAATCAGTGCAATCGCTACTTGTCTGTTACGGACGTTCTTGCGGAAAATGTAATGGAATAATTGAAATTGTCGTTGCAAAAAGATTTCCTATGCGATCACTTCATGAGTTTTTGCGCGCACTTTGCTAGTTACGTTTTCTTATTTTGCAATTCTCATGTGCATTTCTCAAGATTACTTTTATGTGGCTGAAAAGTTTATGGAAAAGTTTGGCCGCGACAAAGATTCGAAGATTTTGCACACAAGTTTCGACTTGACTCTACCCGAAGAGAATTAGGTCATCATCGATACTCACCGGCGGACACAGGTACAGCCGTGATCAGCCCGAGGGTGATGAACAGGTCGTAGGTGAGCGCGATGCTGAAGTTGCCGAGCATATTCGCGACTGTGAACAGAGCGTCGAGAGAGCGCGGTTAGAGTCGGTGAAGCGTCAAGGCTAAGCTAGCGGTCTAATTCAACGCGAGAACCAGACCTAAGTGAAGGATGCTGGCGGAGAGCAGCGTGGCCCAAGGCAGCCTCGCCCAGTGCATGGTTTCCGCTCCGGAGAAGTAGAGGGCCAGGCAGATCGGCCACAGCAGCGCGGCGTTGCACAGACCGATGAGTGAGAAAAATAGAGACATTTGACCGAACGTGGTCTCCCCTATGACCTTCTTGAAGAGGACCTGAACAGACGAACGGTTCGCTGCGAGGACTCGTGAATCACGAATCGTCGCAGACGAAGTCCATCGATATTTATGTGGAATTCGAAAAGATTTCAATTCTTCGATATTCGAAATTTAAGGACTCGAGTCCTCTCCCATTGTGAGTCCTAAAATCCGAATCTGTACACTTGCCCTGGTGAAATTGTCAGTCATTCGCAATTTGAAGATATCAACACCCAAAAATAAGTAATTTCAGAACAAACGGAATCACATCTGAATTTTAGAGGATTTTATTCTTATGGCCTCAAGAGGATTCCTCTAAGCTTAAGATTTTCTGTAAAAAGCTTCGCTTATAGAATACGGGAGACTATGGGAAAAATCGCTTTACAAATAGATTTTTACAAATAGAATATTTTTTTTTTAGTGAATAGCCGACAATGTCATCAAGACAATGTTCTCTCGATCACTCGTCTCCAACTTGCACGCCCGTCTCTTACCTTGTAAACAGCAGAGCCAGCTGCCGCCGATGTAGCCAAGACGACGCCACCCAGCGTGGGGCTTCCGGTTATGCCATCCATGTAGGCGAGAAGCGCGATCCCGGTGTTGCAGAGGATCACTGCGACTATCTGCAAGCCAACGGGGATGGAGAGTTGTGTAATCGGTAATTAAAGTCCTTCGCTACGGTAGAATTGTAATTTTTACTATTTATCCCAATTCAATTTATACCCATGTCGTCTCCTCAGTAAACCGCTTTACCAGTTGGGTTTGATCCACTGGTTGTAACTCGACTGAATACTGAGTTTGAATCACTGATACTGGTAGATCAGGTCGAGAAGAGACCGAGAGAACGAGTCCGCGTCTTTTAGAGCTACTGACCCTGACGCCCACAAACTGCTCGTGAAGGATGACCCACGACAATAGGTAGACACAGGAGACGTTGGTCGCGAACAACGCCATCACGTCCGTGGCCAAGAGTATCCTCAGGGAATGTATGTACATGTAATTCGTGATGACCCACAGGCCGCAGAAGAGGCTGCACCTGATCAGGAAGCGGCCGCCGGTGAAGCCCTTGTCGCGGAAGCCGCGCAGGCTCTCCGCGATTATCTCAGACGGGCTGGCGCACTTGGTCCTGGTAGCGCGGCAGATGAAGTACACGGGGAAGTATAGGACCTCCCAGTTGGTGCAGAACCACGTCGTGAAGAAAGGCGCGTTGTACGGCGGCATGATCTACAAAGCCGTCATCCGGGTGATAGAGGGAGATTTCGTCCTGCCTGCGGCGCTCTGTATATTTCTTATTTTAAGGGACTTAATGTTCCTTCGATCTTCATCCAAGAACTTTAGTCCTTCGAAATTCGAAATTAAGGATTCGAGTCTTCTCCCATTGTGAGTCCTTAAATCCGAATCTTTACACTTGCCCTGGTGAGATTGTCAGCCATTCGCACTTTGAGGATTTCAATGGCCGGCAATGTCATCAGGACAAATGTTCTCTCGATCACTCGTCTCCAAACCAGCGATAGACAAGAAAAAGGACGCTCTGGAGAGAGATTTGGCCGGGCGAAACGAAATGAGGCTAGTCTCCAGAGAAAATTTCAGGGCTCAGTTCCGAACAACGAGATTAACGTGAATGCGAAATGGTGTTTACATGCTGGTGATGAAGTCCGTTCACGGAGGCGTTCGAGGTGGAGCTCTGCGAGACGGCGTCCGGCTTATGAAAGTACAAATACTTAATGCAGTGGGTCGCCCCGACCCAGCTCGCGGTTACGCATATCGTAACGCACACCCCGAAGTAAATCTGCAATAAAGAATAGACAGACGCGAGTGAGATGCGCGTGTATCGCTGACGCGACGCTAATCCCGAAGTGAATTCCGCGCCAAAAACGGGGACGTTTCTCTCCCGCGGTACTTAAATCATCCCCCGACTCGCTCGTTTCTTCCCCTCCTTTTGTTACAAGAAACCGAAAGAGGGAGAGAGGGAGAGAGAGAGAGAGAGAGAGGGAGGAGAAAGAGAGCGATCGTTCGATGCTGATGCCGCGAATCGAGAACGCGACGACGCAATTTCTCATTGCCAGCGAGTTTGGAGACGCTATCGACCTTCTTCGCGCTTTCCGCGCAGCAGGAAGCGTAGCAGGCCGAGAGGGAGCTCGGTTGCTGCGGTTGCTGCGGCTGCTGCGGCTGCTGAGCGAGCGGGGTCGGAGTCGGGGTCACATGAGTCGACGCCTGACTTTGACCCGTCGGCTGAGTCTGCACACTTCCGCTACCACCACTACCACCACCACCGCCGCCGCCGCCGACGGCACCGCCGCTTCCGGTGGTCTCCAGGGTGCGGCAGCTCGACGCGGAATCGGCGCACCCGTCCGTCACGCCGCAGCCCTGCTGCTGCTCGCATCCTGAAACAGTCGCAACGTGAGTCCTGCCTGCGCAGGGGATCACCGGGACGGGAGGAGCCCCCCCTCAGCGGAGGCACTTCCGGCTCTCTCGCGAGCTTCCTTCGCGTGCGAAAAGAATCAGATCTTGTTTGCGGTGTCCCTTTTTCAGCTTATCAGGGTGTAACATCAACATACAGGTCAGTATGACGGGTTGCTTGCTCCTATTTGGACGATAATGTAGAAGTCGCCGAAAAAGTCACTCGTTGACTTTGTTGATAATGATATTTAAACCATGCTCCCACCCAGTCAGAACCATAACGTTGATTCGACGTCGAATCAACGTTGTGGTTATTATGACAAGTGCAACTAACTAACTTTGCACCGTGATCGTTATGACGGTTTATCGACCATTTATCGATCAGAGTCGAGCCTCATTGAATTGAGAAAGATATCTAAAAAAGTGAAACTGAGAAATAAATATTACGGAATTAAGCAGAATAAATGAGAGTAATAGTTAAAAAGATAAATATTTGTCATAACTGGGAGCACTGCAAATATCATTATCAACAAGGTCAACGAGTGACCTTTCCAACAAGCTCTGCATTATCGCCCAAACAGGGTAAGCAACCCGTCATACTGACCTGTATGTTACACCCTTTACGCTTGAACGCACGGCAGTGCTGAATGCAGAAGAAAGATCTACGAATCGTGTCATTCCCGTCTGCGAGAGAGCGAAGCTGCGTGACACGTGTGTGTGTGTGTGTGTGTGTGTGTGTGTGTATATGGGAGCGTGTGCGTGCTGAAAGAATCATAACCCAAAGCGAAACTCCGCAGTACTCCGTCTCGGAAGTTCCTCGGTCAAAGCGTGTCCAGCGCGCGGTCTCTTCGCGGTATGGCTTCTATGCTATGCAAACTAAGCGCAGCGGAATCGGTTTATTATGTACACGCGAGAGCGTTTGAACGATATACCGAAATGCTAATGCCAAGACTAGTACTAATAATAATAATAATGAGATGCTAATGCAGAGTTTTACTAGCAGCTCTAATCGCTCTAAATCCCTCGTAAGTACTCTACACACTACGACAGACTATGGATCCAACCCCGCTAAATCAGTTCTCGCTCGCCCGATCGATATCGGAACACACACTCATTGACGATCGTCACACACATACACACACACACACAGGGTGTCTCCCACCCACCGTGTGCCCTCTCAATCTCGCCGCTTCTGAAGCCTTGGAATCGGCTTTTCCCGGCTTCACAGCGGTATTCAAGTTAAAGTTCGGTGAAATCTGGTTGGAGCGCATTGAAGTTAAGTTCAAGTTTCACGCGGCCGGTTGCGACTTTCTTGCTGAAGTATACGGTAAAGTAGTCGCGGCGAAAGATCAAAGCAAGAGCTATGTAGGAATAATTGAGAAGTAAAATTTTTCGAGCAACAACCTCGCACAAAGGGACCTTCGAGGCTCCATGATCGTAATCGGAAGAATATCTCGACGATGAAGTGAGAAATTACCGTTTCCGATTCGTCGACATTCGTTTTCTCCCTCTCCTCTCCCTTTCCCTCTCGCTTTCTCATTTTCGAGTCGCAATCGTTGAAAGAGCATCCGATGGGCCGAGCACGATCTGCGTGTTGAAGCGCACCGACTTACCTGCAGCTTCGACAAGCTCGACGACGATCTGGACGGGACTGAGGAACGAGCTACGTTGCTGATCTTCGCTGAGGATCACATTGGACGTGAGCGAGCGTCGGGGGTGGAATATCGTCGGTACCTCACCAACCTGCCCGCTCTCCATGTTCGAGCGTGCTCTCTGACTTGACTTGACGTCGTTAGAGATCGCGTGGTCGCGGCACGTTACAACACGACGGCCAGCGCTCCGCACAAGCGACTCGTGAGAAGTGCCCGCTTGCGCGACTTGGCGGTTTGTGTGCACGACTTGTTGATCTGCCGACGTGTTCGCGGGCGTGCAGCAGCGATACATACATGTGTTCGGCGCTCGCCAGAATCGATGCACGTTCAACGCCCACATTCGGCGATTGAACCCGCTGTTATCTCGGCGAATTCACCTGCCCATGTGCGCGCGCGCGTGTGCGTTGCGTGTACGTGCGCGCGCTTACTCACGGCGGACATCACGCGAAGTGTCGCATTAGCTAGCTAGTTAACATCGGCGATCGGCGGGTGCATCGCGTACGCGGACACGCTGTTCGTTAGACCTCTGTTCGTTAGCGCGCGTTCATAGCCTGAAAAGAATTCAACGTTTGCGGGGTTGAAACCAACCGACGTGCTGCAACACATTCGGGGGATCGCTGTGAATTTCGCTGGGAGAGAGAGAGAGGGGGGGGGGAAATCATGATGACGTCAAAATGATGAGGAAGACTAATTTTTTCATCATGATTCGATCATTCTGAAGTCATCATGATTTTTTTGTTCTGCCTGGGACCGTTCGTCACGAATTACGAAGAAACGCATGAAGAAAGCTTCAGCTTATACGTGTCAAAATAACACACTCGGGTTTGCAGTGTGCACATAAAACTTTAAACGCGTTTATCTGGAAACACCAGATTTTCTTAAACTGCCGACAAGATTATGCAAAAATTACTGAACCGAACGACTTGAAATTTTTACACAATGTATATAGACGTAGACAATATAGACATGTAGTTTTCGCTCCCCTCCCCCCCTACCTCGAACACAGTTATATTTTATTTTATTCATTTTTTTTAAACATGATTACAGGTTGAAAAATGTTTCACTTTCGATACTTTTTTTTTATACAGTCATTATTTTTCCAAACTTGGCTTCACTGCCTTCATTTTGGTTATAACGGGCTATAATGGCAACCGTATATTTAAAAAATTTTTCTTATTTTTTGGTTTCAGAATAGTGAGAGGCCTGGAATTATGTCGACAGCAAACATAGAGCTCGCAAACGGATGACTGCATTTTTATCTATAATTACAAATTGGATCGGTTCTTGTGATTCAATAACATTTATCTTATACTTTGAACATTAATAAATACACCGTGAAAATTCAAGTCTATTGATCATACCGCTTCTATTTAAAAAATTCGTAAAAATAGTCTTGAAAACGGCCTGCTTCGCATGAAATTCCGCTCTTAATTTGACGTCGATGAGGGTTAAATTAACGTCGATTCAACGTTTCATCAACCATTTCACCGTCGAATCAACGTCGAATCAACGTTATGGTTCTTACTGGGATCAAGCTCGGTTCGTCGAATTCGAATCCGCAGTCCTCGACTCTCGCAATAACTGGTCTGACGAGGGTCCAAGAAAATACGCTAATCGTCGCGTGTCGGAACGAACGCGGAAATTCCAAGTGCGTTCTCTCTCTCTCTCTCTCTCTCTCTCTCTCTCTCTCTCTCTCTCTCTCTCTCTCTCTCTCTCTCCCTTAACGAGACCCGATCTCACCGGGAGAAAATCGATCTCAGTTTTCGCTCACGAAACTGCCGTAATCCCTGGAAGTGTTTTTCTTTTTCTCTCTCGGTCTCTACGTGCTCGAGAGAGAGAGAGAGAGAGAGAGAGAGAGAGTGCGGAGGTAACGCGACACGATGGATGGACGGCGATGTATGCCCGTGGCAAGGCGATTCTACTGGCTTCGCAGCCTCGGGATAAAGCTCGACGAACGAAAGTATGTCGGCGTGTGGCAGCGTGCTGCGTTTAAGGCGTAACATAAATTAACGAGGGTTCTACGCAGGACGAACACACAAATTCGACGGCGTGATGATAAGCGTTATTACACGATAAGCGTTATTAGCGAGAGCTTACCGGGAGGAAGAAAAAAAGAGAGAAAAACAATAGAGACAGAGAGAGAGAGAGAGAGAGAGAGAGAGAGAGAAGGAGAGAGAGAAAGAGGAAAAGAGAAGCAGAGTGAGCGCGAGCGAGAGGAGAGAAAAAAGCGCAAGAGATCAATAGAACTAAAAATATCTCCTTTCGGATGAGAGTCATGCAGTCCGGCGGGTAAGTGCATCTCACTCGAGAATCGTCGCGCAGGGTGTGTTTCGGCGTGTCCCGGACATTCGAGGACATGTCCCGGATCGGGAGATCTCCGCTCCCGTCGCGACGTGAATGAGGAGCTCGAGGGTCCGCTTCTCCTTCGAAAAAGAAGAAGAAAAACGAAAGAGCCGCAGAGAATTGAATTATAAGTGAATTACGTCGCGCTTGTCAGCTCACTCATTCGTCGAGATCCACACGCGCGGCAATTCCGCGTGTAAATATTCAAGTATTCACGTGTGTGCGCAGTGACCAACACACGCGCACGCTGTTCTCCACGACGCGGACGCGTCCCGATTCAAGCGTCGGTCCCAGCGAAATGACTGCGAAATCACCGGATAATTCCGGTCATCGCGCGATGATTTAACAACAACGACCCCCGCTCGGGGTGTGCTCTAGCACCCCGCGCGACCCTGACGAAGCACCGGGAGTCCAGTGGACGGGGCTCGTGGAGAAGAGACTGCTCGTTGCGCACGTACCTTCCTTATGTTTCTCCTCCAAAGTCGCGCCGCTTTCGACCTGCGACGTATCCATGTTTCATGGTCCACCCCCCCGGGCGCGATCCGACTGACTCCTCGCGCTCGATCGCGACTGCTCCCTCGAGACCGATGTCACAACCGCATCGCCGCGCGCCGCGACAGTTGGCTCTTTCCGAATTTCCCTCCCCCCCCCACTACCACCCTCCTTTCCTCTTTCTCTCGCGGAAGCGACGCTCGTCGTGTTGGGAATAATTAGTCCGCCATTAGTGCGCAATCGGAGGCGCGCAGCGCGCGGCGGGGCTGATTACGCGATTCCCCGTCCTAATCAGGCTTGTATTTACAAGCTTCCTCCTCAGGGTTACGCACCCCCGCAGCGGAGACAGGGCGAGAAACACGGTGTGTTCTCCCCGTGTACGTCCGCCGCGCACTGCACCGATCGCGGTCGGACGGTCTCCAACACCCTGCCGTGCCATTGATTACCAAGCGAGCCTCGCTCGCTCGTTCGTTCGTTCACCAGGCCGCTCGCGTCTGCGCCCGTTTCGCAGTAACCACTTCCAGGCCATCGACGTTCCGACTGTAGCTCTTGGTAGCAGAGAGCTATATAGGGTGTCCTGAACCATTTAACGGGGACTGAGGAGTTTCTGGAGGTCGCGCGCAGGGGAAATTCGAAGCGGAAGAGCGGAGCGGAGCGGAGAACGTATTTTCACCGTTTTATCGAATAAATTAGGACTCCAACTCGCTTCTGGTGTTTTCTGATCATCATCGCATGTGTGGTTTTCTCTTCAGTGGATCAGCAGTTCTAGCTCACCCAAAAAAATGTATTCTATTTGTAAAGTGATTTTTCCCATAGTTTCATATTTTAAGCGAAGCCTTTTACAGAAAAAGGATTTCTCTTTTGATGAAGCGATTAAAGTGAACCATTCATCTAAGATTTATTAGATATTATTCTGTCTTCTTCTTATTTCAAGAGGATTTCCTCTTGTATCAATTAATGAATGAATCTTACATGAAGAGGAATATGTCGATTTGGATGTCGGCTTCTTTTGTTATGAAATAAAACAATTAAAAAATACAAAAATAAGATGAGACACAAAGCATCCTAAAAATATTTTAATTAAGAAATTAAGCTTATATATGCTGATCTAAAGATATCAGCACATATAAAATAATTAAAAAATATAAAGAAGATGGAACACAAAATATCCGAAAAATGTCGGCTTGTTTTGTTAGTCATGCTCTCCAAAGCTCCAAACATGAATGAAAAATAACCATATGCTCATGAGTCAGAATATTTGAAACGCTTTTTAAAAAAAGTATGTGTACTGCTGTATAACATATAACAAAGATAATTTACCCATATTTGGTCAAATACAGTTTATAATCTATTGCAAGAAATTGAATAATATATTCTTTCTTTTACTATGTTTTATACAACTGATTATGATAAACATCTTTGTAGCTGTGAAGTCCATAAACAAAATTGACTGGAAATTTATTTGTTACGATGATCTTGTTTCATTCGTGCCTACTTATTGTAGAACTGGAGCCAAAAGTACATCTACACATATATTACTTTTCGCTATATATATTATAATAATTTTTTCAAATTAACCAGTATAACCACTAAGAATAGAGTACAGTAAGAATAAATAATAATCCTCTTAAAAAAAGATTAAATGATCTGTGTATAAGAGGAAATTTATATTAAAATCAATAAGATTTGCATTATACATATAATATATATAATCCCTCTAACTTTAAGAATAATGTTTATAATATTTTCTTCTTAATCTTAGGGAAATCCTCTTGAGGCCATTTATAAGAATAAAATCCTCTAAAATTTAGACAATTTCGCTTGTTCTAAAATTACTTTTTTGCTGGGTGAGCTCAATGATTATCAGCATCGACCAGTTTCTTGAAGTTTTTTGAAGACTCCATCTTGTTCTTGCTCCGCTGACTCTGACTCCACCTTATGACTGCAAAATGATTCTGAATAATATGGTACATTTGATTTTTAATTCGTTTCGTGATTATCATAATTGTGATGACGAAGATTGTTTTTCTTTGTTTGAACCAATTTACGATCCTGACGGTTTGCACAGGATTATAAAACAATTATAAACGAATTATTGCTGTTCGTAACGTTCATCTGCTTGCTAAATGTACATGCTACGCGTCCAAGCTGCACAAATATCGTACGTACAATACCGTTTTATTAACTCAGTCGTACAGCCGCGCGTCATTATTTTTATAGTTGTATTTACAAGTGACTTTCGAGGTTGAAGCGGCTCACACGCTGAGCATAATCACATAATCGATCGTAATTGGGGCGAAATTACGCCCAGGCTCGCACGCGCGTTATGTTGCCGTGATTCACTCGGGCTCTACCAGTTTCCACGACTCCATTCTGCGTGGCTGACACCAGGAGGGAACTTTTTCTCATGCATATTCATAAAGAACGGCAGCTAAGCGCTTGTCCTTCCTCGGCGATATCGTATGACGGCTCGCAATAAGTTACAAGGATACGTCACTCCGAAAGACCCTCGAGGTGCCGTCGCTGTCGCGAGAGAGCAAGGGGAACGAGAACGAGGAGGCAGAGGGGAGAGGAGGAGAAGGCAGAAGAGATAATGTTAGCTGAAAAATATTTTATTCCGTACTTTTCTGAAATAAGAGATTCAATTAATTCTAAAGTGACGTCACGAAGTAAACCCTCGCTGATATCTTACTTCGGCATTGATCTCAACGTTGCTACATCTAAGTAGGAAGTATCATCTTTTTCTTTTCTTTTCCTCTTTTTCTTTTGCAAGAAGGCATAAGTACAAATACAGAACAGGTGTATATATAAATAGGTACATTCATACGCAATGCGATATGTCCGCGCGGTAAATTACAGATGGCTGAGTGTTCCGGTAATATATGTATATATAATAAAAACAAGGGAGAATTTTTTTTTTCTTTCTTTACGCACAGTGTGGACTCGCCCACGCGCGAATCCGTCGTCTGAATTGTCATACAAAATTAATCTGCAAAAGTATACAGGAAATCACTGTGCAGGTGTGTAACATGGGAGAGAGAGAGATCGTACGAATAAAAACAGAGAGTCAAACAAAGGACAAACACGAAATTATTATTAGCGTGGTGGTCCCGATTTCTTTTCGTCACGACTCTGTTAATCATAGTTGCTCGTATAACCACAATTTATAATTATCACCTAAAGGGGAGAAAGTATTAGTAAGAGATCTAAAACTACACTATCGTATAGTAGAAAATCATACGCCATCTCGACCGCGTTATCGACGTTGTCACTAATTCGCTATCAGCTAATTATTGTGTCGTAATAATCGATACTTCATTGACGCATTACTCCCATCTGTATTTACCACTCTGCGACAGAGAAATTAAGCTAATAAATTAAATAACCCGTAACAATCGAAACCGCGACTCGGCCGCGGTCGTATCGCAGAATAACACAGGAGTTCAATCGAGAAGATACACAATTGCCGTTTTGCGAGAAGCACCATTTTGTACACGGAGACTGAACTGAAGCTATAGTTAAAATAAGCTAAATTGTACTTCGGTACAATTCACTCCAAACGTATATACGTCACGTCGTAACGTCACGTGTAAACTAAATGCGCGAAATGACAATATAAAATTTACTCCGTATCATCGTTGGACATTCGACAGAACTTTTACATCCGTAACAGGATTAATTAGCAATCTGTGATGTTATTAAAACACATTTCTCATACGAATGTTCTTTAAATATTAAAGATATTCAAATATTTAAATATTAAAGATATATATACGCGTAACTGTCTGTGTTATTCTAAGATAATCAAGACGCATGTAAGGGAAACCGTAAACATCCCTTATCGAGTATCACATTATATTTGTGCATTGCTTACTTATGCACTGATTAAGGCCCATAATCTCAAAAGTTTCCTTTTTTCAGTCTCTCGTTGTGTTCCTAGCTAGAAGATACCTAATGTGCAACTGTCAGAGTTGCTGTCGTAGAGCTACGCACGTACGCGCGGACACGTGCAAACAAAATGACATGGCATAAGAAGAAATATCGTTCGATCAACGCGATTAATAATAATAGTGTAAACGCGTCCGCTTTTTTATTAATCAAGAATGTTAGAGGCATGTAGAGAAAAAAAAAATGAAACAAAAAGAAAAAATTAGTCGTACGCGCGCGCGCCTCTGCACATACACACCTGATGTTTTCCAATTAAAATATAAATTAAAGACACGCACACACATCTTGATAATGTCGTTATTGCTATATATATACATATACATGCAAATGCGTGTATATATATATACATATATAATGTTTGAAATTGAACTCAGCGCTAAAGAGAGTCAACTACTCTCGACACTCGTAGTATTATATATAAACCTCTATGGAAGAAAATTTTTATAAATGTAATATATTGGTTGTTTTTATTGATGTAAAAGCAGCGTTTACACCTTCATAGATACTATGAGGTATTCGGCTCGTGTGATGATGTATCAACATTATCTCCGAAATAAAATAAAATCTATGTACAAGTAATAGCTGCGAGTAAAACAGCCAGGAAAAAAAAACGTTCCACGCTTATCGACGATACATATGTTCTAATTGTTATGCATGCTACGCGCTAATTCTATCGAAATATATGGAAATATATAATTAGAAATAATGACACACGCGTCGTACACCGGGATCGCTAGTTAAATATGTTCTTGTAAAATAGATGAAATAGAATATAACCACCCTCGCGGAAGGTGCAATAAAAATATATGTATATATATATATTGTATATATGTGTGTATATATATATATATATGTGTATATATATATGTATATGTGTGTGTGTGTGTATGTGTGTGTGTGTGTGTGTGTGTGTGTGTGTGTGTGTGTGTGTGTGTGTGTGTGTGTGTGTGTGTGTACACACATATATATGTGTGTATATATATAAATATATATACACATACACATATACATATAATCTCACAATAGAATTCGCAATAATCTGTCGCCGAACATATAAAATAAACACATACACACGCACACACATGTGTGTTTCGTACAATTTTGATGAACGACACATCTCTTAAAGTGTTGGTAAATGCAGCACACATTAACGTAAAATATCCAGATTAGACGGTTCTACCGTTAATTATTCGATGCATTATTGCGATTAACTCCCTCTCTCTTTCTCTCTCTCTCTCTCTCTCTCTCTCTCTCTCTCTCTCTCTCTCTCTCTCTCTTTCTCTCTGTGTGTGTATTTCCTCTTCTCCTTCAATTCAGCCGTTTTTTACCGACGGCACATATATAGATATATGTACATAAAGTATAATATATATTATCCATTTAAAAAACATTATCGACCAGGTTTCGGAAACTTTGTTTCTCAGTTCGTTTCGTTTAAAGTACATCTCACGTAGCAAATAAATGTTAACAAAGTTGCATCTGCTGCTGCTAAATATGTGATATTTTGTACAAGTTATTTGGTGCCACGACATATCGTTAATTGAAAATTTACAATATGTATACATGTATATGTATATGTATGTATATGTATGTGTGTATATATATATATATATACACTACTCTGTTCTCGATTGTTGATCGATATTTAAGCGTTATGTACAATTAAGGTACATATAGATTTGTGTGTGACTACCTTCATGTAAAATATGCTTAGGTTCTGCAAAAGGTAGCTTTGGGATTATCAATTATACCTGTTTATTTGAGTGAGCGATCAAAGTAAATTATGTACACATTCTCTTCAACATATGATTTAATACAATCACACGTAACCAACTACCTAAGCAATATACTTAACAATAAATAACTGGGTACATTTAGATCGCAAAGTATCGAAAATTTTGGATATTGTCCTCTAGTGTATTATTAGTATCATTATTGTAGATCTTTTTATAATTGAAAAAAAAAGTCACCGCTTGTATGATTTACAAATGACACGAAATAAGCCTTTCAAAGAGCTCATCTTCCTACGTCGACAACCTAATGAGGTAAGATGAACCGCTACTTTCTCTCTCTTTCTCTCTTTCTTCGTACAAATATCGCGATCGGATGAACGCGGATTTATATTATTCCTAAACAAAAAACAGATCACTTTTATTTTTCACCGAGCCGTTCAATGTTCAATGGAGTTATGCGATGCTACAAGATTTATAGGCAAGATTCTACGTTTTTTCCTGCATAATGTTTGTGTTTCTGCAGCTAAATTTAGTATTGTTATCGGCATCTAAGTTACGCGAAAACAACAATGCACTAACATGCTCCTGATGAAATGTAATGTAATTGCCGGTTATCGAATATGAAGTCTGACCATTGTTTGAAAAGGCACATACTCCGTTTCATGTGGTTGATCGATCTGGACTGACATAAATTGTCGTATTTTGATCATAATATTTTCGTCCGACTGACGAAAACGTTCTCTGCGAGACAATAAAATTTGACTTCTATCGACATGCGATACTTCTGCCTAAATAAACGCGTTGCGAGTAATGGTTAGATATTTGTGAAGCGAGTGTGATTAAAACGGTTGATCATCGTTCCGATGAGATATCGCGCAATAACTCGAGGATCTCGTTACTTGCTAGTTCGGAAATTTGCCGTGACTCGGTGTTATAAAGGTGGCAATTGAACTCAGTGGACGAAGATTTATCACACACACTACTTATAAATATAATTATAAAGAATGACACCTATAAAGGCATAATGTACACTACAAAATATGCTCAGGATCTTTTAGAGACATATGATTTTTGTGCTTTACCTTACGACCCTGTCTTTTGGGTGCTTTTCGAGTAACCTTGGATTCCCTGGATTCTTGTTTGTTGAGACCGAGCCGAAAACGCACCGGCACTTTGGAATCAAGAGTGGTCTCATCTGTGAAGTTGAAAGAACACAATGATGTTATTGTAAGGTAAAGCGCTTTTTTGTGCGATCGTCTTTCTTCGCGTTCCCTCGATACGAATTATTGGGTGAGTGCAAGTTTTGATGAATTTCTTCACACAGCTTTCTATCACGAAATCTATCAAAACTTTCACATTCACCCAAATATTTTTTTTATACGTGTGCGCAACAAAATGACGATGTACAGAACAAGGTAATAAGATATTGTTGATAGATAAGGTAGAAATAATAAATTTTGTCTGAAAAAGAAAAACACAAGACGTTTCAAATCGCTAACGATGCTGCGAATCTAAACTTTGCAACTCTCTCTGTCATGTACTATATTTAAAGATGCAATTACCTTCAGAATCATGTAACTCAGATACAGATCGATGTAGAACTGTAACTCGTCGGACTTCTTTTTGATTTGCTGTAAAGAAAGACGCATCGATCGTCAGGAAAGAATTTGCATAGACGGGAAGAGGGACATGAATACGCAGTCAAACGTAAAAAAAATTATCTCTTCATTATAAATCTACTGCTTACTTTTCTCGTCAGTATTAATGACATGCCTCTGATTGGCCTTGGCATTATTCTTCACAACTCTGCGGGAAAAAACACGGAAAGAAAGAAATTAAGCGAGACCGTTGCGAGAAGACGACAAAGGTGCTATGCTAAACGCTTTGTTCATACTCACTCGTTGACGACGCCTTTAAAGGCCGACTGCACTAATCTAGCGGACTGAATGGGAACTGTTCTATTCAATCTCTCAGCGCGCCTCCTGCTGAGCTCTGCTCGCAAGTCTCCCTCCTCGTCTATCGCCAGGTCCTCGAATATAGCGTCGACGTCCTCGCTCGGGCCGTCGGAGACGATCTCTTTGCGCTTCTTGCACTTCTCCTTGCCGATGCGCTCGGAAAGTGGCAGTTCGCTCTTCAGCTTCCCCACTTGATACAACTCCTTGTCGCGCTTCTTCCTCTTCTTCGGCGGCTTCTCCTCCGCTTTTTGCGGCTCCACATCTATACACGTATTTATGGAGCTCGTAATGGCGCCCGAAGACGCATCGTCCGCTCCTTCAAGCTCCTCGAACTCGTAACTGGTTTCCAGACACAGATCTACCTCCTGGATATCATATTCGTCCGACGACTTGTTGATCTTCCTCATTCCGCCCAACTGAATCTCTATTGTTTCCGAGGTCTCTATCTTGGTCGCCGTGTGTTTCTTGCATAATTTGATCTTTTTGTTGGCGTTCACCGGATCGATAGGCCGCGTGGACTCAAACTTCTTCCTTCTCGCTTCGAGCACAGGGTCGTTGATCACATCCACGGGCTCCTTCGCCGTCTCCATCGTTGTCACCGGTTTCTCATATGGCTGCTCATCCTTCTGTTTAGACTTCAGCCGTGCCATCTCCGGTGTCGTTGCGCTTTTGAAGCTCGGCGATGGTTCTCTCGCATACAAGCTGGCCGGATTGTCCGGAGTGGCCGAACGCGGTCCGTGCTTCCTAGGTAATTCTTTCGGCGACCACTTCGGGGACCGTCTGCGCCTAGGCGAAGGTAGCCGCGGCGAATTTCTCGGGGAGGACCACGGAGACCTGCGTGGAGTCCTGCGTGGCGATACTTTGGGTGACTGCAAGCGCGATGATCCTCTACGAAGAGGCGATAGACCGGGCGACCTAGACCTGGACGGTAATCTTCGCGGAGGCGTTCTCCTGGAAGGTGACCTGGGGGACTTGGACTTGGGCGATCGGTGCAGTGGCGGCGATAGCCTCAGAGGCGAAGACCTCGGCGTCCGCGATCTCGACAGTCGCGGCGATCTGGAACGCGAGCGAACTTTCGGCGTGCGTGGCCGTGGCGATTTGGAGCGTGACAATCTTCTCGGCGATCTCGATCTCAGCGGCCGTGGCGACCGGGAGCGCGAGGAGAGCTTAGGTGATCTGCCTCTCGGGGACAGCTTCCTCAGGGGTGATCTTTTCGTGGACAACGTACGATTCGGGGACCTGCGTGGCGAAAGTTTGGGCGATCTGGGTCGCGGCGAGTATCGCGACGGAGATCTTCGCGGTGATCGGTACCTCATCAATTCTCTCGGTGATCTCCTCGATTGTCTCGGCGGGGATCTTCTAGGCGATCTTCTTGGTGACTTCTTGCGCGGTCGTGACCTCGGCGACAATGATCTGCGCTTCTGATTCACGCGGGTCACTATATGCGGCGAGACCGATCTTCTCTCGCTCTTGACTGTGGTTAAGGACGAAGCGGTCGTGACGTTGTTCCTATCCTTTTTGCCGGAACAGCTCTCGTCCGATTTTGTTCTTTGTGGTGGCTTCTCGGTGGCTTTACTGTTCTCCTCGTGCCTCGTCAAGTTCTTTCCTTCACCTTTGCTCGATTTCTTCTCTTTCTTCTCTAACGGTTTGCCCACATTCATTTCTCGCTCCATCTCATCCATCAAACGTTCCAGACTGTCTTCTTCTTCGAGGTCAGCCATTAGAAGTATATCGTCGTCGTCATCATTACCGTCTTCCTCCTGGTCTTCTCCGTTCTTCTGCGAAGTCTCTGTAACCTCTTCTTGAGTCTCTGTCTCTACCAAAGCCTCTGTCGGTTCCTCCTTTGCTGTAACTTCTGTCTTTACAGACAGTTTTGCAGTGTTTTTCGACTCCTTCGTATCTTCATCTTCAGAAGCACTTCCATTGTCTTTGAAACGATGAAATTTTGATATTTCTGAAAATACAATTGTATAATTGTTAAACTCATATAACGGGAAACATGCATAAAGTCATTATTATCGATAATCAATTTTATGTTCTAATGAAAATACAGAAAACTCACCTTGAGGGCATGGTTCTACTTTTGACTCAGTCTTTTCTACATTGACAGGGCAAACTGTTCCAATTTGTTGGAGTGGTGAAGGTTCATCTACAGGAACTATTGCTATAAGGTTTGGATTACGAGGGCTCTGATAATATACATTCTGTAAATAGAAACATTAAATTAAGATTAGATGTTCCACAAATATTACTGTAGGCTATATTTCATCAAATATGTGTATACAATTTGAACATTACGAAGCACAAGCACAACAAACATTGTTATATTAATACCTACACATAAAACCAGTCATATTTGCTTGGAAATCCAAATATACAAATAGAAGACTTACGCCATTTTGCCTTTGTTGTGTTCTGTTGTAATGAAAATTCCTTCTTATAGGCCGTTGATTTTTGTATGGGATACGAGATGGCTGCGTTATTTGTGGTAATATCGGTTGTCTGTTACGTGCTGTGTCCTTAGCTCGAATTGACTGAAGTGCTACCATTCTTAATGTTTCCAAATCCTCGTCGTCGTCATCATCGGTTTTGATTTTTGTTTGAGGAACTACAACCATCTGTGTGTGAGAAAGCACATCATTAGTACATGTTGACACGAGATACAAGATATGTCATACAGCGCAAGAGAAGTAACGAGAGCCGCGTTGTTGCGACATTGACAATTTCAGCACGAGAAATAGCGCTCAGAAAGACGAATTTTCACAGAACACACACACATAGTTAGGTCGAGATGTTTCTTATGCTGTCGAACACATCTCAGTACCGCTTTATCACCGACATATTTAACATGTATCTACGTCGTTCCTCGATAGAGGTTTCGTCGATGAAGGGACACCTCAATCGCGGGTAGCGCGTGCTACGCACTCGCACAGATCTTATCGACACAACGACCTACCTTTTCGCGATAATCCATTTTATTGAGAAGAGTTCTGGGAAGAGCTGCACTGTTCACGATGGGCACGGCGGGCTATGCCGTTCGCGTCTTCGCGAATAGTCTTTACGCTGAGCGCACGCAAAACTGCCGCGCGTTGCATATACCGCTGAGACGCGTCACATGCATACTGCGAGTCAAAATCAACACATTTTCTCTTTCACATCAATATTTGCCGATTATTATAAAGCACTCTCGAAGGAAAGTCGCTTACTCTACTCGTCACCCCCTACCACACGTAAATAAAAATGGCGACATGAATATATAGAGCTAATGATCGTGGACTGTGAAAAATTATTTGATAAGAAACTAGAGCAAGAACCTCTAATGTCACAACGGAGAATTCACACTGCGACCGACAGTCCAATAGGAAAGTCTGTTTCCTAGAGATAACAATGGCCGCGTTCAGTAGAACAAAATGGCTGCATTCAGCAGACTCAACAGTTGGACAACATTACTAGATTTTTCACTGAATCTCGCTCCTGATTGGTAAATACTTCAGGGCCTATGAAAAATCTAAAAGAATGCTCCAATCACAGACAATAATCACTAAGCGCTCTCTGATCGCTTTGTTCTGCTGAACGCAGCCAATGTCGTTCGTCATGGGTGACTAGATTAACGGATGTGTTGATTGGCTGTCGAATAGAATGTCTCTAAAATCCCTATAATTTTCTTTGAACATTCCCCATCTGAGTGCGATAGTGGATAAGAGTATTTTTATTCGTGTAGCCCATCTTCGTACTATCGAAGGAATTCATAAATCTAAGACAACTTTTTAAATATACAATTAATTGCAAATACGATAATTTTTCTGAGCGATTCGTAATTTCTGGTGCGATAATAAATAATTACTGTAAGCTGAAGCAAAATTAGGGTGAGAATTATTTTTTCCTAAACATTTACATTATCTGACCCGACAGAACATTGGATCACCGTTTGTTTAACGCTTTATTTTTAATGCTTTTTTCAGGTAATAAACGGCAAAATGCACACAAAGTGTCTTGTTATTTGTAGTATCGTTCTTGCTTGTTGTATACTGATAGTTGTGAGAATAATTTATTTAATATTTATCAAACGCAATGAGCCCAGAAAAAGATCTCATCCTATTAAGACGATGATAATATTAGGATCAGGTGGACACACAGCTGAGATGCTACGTATCGTTAAGCATTTGAATTTTAAAAATTATTCACCTAGAGTATACATTTGTGCACAGACAGATAAACTCAGTGCAAACAAAGTCAAAGATCTGGAAAGTAATAGTGAAGATTATAAAGTTATAGATATTTACAGAAGTAGAGAAGTACGACAGTCATATCTCACGTCCATCTGGACCACTATGCTGGCTACTTTGAATTGCCTTCCAATTTTGTGGAAAGAAAACCCAGAACTTATCTTATGCAATGGTCCTGGCACCTGTGTTCCCCTATGCATCATAGCATTTTTCTTCAAAGTATTATGTCTTGCACAGAGCATTGTTGTATATGTAGAAAGTTTTTGCAGAGTTAAGACCTTCTCACTAACTGGCAAGATCTTGTATTATTTAGCTGATCATGTTGTCGTACAATGGGCGTATTTAAGTAAACCTGTATACAGCAGAAGCATTTTTTTATAAGTAAAAAGATCTTTTTCTTAAAATAGTGTGTAATTATTTTACCACCTACATGATTCCCAGAGAATGGCTAGTACTTCTACAATAAAGATTCCTTGGGAGCTATTAGTGGAAGAATTGAAGAATATACCTGTTGAGATAAGACTATACGTATCATCAATAATCAATGAGTTGCATACATCTGATAAAAAATTGTAAATATCAAATTCTTATGTAATATTTGTCTGATTTGAGGAGATTAATCAATAGTGAATCTTTATAGATCATGTATATTTAGACCTTTGATTTCATATAAATGTTTTATATAATATATGTAACACTTTTCTCCCACAAGAACATCGGAAAAGTGGATAAGCACTTCAATAACAAAGATAGAAGCTTGTTTAGATCGCACATGGGAAGCATTGAATTCAGGCTACTGGAAAGATGTCCCTATAGAATACAGATATTGTTATTCTTTATGCATTATTATGAAGGTATAAAAACTTAACATACTTTACGCCTTGTGTCTTTAAAATACTTTTACTGATTAACTCAACTTTTCTTGAAATTGTACTCTGTATTTAGGTAATACTGTTAAAACTTGAATATGAAGTGAATGCTGAGAATTTTACTGAAAAAGAGAAAAAAGCTGCATTAAAAAATATTATTAACCAAATTGACAAAGGTATTCTGTTAGGCGCGCCTCTTTCCAGTACACCAAATTTGCTAACAACTATTGCTGCAGAGCTGAACAGCTATTGTGTTGGTAAAGATTTTTATGTTATTGACGCAACAATAAAATTATATACAGTTATTAATTATTTTATATAACATTAAAGTTATATGAATAATTCAGTGACAACATTGTAAAAATAATCCATTTTTCATTAGACAATGTGTTTTCATTGAACGAATCTAGTGGCATAAGTTTAAAGGAAATTGCAATCGATGATCAAATTAATGATATAATCTTGCCCGGATTTTCGGAAGTAATACATTATGCGGAGCCTTCGATGGAGTCATTTTATAAAGAAGTTTTTATGCCGAAATGCCCAGCCGTATTGAAAGGTAAAAATATAAATTACATAAAATCTCTTGTAATTTATACATTGATAAATTAGTGTTATACATCGCGATCTGTCATAACGTAAAAACTCAAAATTATTTTCTATGAACAATATAAGCCAATATCTTCCTCTCACATAACAATTTGATAATACTTCACACGTATTTTCGGAAAATCTTCAAAGAAGACTATCAAGTGCTTATTTTTTTATGTATCTCCTTAGGTTGCATGAAACACTGGAAAGCATTGACATTATGGAAGAATCCTGATTATCTAAATAAGATCGCTGGATCTCGGATGGTACCGATCGAAATCGGTTCCCGTTATACTGAGGAGGATTGGACGCAACATCTTGTTAGTTTCTCGGAATTTTTGCAAAAGCATATTATTATGAGCGATAGTCAAGTCGGTTATTTGGCGCAACATCAACTTTTCGAACAGGTGGTACAGAATTAATCAATTCAACACAATAAAATTAATCAATCTTACACATTTTTAACGTAATAAAAAATTTTTTTTTTAATTTTTCAGATACCAGAATTAAAAGAAGATTTCGGAGTGCCCGAGTATTGTAGTTTTTCGGATAATCAAGATAATGACCAGGACATGGAACCGCCTGATATAAATGCATGGTTCGGACCTAGTGGCACAGTATCGCCCTTGCATTATGATCCAAAAAATAATTTGCTCTCTCAGGTGCCAAAATATGATTATAATGAAAATTAAATAAATTAATTATAATATTTATGAATATATGAATATATATATATATATATATATGTGTGTGTGTACATATATACATATACATATATATGTATATGTATATATGTATATGTATATATGTATATATATATATATATATATATACGTATTCTATTTTAAATTATTTATAATTAATTAATAAATCGCACTGGATATTCAATTTTATTTCATAGCAACTAAAGATCAAAATATGTACCAAGAGAAAGATTCATTTCTTCACATATTTTTATTATATATATTTCATACGTAATATACATATGAAATAGATATTTTTAAAGAAAGTTTCCTGCATTTCTTCGAGTAAATTATTGCATATTGTTAATTTATATTATAATTCATTCAGAAATTAAGATTATAATTATACTTAATTGAATGTGCATATGAGTGCTGAAAAGTTTTTTCCAAACTGGTATCTAAAATTTATATTAAATTTCTCTCGAATATCATATAATGTAGTTGTGCATATTTCACAGGTATTCGGTTACAAAAGAATTATTTTATATCATCCGGACGAAACAAACAATCTGTATCCGTATACCACAAAGTTACTAAACAATACGGCGCAGACAGACCCAATAAATCCAGATTATAACAAGTGGCCAAATTTTCGTAAAGCTAAAGGCTTCATGTGTTACTTAAAACCTGGAGAAATGTTGTATATTCCGCCAAAGTGGTGGCATCACGTAACTGCCCTCTCTCCGAGTTTTTCAATTAGCTTCTGGTGGAGTTAATAATATCATTTTGTATATAAATGTATGCAAAGTTGGAATCTACAGATTTATAGTGATATATTTGTACCAGTAATACAAGTTATACTTCTCGCCATCCTATAAATCAATATTTGTAATATATATAATAATATATTTGTAACAGTTTTATCATATATTTAAAATTAATTATAACGTACTTATTACCACGCATATTCGTTACATTTATTTAATGTAATTTACATTCACGTCCATGTAACGCGTACAATGTATTCTCCAAATGTTCCTCTAATATCAAGGAATTTCGATCAAGATCTCTTTTGTAAAGTGGCAAAATAAAGCGTAAAAATTAAAAATGACGTTGAAAACCTAAAACGAAGAAAACATGTAATAAAATATATCTATATGTACATACGTAAATGTGTGTGTGTGTGTGTGTGTGTGTGTGTGTGTGTGTGCGCGCGCGCGCGCGCACGCGTGTATGTGTGATTTAATTGTGTATACATTTAGTTGCGCACATTTAATAGTGTATTAATTTAGAAAACTGCGTTAACGTAATTTCTTATCTGTATTGTTATATATATTTTTGAGCTAATTTTCCGAAATAAATCTTTTTAAACTTCATTTACTTTGACCGATTTCTCACGAACTAAATATTACCTTGTTCTTGAAGTTTTTTTTCCAGATTACTTGTTCATTTGCTAGTTTCTTTTTTTAGATTTTCTTTTTTTGTTTTCTTCAACAACTTGCTTCCGAGTTAATATTTTCCTTATTATTTTCTGCTAAATTGACTCCTTTTGGTATAAAGTTGTTTGAATTTTTGAAATTATCTTTTTATAAATTTCTCATCTAAATAAATTTCTGTTTATTTAATTTGGCTTTGTTTCTTGTTGATAATGGCCTGTTGGGATATTAATAGATTTTATATTATGTAATAAGTTATTAGTACAGTGTTTAAATTTCATTATATATCCATTAATATAACATACAATTCTCTTTTTCTGATATTATATAATATAGCTCATCTATTAACATTTCTTTATCAACTTCCGATATCCTAACACCCATATCTAACAAATCCATTATGCCGTCAAATGCATCCGTACTAAATATCAAAAACATTTTATTAATTGAGTTGCATAAAATCTCTGTCACAATATATTTTTATAAAAACATAGAAATTAAAATTTATACTTTATTAAATGTATACAATACAATAATCATTCCATATACGTACCTCGTGAAATGTGGATATTTTTGTAAAATCTCAGATAACAAATTATTTATCGCGTTGATTTCTATCTCTTTGTGTTTTCTTTCATTCTTATTAAACATATTTATATTTCTATTATTTTGATATATATATTTGTCATCTGAGTTTATATGCGTCATATGTACATATTTCTTATTATAAATTGTTGTTGTACTAATATTTGTGTTGAATTTATGTTTCATAGTTTGCGTCCAACTATCAGACATGTCGTGACGTAAGATATTTTTACTGTCAATTAAAACAGATACATTATTTCCCTTCTTAGTTTGCCTAAAAGCGTAAATAATATATCCAAACATATTTTCTCAAATGAGTATTTATTATTAGTAGAACACTATACTCGTTGTACTTACGATCTAACATCAGTAGCATTGTCATTTTCCTTATTATTGAAGCCATTATTCAATTCACTCATAATTATTTCTTCGACGTCATATACTATTGATAAGTTACCAAATTTGTAAAAACTTTCGCTCGAAGGATTTCTTGTTCTCAAATGATTATCTTTATTCAACTCGTACAAAATTAATTCCTCACTAACTTCATTTGTCTGATTTAAAATTAGTTCTTCATCAATAGCTCGATTTATTTCATTTGTCATTATAGCCTTATCACTGCTACCATCACTTGATTCTTTTACTGTTACCCTTTCATCTTTATTCGACTCGCACAAAATTAATTGCTCACTAACTTCATTTGTCTGATTTAAAATAAGTTCTTCATCAACAGCTCGATTTATTTCATTTGTCATCATAGCCTTATCAGTGTTACCACTACTTGATTCTTTTACAGTTACACTTTCATCTTTATTCGACTCGCACAAAATGAATTGCCCAACTTCATTTGTCTGATTTAAGATTAGTTCTTCATCAACAGCTCGATTTATCTCATTTGTTATCATAGCCTTATCAATGTTACCACCACTTGATTCTTCTATTGTTACCCTTTCACTACTATCTTTATCTTCCTTATTTAAAATCAGTTCCTTATCACTAGTGGAAGTCATCTCATTCATCGTCACTCGTCCAGTAGTTTGCCTGAAAACGTAAATTATGTCTATGTGCCATATATACTTTCGAGCGGATATTTATCATACGGACCACTATGTTCGTTGTAATTACTTTTCGCAATCAGTAACGATATAATCCTTCTTTTTCTTAGGGCAAACATAGTTTATAATATAATTATCATTATTCAGACTTGCAATTACTTCTGTATCATAATTTTCATCCAACACACTTCTAATTAGTTCTTTATTAATATCTTCGTTAGCCTTGTTTAGTATTGCTTCCTTTTCACTCTTTTGATTTATTTTTATTTTATCATCGGTTTGCCTAAAAATATAAATATAAATGTAAATCTAATAAGTGTGTACATTTATGTATATATTCCCCTCTCCCTTGATCGGATATTTATTAGGCATATCACAATGTTTGCCGCTTATACTTATCGCTTTCGGCAAAGATATTTTTCTTATTTTTTTTTATACTTCTTCCTCTTACAACGTTTCTTATAACTGTATAAAATAATCGCATTTAATAACATTGAAGTTAATACATTAATAGCTTACCGTTCATTAGGTTTGGTAGATTTTTCAATTTCTTGACATTTGTCTTGTTTGGTTTCAACGCTTGAAACATTATCCATAGTTTTTTTAAACTGCGAAAAGATAGATAAGTTTATTTTTTAAATATAACATTAACTGAATTTACGAAATAATACATAATTAAGAAAATTTCAGGCAAAATTATTGACAATATTTTGAAAACAACATAGTAAAAATTAAAATTCTACTCGGAGATAAGAGTATTGCTATTGTGTATAGTTAATGGCGTCTTCACTTTTTGTTTCTATTATAGATTTAAACTTTTTTTTTTTATAAAGAAACATTTCATCTAACATTATTTCAAATGGACATTTAACTCTTGAGAAATGTTTGTAGGAATCAGTTGTAAAACTTTTTGGTTAAACATTTATAAAACGTTCCTAAAACGACATGTATGTGTTTTATATTTTGGATTTGAACAAATAATATATTCCATCATTCATTTATATTTATTTTAAAGTTAATTATTAAAAAAAAATCAATGCACATCGAATTGATTCAAAATATCTATATATAAAATTTGCTCGACTTTTCGGTCTGCCGACATACCATGCCAACAGACTTTATCATCAACATGAACTTAATGTGGGTAGGGATGGTTATAGGAAGGATTCTGGTCGAATCTACTATCAATCCAGTAGCATGCTGCTAATAATATTTATGATAAATAACACTTTTGGCTTACTGAACTATTGTTATTTGCTTCATTTGCATTCTGTTGCCTAGATACGGTAAGACTGTTCTCCTTCTTTGCTTCTGAAGAAAATAATTTAGATTTATTACATATCAGATCTAGATTAACACATACAGAGAGACGTATTTGGACTGTTTGTCGTGTAATTATCTGTATGATGTATCTGTACGACCGTGACATGTTATTTGTTCGCTTCTATATAAAAATAATAATGTGAATTTAATTAATATTATTACGAAATATTATTAAACATTATCTAACGTTCTAACGGAAGTCTATGCCATTTGTATAATGACTAGAAGAAAAAAATAACTAAGAAAATATCTCAAGATATCTAAATAATATTTATCAAGAACAAGGGAAAAGTTGCTCTTTTTTACTTTTTTGCTTTCAGCAAAAAATTTAATGTAAAATATACTATTATATTTATGTAGTCATTTTACCGCTTGTGCTATATGAGTCAATGTCGACATAATAATGGTCTTCCATTTTAGAATCATCATTGTAAATAGATGAACAGGCTTCCAAACTAGCTTGGTCCGATAGCACGCCTTGCGGAGTACATGATATATCTTGGCACCATTTTTCTGTTATTTTGTTGTAATATTCCAAAAATGCATTCTCCACATATGAAGCCATAATGTGTGTAGAATACAGAGGTAACTTGTATTTTACCCATAATATGTCATTATTATCACGAATGTATTCTTCGCTGTCTAGATTTTTCTTTACTTTTTGGTACAGTACCTACAAATTATTGACATTGAACATTTTGTGCAAGTTCTATTAGGTTAACATAGGTAAACGTTTATGATATCCAGTGAAAAAGTTTTAGGCGAGATAGATATACAGGGTGTCCGGTAATTAGCTACCAACCCGAAATGTGAAGGTAGATTGGTTTAAGACAAACATAAACGTCCCATACCATTTTCGCAGAGATTCGCAATAATTATCGAGTTATTAATGGCAGAAAGGGAGTGATTATTTATTACTCGATATCTTGTATACATACACAGAAAAAAACTGTTTGGATTAACGTTATAACGTTGCAACGTTCATTGTAATGAAGAAACCAAACGCGTTTTGGTTAAAGGAAACGAAATTTCATATAACCGAAATTGGCTTATAATAACCAGAGATCTTGTTTCTTTCAATCAAAACGGGCTTGATTCGTACATGCGATCAATTGTGTTGAATTCAAAATTCAATCAATCTTTTTTCTCCGTATACATGCGTACGTATATATATATATATATATGTGTACATGTATCTACGTGTATTCAACTGCTTTATCACTGCCAAGATATTAATTTGACTGTCAACTGAAGTTTATTAAATTCAAATTTATTATTGAAATTTTATCATTACTATTATTATCAAAAATATCAATGTGTGTCTCTTTTTATCACTATCATATCATAAAATGATTTTATAAGATGAAACGAACTGCGTAGCATACCTCACAATTTTTAATCTCATTTTGTAAATAGAAGACATTATCGCACCAAGATGTCATCTGGTCCATCCCATATATCAAATTTTCCCCAATAGTCATTTTAAATACCTTCTGCATTCTTTCCATTAGATTAATTGCAGTATCGTAGAAATATGCAGTCCTGTAAGGAACGTGAGAAACATTAAATGCTAAAATAATCTGTCTATTATATTAGCATTAATTAACGGCAATATTCGTATAAACGTACCTCCGTATTATGGCAATACTACTATCGTAGAAGTTAAACAAGCGTTTCTCAAGTATTTGTTTTTTGAAGTCAAAAAAGGCCTTAGACGTGGATCTGCGAAAAATAAATACTCTGTGCTGTTTTCAGCAATATTAGGGAGAGAGTAACACGTTATAAATTGAAACTCCGTTACCGTCACAAGCTACTTTTTCAATAACAACTTAATAAATCTTATTCCCTTTTCGTTGATAATTAATTAATGGCGACGTAATTACATTACAATTATTGAATAGTGAATATAATCGTCGATTTTTATCATTAAATTGGACATGTAAAAGACGCATATCGCCAAAGTTTCCGTGCGTGTGCGTGCGTATGTATGTTGTGGGAAAAATAATAATTGCGAGATATATCACAATGGAAGGACAATAGAAATTATTTAGATATTAACATGCATTAGTCATTGACATATTCGTGTAGCAATGGCATCAATTCTGAGATCCGTCAAAAAGAAGTGATCGGAAATGGAAACAAAGAGATGAAAAAGCAACAAACACGATAACGGTAACGATAACGATAACGGTGATGAATTATCTTCCATGATGGATAATAAGTAAAAGTACAATACTTTTAAAAGGTAACTCTCCCTTAATTAGATTTTTTTTGTAATGGATTTTATGATAATGTATAGTTCGCGAAGATTACGGCGAAATAATATATAAACGATTACTTCACTTACTCTAATTGCGTCTTGACATAATCTAACTCCTTCTTATTCATTTCTAATTCTTTACTCAACTCAATGTTTTTCATTTCATGTTTGTGTATTATTGCGTCCTTCTCCTTAATAATTTCCTTCTTCTCGCATTCTAATACGGCTTTATAGTGCGTCATTAATATGTTTTTATTATCTACCACAGACTCTAAGATTAAATTTCTATATTCCTCCAACGACGATTTCATTATTTTATGCTCTATAACAGGATCTTTTGTTCCGAACTGCTCCTTCAGTGTGGTAAGCGCTTTCTTGAGATCGTCTATTTCGCTGCTAAGATACGGAATCAATGATTCATGCTCACAACATTTTCTGTCTTTTAATTTCTTCTCATTGATATCTTCTAACTTCGATTGCAGTATGGAATAATCTTTTTCTACAGATACACACTGACTGCATGACTACAAAACAATATGTACATAAATTTTATAAATTATTTTGTAATTATTTATAAATTGTTACCGTATAATAAATAGAGAGATAAAAGATATTAATGAATATAAATTTACTTTTAATTCTGGCCAAGTTAGACGCCTCTTGATTCTTTTATCAGGTTTTTTCTTGTCAGTTAAGATTTTACATATGTTTATCAACGACGCTTTTTTCGTATTGGCATTTTCAAGCTTACTGCCATCTTCAAACTTACTGCCATCCTCAAGCTTATTGCTATCCACAATTACGTATTCATTTGCCTTATGATGGTGCGATTTAACAGCTGTATCATTTTTATTTTCTACATATTCGTCATTTGCACAATCCTCGAACAATATTCTTCTCTTAACTGTTGGGGAGGCAACTTCTGGCAAGCCATCCACTGCACCCATTTTCTTTGAGGAAGTAAAAGTTTTCTTTTCACCGTTGTCCATACTGTTGCTACGTTTAAAAATACTTGGCGTCCATTTCTCAACGTTCTTCTTTATTTGGCCCACTTTGACGAACGCTTCTTAAATAGTGAATATGAATTCACTTTAGATATCTTTTTACTCAGAAACAAAATGAGTCGAAATGTAAGACTGTCACGCTTTTGTAGATATCCGCACATATTTACATAGCGCGTGTATAATTAAAAATACACACAACTACGAGCATCATAATTAATAAATAAAATGAAAGTAGTATACAATGTGCCGTACAATTGCGATATATCGAGTAATTCACGAAGATAAAAGGCGCACATATTTTGATACGATATTTATATACGTAAAAGAAAACTCACTTTCACTTAGAGATTTGGATTGCGATAACTTGGTTGAATGTTGGTCAGGGCTTTTGTCATTATTACTCTTTACTGGGCTCAAGCTCTTCGTTGGGCTTATATTAAATCTCGCAAAACAATCAGGTGAACTATATAAATATATGCATACATATTAATAACAATTATATGTATATATGCAAGACGTTTGGCGCAACACGTATGATCACCGTTTGTGTGCGAATAGAGCTCATTAAATTGAATAATTCTACAGCATTTTGCAAACAAACATAGTAATTTTTGAGATATAAGTAAAATGCAATCTTGTAATGTTGGAAAGCACACTTCCGTCGTCCAGCATTATGCATCGTTGTCAAGATTGTCAATAGATTCAGACGTCCTAGATGAGACTACACCTAAAGAGCTCGTCCCACTTGTTGAGCTCGTTGAATTCATCCTATGCGCATTTATTTACAAATTTACATCTAAAAAATTATATTACCATAGTTGTTTGAAAAATGCTATAGACTTGTTCCTTTAGTTTTATGAGTTCTACCTGCACAAAAGCGAACGTACATGTTGCGTCATATAATTAGTATTAGTAATGATGCTCAATATCTGCAAGTACATTTCTCTTTATATATTATTAATATTTATTACTATTTTACAATATCTTGGATAAAATAGATATTCTACGAATAGATGTGATGTTATCTTACATCTGTTTCTCAATCTTATAAGATTTGATTTCTTTCTCGAGATCGATTGCGCGATCGTATTTTATGTCACTAGCCTAAAATGTAAAGAGCACGGACATTTAATATATTTGTGAAGGAATGAATAATGAATTATAAATAGCTGCAATTGAATTAGATGAGCTCTTACTTTCGTTTCAGAAGTAAAAGAAGATTCGCATATCGCATATCTATAAAAATTCAAATTTCTATAATATATATATGTGTGTGTAAGAACTACATTTTCGAAAAATATATTAGTATATGTATATAAAAATATATTGTACATATGTGTATGTACAAGAATATAAAATATGTTAATAACAACGCTGAATATCCGCTGAACATAGTCTGATATATATCAATTAATGTCAACCGATATTTTATACGAAATAGACATTTTGTACTCTTTTTAATTTTTTAATTTTGTCTTACGATTCGTCCTTGGTGCATTCATCAGGGGATAGAGTACATAAATCATCAACTAAGAACTCTGTTGTTGTATCCCGTTTTATAGGAACGACATTGGCAATTTCATCCTGAAATACGAGAGAGATATAAAATAAATGTATTTATATATGTGATTATAAAGTGAATCGATTATAAATTCACTAAATTCTTACGTTTTCTTGAATATAGTCCGCTACAGATGTACATATTGACTTCCTGTAAAAATTTAAATTTTTTATATTGATGTGTAAAAACCATGTTTTTTTTGTAAAAGAATGTATTATATATATATATATGTGTATGTATGTATAAAAATATGGAACAATGTTAGTAGTATAAATATCTATAGACATAGTCTTATTTATTGTTAACATTATTATTGCTATATTTTATAGACAAAATGAGTATTTAATGAATGCTCGATAAATAAATTTTATTTCATCTTACAAAATATCTTTCTCTTCGTTAGAAGTCGATAGTTCACACTTATTTTTCTTGTCAACAGTCTTTTTCTAAAATACAAGAGACATAGTATATTTTTTATTAATTCAATATAATTATAATTAACTTCTATATTCAATAATGAAACGATTCGTTTGAATACGGTAAATTCTTACGCTTTTCTTGTCTGTATCAAGGTTTTCCATCTCTTTCAATGGTATATATGTACATTTCACATGTACACGTGTTACATTTCTGAAAAATAAACACCATTATTACAATATTTTATATAAAATAAATATTTAATAGAGACAAATTCAATTTCTTCTTACTCTCGTTTCATTTCACTTATTTCTTCTTGAGTGTGCTCTCTGACTAGCTGAAGGGAAGAAAACAAATCCGTGCAAATTTATTTGAATATTCATAATGCCCAAAAATGTAATTGATAAAGGGACGTAATTTAATCCAATGATATGGAGAAATTCTTTTGTTTTTGTTAATAAAATGACAAAGTTTTGAAACAAAGTTTGTACCATATAAATATAACTATATAAATATATAAATATTATATATAAATATATAAATATATAAATATTATATATAAATATTATATAAATGTAATATCATATAAAATTTTAGATAAATTTGCTTACGTCTCCAACCTCTTCCGTATTGTCGTATGAGTTTTTACGTTTGCGACTCGAGAGAACTTTTAAAGTTTCGCCGTTCTGTCCGATGAATTCAATTTGTATAATTTTACTTGGATTATTTTTACTATTGCAATCTTTCGTGAAGCAGTTGAGGTTAAACATATCCTAAATCGACAAATGTCAACAACATATATATACCGTTAATCGATTCACAATATCAGATCGTCATAAAATATAATTTCTCCAAAATCAGTTAATTACCATGTCGTCTGTTACATTACAAAGATACTTTTGGTGTTTCCAACAAATCGAATGATACTGTAATATGCACGGTTCGATACTGCTGCAGAATACTGTAACCATGCCTTTAGAAGTCGGATCCCTGAGAAGTGCATTTTGATCGTATGAAGCCAAAATTATTTCAACAATGTGTCTCGCAGCTCGAGATACAACGACGGAAAACGTTTGTGTTATCATTATAATTATTCTTAAGATTATTAGTTAGACATTATCTTAATAATAATATATTACCCAATGTATATAGCATTATTTGTTTCATCCAATACTGATATATCGAAGCTCATCTTCAACGTCATACTATCTTTGCACATCGATTTCAGGTTACAATACGCATCCGGTTTACTAAGTTGCGAACATTTGTTTCGCAGATCAGTAAGTTTGAACTGATAAAAAGAATCAATCGGATGTTAATTGAATTCGAAGCGAGACTGTAGATGAAATATCTCTATGGAAGAATCTCATGAAACTGTCGCGATCCCGGCGAGTTTAATGTTCGTCTCGATGCCGTACGTAATATCAAATGCACCCTATTTTCGTTTTCTTTTTTCTTTCGTGATATAAACGAGCAGCCATTCGTTTTTACACTCTGCGACAACTCGCCGTGATCTCAGTGATTTTCACTTTTTCTACGTTCGATAATGAACACGTAAATGTAATGAAAACGTAAATGCAACAGAATACGTACGTATAAACCTTTTTTCGTATTCTCATCAATAATAATATTCGTCTCTGGTATATGATAATCGGCAAATAATGTTCCAGCTTCCAATACAGCCAGACCTTCATCAATCATTATTTTCACCAACGAAAATCTACAAGTAGCGTGTGTGTTATTCTACAGCTGTGCCGTGTTGCACGCGCCCGCTGCTCGCGAATAGCCATACCTGTAGAATTTTAAATATGTCCTCGTTAAGGCATAATAAATTGCAGGGAACTTGCATTCGTAAGTAGTCTTCACTTTATATAGATGTTTGAACGCTTCCCACCAATCATCAAACTCCTTTGATTCTAACAAGCAGAGGCACAGCATGTATTCCAGCAGTTCTCGCTGGGTCAGCTTCTCAGTAAATGTAGCCTAAAAATTCAAGAATGGACACACTCGACAGTGCAGATTTCATCAGCCACGGTTTCATATGGCGAGTATTAAAATATTGATCGTGACGAGTGATCGACCTTTGTCGTTAATTTGTTCCACGTCACGTCGACTACCTGTAGCTAGAAAAATGCGATTTTTGCGATATATCGCAAGCAGTGCGATGTTTTTTTTTTCTTAAATCGCAACGCGACATGCAATTGGACTTTTATCGCAAAATCGCCCCGGCAATTTAGAACCATATGCTGCTCAGAATCGCACTTGCAATTGCAAAAATCGCATACAATTTAAAATTGCATTACAAATTAAAATTATTAATTTATTAAAATTTTTTAATTATTAAAATATAAAAGGATTAAAATTAAAATAAATTAAAAATTACATTAAAAATCAAGAATTAAATACATTAAAAATTGAGTTAGTGATATGAAGTCGCGTTTGTAAAATTGTGACGTGACATACCTCATTCGTCACGATCCTTAAGAAGGATCGCATCACGATATACATTTCATAACTCTATGAAGCTTGCGATTCGAGTATGGAACTTACCATTCAGGCTGCATCATATTTTTGTTGTACGACGAAACACAATCACGAAATACTTTTATTAATTATTAATTATAAGACACATGTTATTTCAGAAGTCAAATTTAACTCATAATAGCGCGGGGCAATGGTGGCCCACGCGACGTAAACAACAAATCGCGTAAAATCAGTCCGGACGTGTTGAAAGTTGAAAGTACAATCTACCTCTTTTGTAGTTTGTTCGTCTGTCATTTCATTGATACACTTCCTGTATATCGCGCTCGCCTCTCCATATTTTTTCTGTCTATATAATGACGCTGCTTCTTTTATAGAAGATTGTAAGTCCTGACAAAAGCACAATATTTTCGTTTAGCTATAATAATAAGAATGACGCCAAAAGAAACCACGTAAAATTATCGAACGTGATTTACCGTCATATTGTTGTATCGTCCTAACGTAAAATCTATAAAGCAGCAACGTATAGATAAAATAAAAAATCCGCTGTTCGCTGGTCAGTGCTGTGTCAAAAGGTTGTCCACCTGGGGAGAATTAGATTCATCGTACATAAATTGGAGTTGCCCATTTTACGAGCAAATTTTTCGTCGAAAGGCGTGTCTTTTCAACGCTGAAGAGCTGAAGAGCGAGAGCTCCCGCAAATTCGACCCACGTGTCGGAATAGCAGATTCCGGTCAGGTAAAATGCCGTTTTATCGCGTCGTCGTTTAGAAATCGATTCGAAGGCTCTATCTAGAGACTCCGACAGAGACAGATTGTACGAGGTACTGCAGTTAGAATATCGAATACACCGTCGTGGACGCGCGTCGCCGCCTGCAGTTATACCGTCGAGATACAGCGATGGCTGTGAAAACGACGGAGATTATCAGTCGCGAGAGTAATCTCTGCAGAGATCCCGACGTTTCTCTCTTTATCTATGCGAACGTAGATATCGTCCTAAATTTATACGATACTTCACGCATTCACGCTCTTTAACCATCATTTATTCGCGGGAGGAGATGAACAGAGAAAGAAGAGCAACATAAGAGAGACAAGAACAGCGGAGAGAACAAAACGAAACAGGAAAAACGCGCCTTACAAACAAGACAATTCGCAACGGGGATATCATGAATGATGACGAACGTAAAAATTGACAAGCGGTCCGGTTCAATTAATTGGTCGCTGTCGAACTCAACGCGAACGGCGGCCGCGACCGCTTAACGAAAGCGCGGGAGCTTAACGGAAATAACATAGGACTCTATTAATACCCGGCGGTCTACGTCTTCAGCATGGTGCTTACACAGCGCGTAAGCGCTGCACACATAGGGAGCTTGTCAAAGGGAGTACACAGTTTATTATTTAGTAATGACGAAAGAGGACGCGTTGCCACCGATCATTAGGCTCCAGGTAAAAGCGTGCGCCAATTAATAACCATCGCCCCTGTAACACGACACCCCCGCTGGCCCGAAATCCTAGCCGCGCGTATGGAACTGCCTGCGAAGCCCTGACGAACGGGTCTTTCGCCGGCACGGCTCGTCGTCGTGCAAAACAGTCTGCAAGTCGCTCTCTCGCACCAACGACGATCAGCTTGCGATCAGCTGCGTATGACCGATCCCGATCGGACCCACGAAAGACCCACTCCAACGAATGCGATGGGTGCAACCGGCGAGATCGCTCTTCATCAATTCATCAGCCCCCGCCGCTCCTGCGAGAGAAAGGCGCTGTGTGAAATTAATAAGCGTGATTAATGCCGGGTGAGCGGATCAGCTGGTTAGCCTCGCTATCTTGCTTCGCACAGCCGCTCGCCATTGCGCGGCGGCAGCGTTGGACGCCGTCCAATGAGCGATAGCTGGACGCTATTTTTAGGAGGATCTGTCAGACGGCTTTCGGAGGAGAACATTGTTCTCTCTCTCTCTCTTTCTCTCTCTCTCTCTCTCTCTCTCTCTCTCTTTCTCTCTCTCTCTCTCTCTCTCTCTCTCTCTCTTTCTCGTGTCGCTCGATGTACGCCGCGGGAGAATCGCCGTCCCCGGGCCCGGCGCGAGGTTGACAATGAGCTTCGACTTGGCATCGATAACGAGCCGACGACAATTTATCGGCCGCTGCCGGCCGCCTCGCCGATGAAATCTCACGGTCGATTGGTACGCGAGGAAATTAAAAGTGCGACAATTAGACGACGACGACGACGACTATGGCGGCGACAGTGGCGGCGGCCGCGGCGGCGGGCTCGGGGGTCGCGCGGCCTTGGATGAAGTCACGCGAGTGCAAGGTTGTTATCGAGAGGGGCGAGTACACGAGCGGGCGTATGCATGCACGCGTTCGTTCTTTCTGTTCGCGGCTGGGCTTTAAAGATTTTATTGATCGCAATATGCAACGACGACCGGCCGGCTGTTTCCTTCAAGATGCAATTTAGGACAATCACGTGCGACGACGCTGCGGAAGCGGATAATATCACGGCGAGCGAGCGGCGTCCGTTCTCTCTGCTTATCGAGCAGCTTTGCATCCTTGCAGGAGCTCCCGATACGGTTTAACAGATCCTCCAGTCAATCGATGGGTCCTTGGATAAGAAGAATTCAGGGGGACGCTCGCGTGCGGAGACTCGAGTCTCGAGAGCTGAAAGAGTTTATCTCGTCGTTGATTTACTTCGAGATGATTCTCGCAGACGAAAGCAAAAGATTGACGAACGAATCAGATGCGTCTCCGCCGGGAAAGCCGAATTTCAGGTTTTCACGAGCGAGAAGGCAGAAGTTCGGCTTTCCTCGAACGAAACGTGCGATTCGTGCGTTGGCATCATCAACGTTCGTTAACATTCGCTCATCCTCGTTCCCATTCCCGGCTTTATGTTTCCCTATCTCTGGTTTGACTCATAGCTTTCCGAATGCTTCCCCCCTTTCGTGAAACCCTGAAAATTGTCCGAGCTACGTGCGCGCGAGCTACGGCTCACGTCGGGAAGGGAAAGCATCTTCTGGTCCAATCTCGCGTACATTCGGTCAGTTCCCTTTATGCCTTCTGAAGAGAGACTGAAAGCAGAATAGCCCCGGGCGTGCGTGCGTTGTTTGCACGTGGCGACGCGGAATGAAATGCATCAGCCTACCGGTGGCACAAGCGCACCCTTCGCATGAAGCAGCCGCGCTATCGCGGAGCGTAAGGGGGTGCTTTTCCGTGAGCGTTCCGTTCCTTCGAAGCTATGAGCTCATCACCTACCCCGTCGGTAATCCAAACCCGACGGCGGGCTCACCGTACCTTTATAGTGTCTCTATAAAACCATTCTGTGGCGGTGTGTGAGCGAGGGAAGAGGAGCAAGAGAGAGAGAGAGAGAGAGAGAGAGAGAGAGAGAGAGAGAGAGAGAAAGAGAGATTGAGAGGGTGAGATAGAGAAATAGAGAAAGAAAGAAAGAAAGAAAGAGAGAGAGAAAGAGAGAGGAGGAGGAGAAAGAAAGAAAGATTGAGAGGGTGAGATAGAGAGAGAGAGAGAGAGAGAGAGAGAGAGAGAGAGAGAGAGAGAGAGAGAGAGAGAGAGAGAGAGAGAGAGAGAGAGAGAGAGAGAAAGAGAGAGGACGAGGGAAGGAGGAAGGGAAAGGGAGGGAGAGAAAGATTCGTGCGCGACGACCAGGGGAATGAGAGGGCAAAAATGGGAACCCGTGAAAGGACGAAGAGGGACTTACTGTGTCCCACGATACGATCCTCCAAAAACGGAAGGCGAAATATCCCACGAGTAAGGTTCGCGAACCCTCCCCTTCCGATCTTGATCAAGCTTGGAGGGTGTGCGCAGCGTACGAAGGTAATATCGATGTGGTCTGCCGGATGTATTCTCGATATTTCGGACGTGTCTCGATATTTTCGTATCAGCGTAATCTCAGGTCGTCTTAACTCGAGAACCGAAAAGCCGCTCGAACGTGTTATCAGTCTCTCGGGTATCTTTTGATATCTCTAAAACATTGTATAATTAGCTTCTCTTAAGGGTTTATATATATACACGCGACACACATGAACGCCCGATCGACTTTTCGCTAAGGGAGGCACATAGAGGGACCCCAAGTTCGTCGAGAAGCAGCTCATTAATGATTAATGCTGGGAATAATAATCGTTACGCGTCGCGAAAGACTGACATCGCGCAGGAGATCCATCCGAAACTCTTTCGAAAGCCCCCGCATCAGTTCCTCCCGCCGCAATAATTTTACTCGAACTGAGCGGAATTACTTTGTAAAACGTACAGATTGCACATTGTAACCGAGAGTATAACAAAAAAGGCCGGGAGAGGCACCGTCGCATTTACATGCCGCACGTGGGCGATGCGTCATACATGGAACGCAATGCGTCCCGTGGAGAAACGACCGACCTTTCTCGCGAGTGGCGAGCCTTCTGCCAAGGTTCCCAAAAAGAAGCATATGAATGCGAGGCAAAAAAGATTTTCACTGCTCTAAAACGGCGCGCGACGTAGCCGTAGTGTGGAGGTGAGGGAGCGGGAGGGAAAGCGAGAGGGTGAGGGGGTGAGAGTCGCGTCGCGGGGGCGGAGGGGCGCGCTGGGAGCCGGCGACGAGACGCGGACGGCGCATGCCTCTCGCGCGCGGAGAGAGGGTGCGAGCGCGAGCAACCCCCGGCATGAGCAGCAACCCCCGAGTGTGTTGTTCTTGCCTCTATGTGTGATCGTTGCCGCTCGATTCTGCGCCGTCGTGTGTTCGCGCAGGGCGGCTCCTACACCGCCGCCTTCGCCCGACGCTCTCTTCCTGGCGTTGCCACCGTGCACCCTTCCGGGTGACGTGCAAATGGTGGCGTAACGCGCGTGGTCGGCGAAAGGAGGTGAAAGGAGAGCCTCGCGTTCTGTGCGTGCGTGAGTGCGTGCGTGCGTGGGTGCGTGCGTGCGTGAAACCGTCGCCTCGAGCCCGCTGCCGGACAGCAGTCGACGAGAGGCTGCGTTTCCTGACGTCTTGCCGTCAGTCACGATGGTCACCGACAACACCAGTCAGGTATGGTTCCGTAGTTGAAGCGACACGGCAGCGGCTCGAAGCCGGCACCCTCTTTCTTTCTCTCTCTCTCTCTCTCTCTCTTTCTCTCTCTTTCTCCTCGCCTGCTCCGTCTCGCTTCTCCCGTTTCACCCTCTCGATGTCTCGTCGCTCACCCTCGGCCGATCGCGGGCGATCGAAAAAGACGAGTGACCATCGAGCAGCAGTTCCTTCAGCCAGAGGGTAACCCGCGAGATTCTGTCTGGCGACTCTCGCGGTGCGAGCCCAGGATCTTGCAAGCCTCGAGCTTGCCTCGGAAAAATGTCGAGTGGAGGTGACGGTGGCGCGGGCGTTCGCACGAGGGTTACGAGAGCCGGCCGGAAAGCAGGCCAGTTAACATTCTCGTTCCTGGTGCTGTTTCTTCGGGCTCTCACGTAGTTGGGATCTCGCTGAGTTCGATTTCCGACGCCGGGGTCGCGAGAGGACGCGCTCACGGCGGTAACTACAGCAACCCCTCCGCCGATACGGGGACGAATCTCTAAAGCCGAGATCCGGCCTTTCTGAAGTCGCTCACCGATTCCAGCCGGCGACCTCATTAGCGACGGGTTGGGTCGACGACGACGACTCGAGGGTCTTGCTCGAGGAATCGTCGCCACGAGCGGAAGGGAACGAAGGAGTGGGCTATACGCCGGGCGATGCGCCGGGAAACACACCGGGTGGTTGGGGGTGTTCCGCGGTAGCCGGCGAATGCGGCGCGTATCGATGTCGGAGGAATGCGGCGGCGGCGGCGGCGGCAGCGGCGACGGCGGCGGCGACGGTGACGGTCGGCAAAGCGTAAAGTCGTGATCCGACGCGCGGCGCGGAAACCGGCGCGGCGGCGACCGGCAAAGGTCAGGGTGACGGAGTTATAGCGGGCACGCCAATAGCGTCGACTCGAGCCTCTCGCCACCACCTGGTCTCTTTTCGCGATGAATCACTACGGGGTGTTCGGAGAGGAGAGAGCGAGGGGGATCTCTCGGTAGAGCGGGTGCGATGCGAATTAGCCCCCGCAAGCGCTTGCTCGCGTTTCCGATCCGGTTGATGCAACGTTCAAAGACGCGATTCGAGTTTTAAGGGGCGTCTCGGGCTTTCAGCCGCGTTGCTTAACTTCGATCTTTAATCTGATCGAGGCTGTCCGTGCGTGTGTTCAGCGCGCAAGGTTGTGGGGGAAAAGGGACAGAATCGCCACACACAAACTGGGTTATATGTTACTTCTATATAAATAACCATATTGCGCCTTTCTCCATTTTACACGTCCCGCAGCGCCGCTCCTGCGCTCCTGCCACTTTTCACGCTTGTTCCTTGCGTAACAGTTTTTTAATTACTTTAATTACTCCCATAAATCGGGTGTATTAATGGAATGACACGTTTGCACACTTAGGCTGATGACACGACAGCATTTCTCCGCGCTGCTCGGTCCGGCAACCTCGAGAAAGTGGTCGAGTTTCTCGACACCGACTTGGATATTAACACAGCCAACTCGGTAAGCATCGAGATCCACGTGCGATATATAATTTATCACGCACACACATACAACTCGATTTTTATACTAATTCATTTACGAGTGAGCTCGGTGGTATTTAATAGAGATGTGCGAATCAAGAATTTTTATGTCGAATCGAACCGAATCGAATCTATGAAATTTCACTTGAATTCGAATCGAATCGAATGAAATCGAATCGAATCATTAAAAAATTTAACATGACTATTAAACATGCAAATAATGATGGAACATTTTAATATGAAAGGGAATATTTTGATATTATAATATCATCTTAAAGTAAAATATATATTTAAATAATTAAAGTAATTTATACTTAAGTTATTAATTATAAGTTAAGTTAATTACAAGTTAAGGGTTCAAACATACAGGCCCAGATGGCCCGTTTTGTAGCTGATGCACGTAAACGATAATGTATTTGATTCCTATTCGAATTATTCGGATTCGAATCATAGGGATTCGGATTCGAATTGAATCGAATTACATTAGATTCGATTCGATTCGAATTCGAATAGTTCGCACATCTCTAGTATTTAATTAATTTCATTCGAAGGGACATCTACTCCATCTCGAAATTTCTGTTTCAATGTTATCTAATCATTCGTGCGTGTCGTTGCAGAACGGTTTAAATGCCTTGCATTTAGCCTCGAAGGATGGCCACGTCGAGATAGTAACCGAGCTCTTGAAGAGAGGCGCGAAGGTGGACGCGGCGACGAAGAAGGGTAACACCGCGTTGCACATAGCTTCGTTAGGTAAGGAAGACGAGATTCTCGTCGCAGGGGAGAAGCGCGCGCGACCGCTTTAGCGACGCAATTTCCATGAGCGTCCTAGATTATTTCTTCGGAAATGAAAACGACACAAGAAACCTCGGAGTTTGCAACGACTTGAATTTATCCGAAAGTTATCACGAAGAGAGCGAGTTTTACGAGACTCAGAAATTATAATATTATATAATCACAAGCCGCGGAGCTTTTTATTGAATTCTTCAGGAAGTAGACAAATTGCACGCGAAACTAAAATACGTTAAATTAAATATTAAGTATTATGTCATAAGGAACAAGTCTACCTCAACAATTAGAACCCGACTACGTTCTGATCGTTTTCTTGTAATTTGTTATAACGAATTTTCTTGCGAATTATTTATTACGATGTATCGCTCTTTTTTTTACAGCCGGCCAGTCCGAAATAGTCAATATTCTAATTCAATACGGTGCCGCGGTTAACATCCAATCACAAAATGGATTTACACCTTTATATATGGCCGCGCAGGAGAATCATGACCAAGTCGTCAAGCTCCTGCTCAGCAATGGAGCCAATCAGAGCCTTGCGACGGAGGTAAATTCCACTTATCGTCTAATAGCGTTGTTTTCAGCTGACGAGGAGAGACTCTCTTCCATCATATGATATTTTATTAATCACATCCTGCTAAATACATCTTTACGAAGACATTGTATCGCTTCAAATGGAATTCCATTTAATTGGGCGGCGCAATTAAAAAAAAGCACTTCGATGTTGTCCCTCAGGATGGATTTACGCCACTCGCGGTGGCGATGCAGCAAGGCCACGACAAGGTGGTCAGCGTCCTGCTGGAGAACGACTCGAAGGGCAAGGTCAGACTGCCGGCTCTTCACATCGCCGCTAAGAAAGACGATTGCAAGGCAGCTGACCTGCTTCTGCAGGTAAGCCTTCGGGCATTCGTTTCTACTTCGAATGAGAATTGATCGAATCGAGATTGGGAGCGCGGATGAACGGAAGTATCATGATGTGCGTCATAATAATTGAATATTGCAGAACGATCATAAGCCCGACGTGACATCGAAGAGCGGCTTCACCCCTCTCCATATCGCCGCTCATTATGGAAATGAGGAGATAGCGCGGTTATTGATAAAACGAGGAGCCGATGTAAATTATTTAGCTAAGGTGAGTACACTTTATCTCTCCACGAACGTAACCGGAGAGGGCAAAGTCTGAAAACTCTCTATCGTTTAGCGTTTAACAAAGTAAGTTGGAAATTGTTCAAAATAACAGAATGCGTTTTGAAGCACAGCAATATTGATGATGATTAGGCTCCTCAAGCAGTTCAAGTATATTTCAAATGATCAGAATCACAGCGTCCTAGGATACAGTGCTTCTGAGAAAAAAAGAAGAGAGACCGGTCTAGCTATAGTGTAAATGATAACTCAGCATTGCTGAATATCGCGAGGCGACGTGTCTTTTCCAGCACAATATCAGTCCGCTGCACGTGGCAGCAAAATGGGGCAAGAACAACATGGTCAAGATACTCTTGGAAAACTCGGCGCAGATCGACGCCAAGACCAGAGACGGCTTAACACCTCTTCACTGCGCGGCGCGATCAGGCCACGAGCAGGTGGTCAGCACGCTCCTGGAGAATTCGGCGCCGATCAGTGCACGCACAAAGGTGACTTTAACGCGGTGATCAAAACAATTCTATATATTTTTATTTACAAAACGAGCCTCAAATAGAGATCACAGATATATACATCTTTGTATCGCTCTTACCAAATTTTTCTCCTTCGCATTTTCCAATCTTTAATACCTTCATAAGTAAAAGTGATTAATTGGTAATGAATAAATAAAAATAACGAGTGAAAGTTTCATTAAGAATTCGACTCGATAATTTAAGAGTCGACGAGATGACGAGACCATATCTCGCCAGCCGTCGTCCTGGTTTTCGCATTGACCGAAGAATCATGCGGCTTTCTTGCAGAATGGACTCGCGCCATTGCACATGGCCTCCCAGGGAGACCACGTGGACGCCGCGAGAGTACTGTTGTACCATCGAGCGCCGGTGGACGAGGTGACCATCGACTACCTGACCTCGTTGCACGTAGCTGCGCACTGCGGCCACGTCAGAGTGGCCAAGTTGCTGCTCGATCGCAAGGCCGACCCGAACGCACGAGCGCTGAACGGCTTCACGCCGCTCCACATCGCCTGCAAGAAAAATCGCATCAAGGTGGTGGAGCTCCTGCTGAAGCACGGCGCGTCCATCGAGTCTACCACCGAGGTAATCCAGACCAGCAAGCACTTGGTCGTCGTTCGCACTGTCTCAAGCATCTCTCGCAATCGGTTCATATTTCTCATAAATGTCTCCTCTCGCAACTCTCGTCGATTACGAAAGTTCTCACGTAGGCGTCGGACAGTTTCGCCATATTTGTACGGCGGAGTATATTACGAAGGCCGCGCGAAAACTCGAAACTCGCACATGAAAGAAAGGAAACGACCGTACGTTCGGGTCGGGGTACGGTCGAAGGATCGCATTGCGGAATGTGTCGCACACGGTGATAAACGGCAATTAACGCGGCCTAGGTCAATTAGTCAATCCTATGTCTGTGCCTTCTGTGTGCAATCCCAACGCAAATAAATGGAAAGAAAAAAAAAAAAGAAAACGAAAAAGACAAACCTAACGAGCGGAGATACATCGAGGTTAGCAGATCTCTTGGAAGACTGGTTAAAGGGTCGTGCATTACCAACCAAACTGACCGGATTAGTCGAGTCGCACGGCGATTCTCTCTCATTGATTCTGCTCACTCTTCTGTGATCTCCTTCAGTAGTAGTCTTTCGCAGTCGCCCGGGGCGCCGGCTTATCGTCGTGGACGACGGCGGACAGGTCGAATCGAACGAACCGACCGACGACTGAAACTCACCGGAGTCGCGGCGATCACGAGATATATTAATGGACGATTACGTGTGGTGTGTTTTGCAGTCCGGACTGACTCCGTTACACGTGGCCAGTTTTATGGGGTGCATGAATATCGTGATATTCCTACTGCAGCATGAAGCGAATCCTGACGTGCCGACCGTCAGGGGCGAAACACCCCTGCATCTGGCGGCTAGGGCTAATCAAACAGACATTATTCGAATTTTGCTAAGAAACGGTGCCAAAGTCGATGCACGTGCAAGGGTAAGTAATGCGTGTCGCCTTCAGAACCGACTCGACCTCCCCCTTCTCCCCTCTCTTTCTCTTTCTCTCTTCCCTCGTGTTTTCTTTTTTTATTCTTCTCTTTCTCCCGTCGTCTCTCTTCTCTCCCTTCAAGCCGATCGCTTCTTCTCGCTCTCTCTCCCCCTCTCAGCCACTGTGATTACCGCTTGCTCCGGCAATTAAGACGGCGAGGGTCCCGTGTACTCTCGAGGACGAAAACTCGGAGAATCTTAGAGAGTCATGTACATACAAACGATATATCACTCTCATCACGCACCCCCTCTCTACAAAAGCATGAGCCATTAACCAGTCTCATATATACTGACATTCAACTTGTAACTTGTCAAGTTACCAGCGATTTCTGATCAAACGTAACGTGTGACTTTTACGCCTGCAAGTGTAAGGCGACCCACTCCTCCCGCCCCCGACGTCATGTTTTCACGCTTTCCTTTCTGCTCACTCGGCTCCTTCGGGCACGGCGATGAGACGAAAGATACACCACCCTGAGGGTTCACATTCCGAGCGCGTCGCTGTTTCATTAGGCCTCTAGTTGCATGACGATAGATCGGTTTGTTCCACACCACGAAACGAATCGACGAGGTCGAACGATAAAAACGAGATGAGAAATGCCTCGTCACCTGCGCGTGTCGCAAGAGCCGGCTCTACCTAAGCTGTCGATGCAATTGACGAGTGTGTGTGATCGACCGCTCAGTGCGCCGTCGATTATCAAGCTTACCGTTACTTTATACACTCCGAGAAAAGTAATTTCAGAACAAGAATCATCTAAATTTTAGAGGATTTTATTCTTATGTACGGTCTCAAAAGGATTCCTCTAAGATTAAAGGGAAAATATTATAAAGACATTATTCTTAAAGTTAGGAGGATTATATGTCATACGTATAATGCAAATCTTATTGATTTTAATATAAATTTCCTCTTATACACAGACTATTTAATCTTTTCTTAAGAGGATTATTATTTATTCTTACTGTACTTTATTCCTACTGGTTATACCGGTCAATTTGAACAAATTATTATAATATAGAGATGTGCGAACTATTCGAATCGAATCTAATTCGATTCGATTCGAATCTGAATCCCTATGATTCGAATCCGGATAATTCGAATAGGAATCAAGAACATTATCATCTGCGTGCATCAGCTACAAAACGGGCCATCTGGGTCTGAACCCTTGTTTGAACCCTTAACTTGTAATTAACTTAACTTATAATTAATAACTTAATTATAAATTATTTTAATTATTTAAATATATATTTTACTTTAAGATGATATTACAATATCAATATTATCTTTCATATTAAAATCTTTCATCATTACTTGCATGTTTAATAGTCATGTTAAATTTTTTAATGATTCGATTCGATTCGACTCGAATTCGAGTGAAATTTTATAGATTCGATTCGACATAAAAATTCTTGATTCGCACATCTCTATTATAGTATATAGCGAGAAGTAATATATATGTAGATGTACTTTTGGCTCCAGTTCTACAATAAGTGAGCACGAATGAAATAAGATCATCATAACAAACAAATTTCCAACCAGTTTTGTTATGGACTTCATAGCTACAAAGATGTTCATCGTAACCAATTGTATGAAATACAGTTAAAAGAAAGAATATGTTATTCAACTTCTTGCAGTAGATGATAAACTGTATTTGACCAAATGTGAGTAAATTATCTTCGTTATATCGTTACAGCAACACACATGCCTTTTCTTAAAAAGCATTCTAAATATTCAGACCCATATGGTTATTTTTTCGTTCATGTCTGAAGATAGAGTATGACTGAACAAAAGAAGCCAACATTCAAGTCAACATATTCCTCTTCATATAAGAAGAAAATTAATTGATATAAGAGGAAAACAGTTGGAACAATATCTAATAAATTTTAGACGAACGGTTCATTTTAATCGCTTTATCGAAAGAGGAATCCTTTTCCTGTAAAGGTCTTCGCTTAGAATATGAGACTATGGGAAAGATCACTTTACAAATAGAATACTTTTTTCTGGGTGTATTAACAGCGATAACAATCGGTACTCTACGCGAGTAGAAAACGTCCGTGCTTTAAGGAGTCAGCGTCGCCCGTCTCTCACGAGTCTTTGGATCTCGCGCAAATCAGACCCCGTCATCATCACGCTTCTCGCATCTCGTATGGCTTGTCGCAACGAACGACGTTCCTCGCGGACGGCTCTTAATGCGATCACATCGTTCCTTCGTAGGAACAGCAGACGCCGCTTCACATCGCCTCACGGCTCGGCAATATCGACATCGTCATGTTGCTGTTGCAGCACGGCGCGGCCGTCGACACCGCCACGAAGGACATGTACACGGCGCTGCACATCGCGGCGAAGGAGGGTCAAGAGGAGGTAATGTACAAAGAGTGCGCGCAAATAGCGGATCGCATCGACGCGCAAAACAGAATATACCTGTTTTGGAGCCGGCAACGCGAGTACCTTATTTAGGATCTCTCGAAGGGCCCACCGGCTGCGGACACATTTCCCCCCTCACATTATCGTTATCACCTGCACCTGCACCGTCGTTCACGTCGGCTCATCTCGCACGCGTATAGTCGGCTGTTTAAGGGTTGCAACGTTTCTCTTTTTCTTCTTCCGCGACGAGTTTCGTAACGCATCCGTCCCGCGTCCGATAGGGCAGTTTGTTCCTTCAGTGGTCCTCAAGAGATCCGTCTTCCCATTGGAATACGTCGTGAAACTCAGCGAAGAAGAGTGCGTTGCAGCTTTTAATCGCAGTCGACTGTGCGTCGACCTATTACGTTTGATATATTCTGTTGATGGAGGTTTTGTTTTACGCTCGACTGCGCATTTTATTATGTTACGTTTGTTCTCTCGCCATGTAATCTCGTTATGTAATAAACTCTTTGGTTACATTGTTTATTCCTTTATGTTCTCTTTATTGGTTATTAATTCTCCTTGTTTATTCTCCTCGTTTCTCTCTCGCGCCTGAAAAACGCGCTCTCGCCTCGGCTCATTTGCGTATATGTCGCTCTTTCGCTCTCTCGCTCGCTCTCTCTCTCTCTCTCTCTCTCTCTCTCTCTCTCTCTCTCTCTCTCTCTCTCTCTCTCTTTCTCTCTCTCTCTCTCTCTCTCTCTCTCTCTCTCTCTCTGTCCTTTTCTCTCATGCGATCTCCATTTATTTTATCGGTCGGTCTCATTACGCGAAGATATAGCCGGATTGAACGTGTATAATTTCACCCCGTGACATTTGGCAATCACTTCCGAGGCTCGATATCGATTGTCAGGCGCTGCACTACGTCTACGTGTTCCCCTTGCACGTTATTTCTGTGCGCGACTCATAAATAATTTACTAACACACGTCTTCCTAGAGGTGTCCCTACGAGCGCGAGTGTAATTAAGACCATCGAACGGTAATTCGGTAATTTACGAAACGTCACGCTACATTTGTCGAAGCGCGCAATGACGTCCGGATGCTCGAGCACGTTGATTTCACGCGAACTTCTCGTTTCTAATTGGCATTTATCCCGCGGAAGGTAATTCAACTTTCTTATTAAGACTTACTCGCAACATAGAAATATCACAGGCGAGGTAATAAAACGAATTGTCATCAAAGTTTCATCGTGATATCGAACTTCATCAATTCTAAAGAGATTTTTATCTACCGGATTGGACTTCTTACCTAACTTTATTTCGCGTCGTTAAAAATATCATTAACTGGTAAACCTACGAAAGCGACCAAAAAAAGAGTTCTGTCGTCGAAATTATCAAGAGAGAGAGAGAGAGAGAGAGAGAGAGAGAGAGAGAGAGAGAGAGAGAGAGAGAGAGAGAGAGGGAGGGAGGGAAAAAGAGATCTACTTCAGTATTCGCATTGTGGCGAAAGTAAAAATTAAGCACGCGTCTCGTGAAGGGCCTTTTCTGTAACGTAAAATGTTTCTCACAAACAGGTAGCAGCCATTCTCGTGGAGAACAATGCTTCTCTCAAGGCTGCGACGAAAAACGGCTTCACACCTTTACATATCGCGGCCAAGTACGGCAATATGAATGTCGCAAATATACTTTTGCAGAAGGAGAGTAAGCTCGACGTCCAAGGAAAGGTTCGTGCGTATGCGACCGCAGATCGTGTCGGCTTGCGTAAAGAGAGAACGCATTGGATGAGCGCAAAATATTTTGACGGCTTTCTCGCGGAGGATATCGCGACTGATCCAATTTTATGGCGGCACTTACAGGCACGTAGATGTACCGAAGATAATGGAAGGCATTGGCGATTACTCGATGGGATGAACAAATCATCTTTAATAATTTCTCAGTCCACGCGCAAATCTTTCTATCGCAAAGTCCATCGAAACTTTTGCACTCGGCCAACACATAAAGCAACAAAGTGGAGGAAAACACAATTGCGGTCTCACGCAATTTCTCACTGAGAATCCCGAGCACGGAGCACTTTACGCATCCCGACCCGATGTGCCGTAATAGCATCGTTTATCTCTCGGTCATTCTCCGATGGGTTCGCTCGAGTCATGCGAAACTTATGCTTGACATTTCAGAACGATATCTCACCCTTGCACTTGGCGTGCCACTACGACCACCCTAACGTAGCGAATCTTTTATTAGAAAAGGGCGCGTCCCCCCATCTCGCGTCGCAGAATGGCCACACACCGCTCCACATCGCAGCTCGCAAAAATCAGGTACGTCCGCGAGTCACAGATTCGCGATACAGGCATGATTCCTCTAACAGTCTACGGCCGCTCTAACGCTTGCCGTCGCTGCGAATAACTCTCGCGGGAACGACGCGTTTGTTTCACGCGGCTAGATGGACATCGCATCGACTCTCTTGGAGAACGGAGCGAACGCGAACGCAGAGTCCAAGGCGGGTTTCACCCCGCTGCATCTGAGCGCGCAGAAGGGCCATTACGATATGACGAATTTGCTGATCGAGCACGGCGCCGATCCCAATCACAAGGCGAAGGTAAATCGACCCCTCAGCACACTATCTATGTTGATTTCTCCATTCTATCTTTGCGGAATTAATCAGGATTATTATGAAAAAGAAGTCATAATTCCATTTTCGCAATTTTCCCGCAATTTTTCTGGTTTTTATAACTTCGTCTTTGTAAAGAATTAAATGGACTATTGCGATACTTTCGATTATTTAATTAACATTTCGAGCCTGCGAGACCAACATCTTGCGAACAAAAATTTCCGTCTCGATACTCGCGTGTCGCGTACTACGAAGGGAGGAGAGCGTGTCGAGCCTAACACTTGCTCGTTTCCGATCCCCGTCAGAACGGGCTCACGGCATTGCATTTGTGCGCGCAAGAGGATTTCATTAGGGTGGCCTCCATTCTGGTGAAGAACGGGGCCGACGTCGAGAGCCGAACCGAGACTGGCTATAGGCCGATACACGTGGCCGCCCACTTCGGAAATTTGTCGATGATACGCTTCCTGCTGAAGCACAACGCCGAGATCGACGTCAGAACTAATCAGAACTACACGCCGCTTCATCAGGCCGCTCAACAAGGCCACGCTCACATCGTTACCGCTTTGTTGGAGGGGAATGCCTCGCATAAAGCGCGTACTAACGTAAGCGACACCGCGCTGCTAGGTGTATACATTTAATTTGCATAGTATTTCAATGATCCCCCTGTAGCGCTTTCAAAGCTTTAAAGATCTCGCGCTTCGATATAATCGCAGATCTCCTCGTTAACCCGAGTGTTTTCCATCTATCCTTAACAGCAATAACAGAGATTAATGCTATTCAATTAATTTGATTTAAATGAAATGTTCGTCTCGTTAAAATTACATTTATTAAATTTAGTTACTCTTTATGACATAATTATTGTCAGTTGCTATAGCGATAAATTACAAACTCTGAAGATGTCGACATTACGAGAAGACTTTTCTAAAATCTTTTCTTATGCAACCCGACGAATTTACAAATCCTGTTGTTGCTTAGGACGGCTTGACGGCGTTGAACATAGCTCAAAAATTGGGATACATCTCTGTGATGGAGGTGCTGAAGGGCTTGCCTTACGACAGCATGACGCCGGATAATAAGAATTGGGAGGAAAAGTACAGAGTCATAGCTCCTGAGAGCTTGCAGGAGACCAGCTTCATGTCCGATTCGGACGACGAGGGAGGTACGTGCGAGCGTACGGATACGAGCAAGATGTTGAAGATCGTTTCGTCGGGGTTCAGAATATACAAGGAAATTTCTCTCTTCAGGCTCTGACGCGTTGATCAGCGAGCAACCTTATCGGTATCTCACGGCGGATTTGATGAAGAGTCTGAGGGACGACTCGTTGCCCATCGACGTCACCAGAGACGATCCGATACACAGACAAGGTAACTCGGACTCGATTATGTCGAGGGATGTCTGCTTTGAAGCAATGCCAGGCTCAAATTTGGATTACGTGCGTCAAACTAACTCACAATTTTAGCGAGGCTTCCAAAACCGGACTTGCGCAATCTTGTGAAAATACGCGTCTCGATCTTTTGAAGCCAGACAATTCGTCTCCCGAGCTGTCTTTCTGCCGATACTTCCACTTCGAGAACTTGTCAGAAGCCCGTTACGCAAGCGCAAGCGCGAGTAATATCACAGAGATGGTTCCGCGATGAAATGTCTGGGCTACAAAGAGTTAATGAGCGCGTGTACTTGCCTCGAGAGTTATAAATGTTCTCGTTTTAGTTACAAAAGAAGAGAAGCAGGAATTCACACAAAGCAATAATTACTGTTTAGCAGAGAACTTCGACAGCACCGATGGACTGAATCTAGGGTGCGTACAATATCCACTATCGATCCTTTGTTTTTCTACGAAATATTCTTCGCGCATTTTCACCGCATAATTTGTACACAATTATCATTAGTTTATCGAAGCTATTAATCGCGGAAAAATAGTAAAAATTTAAAAACAAATAAATTGCATTCCTCGGATTCGAAAAGTGTGCGCCTAAAAGTGTGCGTTTTATTTTGCAGGAGGCTGCACTTCAGATCGTAAGTATAAAGTATGAAATTGAGAGGATACACGAACGGGAGAGGAGCGAGCAAGCGACCGCGGAGAATCACGGGGAAAAACCGGAATTTTACAGATTTTTGGTGAGCTTCCTGGTGGATGCGCGTGGCGGTGCGATGAAGGGGTGCAGACACAGCGGTGTACGCATCATCGTGCCACCTCGAAGAGCGACGATGCCGATTCGCGTAACTTGTCGCCTGGTGAAACCTAACAAAGTGGCGAATCCACCGCCGTTGATGGAAGGAGAGGCCTTCGCGACGCGAATTATCGAGATGGGTCCGGTCGGCGCGAGATTTTTAGGGTAACTCGTGGCAATTTGAACGAAACCATAAAACTACGTAGATCATAAAATTATATAGAGATCAAACTGCTCCGTTATAATATAACCCGCGGTTTTATTTTATTTATTTACTCACCAAAATAAATGTTCAAGGTCTCACACTTGGAAATAAATTGATTACAGACCCGTCTTAATCGACATCCCACACTTTGCATCCATCCGCGGCAAGGAACGGGAGATCATCATCCTAAGAAGCGAGAACGGGGAGACTTGGAAGGAACACGATAACTCGGTGGATAACGACGATACTCTTCTCAATACTCCTCACGGTATGGTTCACACGCGGTCTACCAATACTAATTCCTGTCGCAATTTATTGCGACCGAGTCGTCGCTTCTTTCCTCAGATCCTCAGATGAGCGCCACGCACTCGGGCAGAATCACTCGCATCATCACCACGGACTTTCCGCAATACTTCGCGATTGTGACGCGGATCAAGCAGGAAGTTCACGTGATCGGCGCCGAGGGCGGCATTTTGATATCGAGCGTGGCCAGTCACGTACAGGCAGTTTTCCCCGCAGGAGCGTTAACGAAGAAGATCAAAGTCGGATTACAGGCGAGTGAAATCTCCGATCACGCGGCAGCACGACCGCGAAAAACACACGAGGTTTTCATCCGTTCTTTTTATTTTATCAGGCGCACGTTATTCCCGCCGAGCTCACGGCGAAATTGCTCGGCAATTGCGTCGCCGTGTCGCCGGTGATCACGATCGAGCCCAGAAGACGAAAGTTCCACAAACCGATCACCCTTACGATCCCCGTGCCGCAGGCTGCGAACAAGGGGATGATCAACCAATATGGCGGAGAGACGCCTACGCTGCGACTTTTGTGCAGCATCGCGGGTATCTATGAGTCTCGAATTTTAAACAAAAGAAAAACACGAAACAAGTATATCTATTTTAACCGTCCAGGTAACGCGAACAAAAAATCGTAGGAAATCTATGCAACATGGAACAGCGTGAGGAGATAGTCTGGTAATCTTAGTAGAGAAAGAAATTAACGGGAAGACAATGTTACAATTTAGTAAATAGCAAAAAATAAATTTCTCAATTCTTTGACAAAGTCGCTGTTTTTCCTTCATAGTGACTCTATCGCGGCAAATAAAGATTAAGATTAACTACAGGTGGCACTAACGAAGCGCAGTGGGAAGACGTCACCGGTTCGACGCCGTTGACCTTCATGAACGACAGGGTGTCGTTCACCACCACCGTTTCCGCGAGGTTTTGGCTAATGGATTGCAGAAATATCGTTGCAGTGCCGAAAATGGCGACGGAGTTGTACGAGGAGTCATTACACGTACCGTATATAACGAAGTGAGCGAGCTTCTTGTGACTCACAATTATTCGATCTTGATAAGCGCAGTAAAATAAAAAAAGATATATATTTTCTATGTACAGTTTCATTATATACTCGAAGAGGATGGACGTATTGGAAGCTACCTTGCGAATATTGTGCATGACCGATGGCAAGGAAGGCATGCATACCTTGGAGAGGCAAGAGGAATTTTTAGAAATCGTTAAAAGTCGTGATGTTGAGGTATATTTATAAAATTTTACGATAATATAGCGCAACGATTCTCAAGCTATCTCAATTTCCAAACTCATTACGCGAATTTAATATCGTTGATAACAAATACAAAATTTACTAAAATTCAAATAAATAAATTTAAATAATAAATTAAAAAATTAAAAAATTTAAATAATAAATTTAAAATAAAGTACCGATTTGAATTGTGATAGCATATAAAAATTTAAATTAATAGCTTGTAAATTCTACTGAATTTAAATTTTATGGATAAAAATTTTGCTGCTTTGTATTATATACCGATGTATTCATTGTTACCGAAATATATGTTCGGTTTTAGCAGTAATATAAATTTCTTATCGTTGTTTGAAAATGACTCTAATATAATATTCTGATATAATTCAAATATATTATTCCCCAAATATTTCTTTAACAGGCGCTTGATGGAAAAGATCTTTACATCGAATTTAGTGGCAATTTAGTACCGGTAACAAAGTCCGGGGTACAACTAAAATTCACGTTCAAAGCTTTCCGGCAAAATCGCTTGTCGTTTCATGTTAAAGTAAAGGATCCGTTATTGGATCCCGTTGCGAGGATGTTGTTCATGCGAGAGCCGAAAGTCGCTAAGGGAGAACCAGCTCAACAACCTATTTGTGTATTAAATATTGTCCTACCGGAAATTATTACCAAAGAGGAGATACAAAAGAAGTTGAAAGGTACGTTCGTTGAATATTTTCCCAAGGAAAAGTAAAAAGTAATCGTGAAAATTGTCCACTTGCTCCAAATTAAACACAACGAGCTAGTTGCAAAGAACGATGCGGACATCAGTGCGAATTAATATTACTTCATAATAACTGACAATCCTCCCTTGTTGCTTCAGGTTACGAAGATTCTAATATCATAAATCAAAAGTTAGATTATTACAAATCAAAATACAAAACGGAACAGATGGAGAAGTCCGACAAGCCTAAAGAGACTTCGCCGGAGAAGAAATTTATAACGGATACGTTGCAGAAGGAACAAACAGGTATGATATCGAAAGCTTTAGAGGGTAGAACGGAGTAGCGTTGTTTTCGCACGAATCACAAACGCGGTCATTGAATATCAAGCGAGTACTCCATTCGAAATTTCACTTGAGAAAGCACAGAGTTACTCGCGTCGAGAGAGTGCTCCAATTGAAAAAAAATAAATAAAAAGAAAAGAAAAAAGAGAAAAGAAGAGAAAAAGAAAAGAACCAATATCATTCATGCAATACGGAAAAATGACAAGAAATGCAAGGTGCAAAAAGAGAACTTGCGTGATGAAACGCGTTTTATCGTCAATGAGCGTAACACCATGCGAGGGTACCTCCCGTCGTATCCAATGACTGGGTGGAGCGATATCTTGAGAAAGGTCTGGCGACTCGTGGCCGTTCGTGAGCGAAAGAGATACTTGCGAGACCGAGAGAAAAAATGCTTTCGCAGCGACGAGGTCGAAGGAATAATAACGTCGAGAGTCGAGCGCCGTTTCTGCTCGTCTCGAGGACGGAGAAGAGAGACAGACTCTCGATTGTCATTCTATTTTCATTTAAGGGGAGAAAGACAATCGGCTTACGACTTAAGAGTTGGGTGAGGCTTCCTTAACTTAATTAGACGTAACAGCATCAGCAAATGCTCGAAAGCGCCACGGCGGACTTCTTTAGTTCGATCTGTGCCGACCAAGGGAACGGTGCAAATTAACGTGCAAAGTAACGTGTCTATCCTGCAAGCGTCCGAAAGCGATTGCCAAAACGTGAGTCTTTGGTTTGTCCGTCACCCACGCAACCCTATTATTTTTCTTTTTCTCGTTTTCGTTTCGTTTCGTCTCGTCCAAATTGGCGGGTTCGACGCGACGATGACGGACGTGTTCGCGATTCGCGAGGTCCGCTTTGAGAGCACGAACTCATCGCGAGAATCGAATCCTGCGAATCGCGAGCTTTCCACATCCGCGCAACGAACACCTCAAAAGAATGACGCTTTAACTAATTATGTTCTATTTCTTTAACTAATTATGTTCTATTTATTTGGAATTTTACGTCACTTTAATTTTGCCCCACTTGCGTTTTTCAGTTTCAGGTGTTTTTATGTTCCTTAGTAGTTTGCACTTTCACGGTCGCGCGTAAAACGCGTAAAAAACGCGTAAAAATCGGCCATGGCGGCGAAGGTCGACGAGCGCGATCACGCGATCACGAAGCAGGAGAGTCAAGCGCACGAGAAGGATTGTTCCTCCGGGACGAAAGTGAAGCGCAAGTCCCGGTCCGCCCGAAGGCGGCTGAACGCGATGATGAGCAACGCGTCCTTGCACTTCTCCGACACGGATTCCGAGGGCGAGCTGACCATCATCACCTCTAAGATCGGCAAGCTCAACCCGACGCTGCCGTTGAACGACCAACCTAGTCCGCTGATCTCCGTGGTCAACACGGAGGACGGCGTGCTCGGCGAGGCCAGGGTCAACGACAACGTGGACTACCTCATAGCCGACGGCGAGATCAGGTCGCAGCGCAGTAACTTCGCGGACAACCTCACAGACGTCGACGAGATCTACAGCGACGCGGAGACCGAGGACAAGGACGACAAGAACAAGCTGAATGTCGCCGAGAACAGCTACCAAGGCGAGACCGACCTGGAGGACATAGAAGCCGACGAGGACATCCAACCGATCATCTACGTGGCGCTACGAGAGAACATCCTAAACGAATTCAATGGAGAAATGATCACGACCAAGGAGGGCGACGGCCCGTTCTCCGTGGAGGTGCGAAACCGACTGTCGCGCGAGGAGGTATCCATCGACCAGGGCACCGAGGACATGCCAGACATGCCGAACACCGACAGCGAGGACGTGGAGACGTCTGAAGATGAGAAGCTGGACGAGGCCGCGAGTCCCGAAATCGTCTACGAAGATTTTGACATCCTGGCTGCTTCGCAGATCGTCATGACCAATAAGGTGGAGAACAACCTGCTGATGTCGGACAACATCGACGAGGCTATCAGCGATTGCCATACCGACATTGAAGACGTCGATTAGATCTATCAGAGAATTGCATGGAGATGAAGACGAGGTCAATCCTCCGGTTGTAGATAACAAGGACTAACGTTCGAGCACGAGCGGAATGTTCTCAACGCGAATGACTGAGCGGGTGTCCTTAAAAATTATCGACCGGTTGTGATCGGATAAACCTCGTACCGAGGGTGTCTAATAGGATCTGGCGTTTACGATTGCTGCGGTGAGAGACAGCGTTGCATAACCGGAGAGTCTCATGTGGATGTAAGAAACCATGATTCGATTAGAGAGGGTCTCGACTTGAGGATCAATAGGATCTCGAAACCTTCCTCGTCAGCCTCGTCAAGCAACACTGGACAACTATCGAGACCTTCGGGGATGATGAAGGAAGTGCGTCGAGTTGAAGTTCCTGAGTAGACATATGACGAACATTAGTGTTTCCTTCGGACCGAAGAAACATATCGACAAGACACGGCACGATGAGACGAAAATCGCGCGTTCTTGACTTGGTCTTTCATTTTCTTTCGTTACTCTTTACCCTATCCCACGAGAGTTGTCCACGAGAAATAATCTCTCCATCCTTTCCTCGGGCAGAATATTTATTTCAAGAGGTCGCGAGGAAATTTACGACGGTAAGCAGCATGTGTCAATGGAGAATCTATTTCCGTCACGCCCGAGCGGGCGTTCGATGTCCTTGAGATAAATATTTATCGAGTGAAAATGGCAGATGTTATTTTCCGAGTAACCGCCGTGTATGTGTACCTAGTGTGAAGTTTGTCGCGGACTCTTTCATTTTCCTTTTTGCACCGTGCCTCTAAAAGAAAACCAAAAAAATTTATTTATAAATAATATTTATAAATAACCTCCTGTGGAAGTGGGGGAACATGACGATCTGAACAAAACGAAATACCATTCGATCGATTATGAGGAAGAAAAAAATCACAATTACCAAAAACACTCCTCTCTGAAACGGAGAGTTCGTCACTTGTAAAAAGAAGTCCGCTTATAACGATGTAACGAATATATTATAACGCCAGACACGCACCTTTCTTTCAATTGGCCGAACAATACGCGACACGATCCGTCGACACATGTTTATCTCGACGAATTAACTCTTATGTCTTTGTTGTAAAACCGATAATAACGCAATATTTGTGTACTTGTTATAATTGCAGACCGAACTGCCGTCCTCAACATTATCATAGACAACCGTATGGGATATTAATGCAAAAGAGTATGTCTCTGCAGTCTAGAGATTTTTTCCGTTATAAACTGATACATATATACATATACATAAATATATATAATCATATTACATATAATTATATATAAAATAATATGTGTAAATACGTATATAGAGATAATTACTAATGCAGCAACTTGACAAGTTCTCTTCTCGTTTCTTGGCAGTGGCATTGCTTTTAGAGTCAAGCCGTTATGCGTGCTGCAAAAAGGTGCAATAGAAAATGATTATAATAAAGGAAGGCTCTAACACACACAGTTCTACGCAAGTTTCAACACTCGCTATATATATATATACATACATATATATATATATATATATGGTATACATTCGTCGTAATTGCGAATCATACTCTTAGCGGTTACAGCGTTACGACAGTTCTAATTATATGCAGTGTTACACACAGTGATTCTAATTATATCGTGCATACAATAAGTTCAAATAATAATAATTTCCATTCTCTCTCTCTCTCACACACATACACACACACACACACATATATATATATATATATATATACCAAAGAGAGAGATAAGCTAAAAGGACAAAGGATTTGTGCTGCGGAAGTTCTCGCTCGCCAGATCTCGCCGTGGATAAATGAAAGCAATTGTAAATGAAAAAACATACACACAGACAGACAAACAAATCAACACACACACACACACATACATACATACACAAACGCATTCACATACTTGCACACTCACGATGTATCCCAGTTATTATAACGACGTGCTTAATAAAAAATATAATGTGAGCATCATTCTTGGTTGTTCTAGATGCCGCTATCCACGAATCCCTTGCACAAAAAGCGGCTTGTCCCCTAGAATCCGTAGATGCTAGTTATCCCAATAAAGTAGGCGCCGATCAGGAACCGGACCTGTCGCCGGAACTCGAGAGGCAGACCTACTCGGAGAAGCGCAAATTCTGGGAGGACATCTCGAGGAAGCGCGCGAGCTATCAGCGATCCGAATCCGAGGTGTCGAGGGCCTCACAGCTCACCATCAACGAGAGCGACAGCGAGTCCTGCCTGCCGAACGTCGTGTCCGAGGAAGATGGTACCACCGAGGGTATCTCAGACGTCATAAGGTCAGAGACTATCGAGGACATCAACGTGCCGGACATCTCGGAATGCTCGGTGGCGGAGAAGGCGCACTACTTCGAGGAGCAGATACAGAAAGAGATGGCAAAGGGCTCGCCGAGACTGCCTCACCAGGAGTCAGTCAAGTCCGAGAAGGAGCGGCTCTTCAAGGGTAAGTCGATCGAGGATCAAAAGAGCCGGACAGAGAAAAGCGCGCTAGAGATGGCGAAGGAGAATATTGATATCGAGGAAAAGCATGTGGCGGAGGCGAGGGAGATAGAGAAGATCCTGAAGACTACGGAGGAGATCAAGTGGACGAAGGAAGCGCGAAGAGAATCGAAGGACATCGATAAAAAGGAGAAGGACACGGACGAGGGCAAAGAGATGCGCGAGGAAGTGCAAAAGATAATAGCTCAGCCGGTGATGGAGATTTGCAAGGAGCTGTTGAACAAGGAGAGACAGCTCGCCGAGGAGCCGCAGGTGAGTCACGCAAAGGCGGAAGAGATGGCGGAAAAGGAAACAAAAGACGAGATGCTGAGGAAGATGACGGAGATGATCGTGAAAGTGGAGGAACGTGCGAAGCCGGAACGTGAGAAGGAGAAAGTATCGTTAAGAACTGAGATGTCGCAGGAGGAGTCGGATGTTATAAGGAGAGAAGCTGTGAGGGATATAGAAGAAACAGAAAAAGTGGAGCAAATAATGGAGGTTAAGACAATATCGGACCAGACGAGAGCGAGAGAAGTTAAGAGAGAAGTTAAGGAAGAAGTTAGAGAGGAAATGCCAAGACCGACGAGAACGCTGCAGGAGATTACAACGACGGAGCCCACAACCACAAAAGAGGAAATCGTCAGGAGAGCACCGGAGAAGCTGGAACTCGTTGAAGACGTTACTGCGCCGAAGGAGGCGACAGGTATCGTTGAGAAAACCGACGAGAAGCAAAGGCCGGAGACATCAATGAGCAAGGAGATCGTCAAGGAGAAGTCGTCCGGCAGACGAATAATTACGGAGGAGACAACGATCATCTACAAGGTGCAAAAGGACGGGACTCTGGTGCAGGAGCAGATCATGAAATCAGTGCAGATCGAGGGCGCTCAGCCGGTCACACAAGTCCCGGAAGCGAGCATGGAGACGAAAGTGCTCGATAAGGGCTTAACGGACACCGCGTACGAGGTGCAGATGACAGGCGACGTGGAGAGATTGCGAATGGGAATTAAGACCGAATCGGTTCCTTTGGACGTGAAGAAAGAGATCGAGCAGTTTCTCGAGGGAGGGAAACGAGTGGCCGCAGAGGAAGTGGAAACGACAGAAAGGAAGCTCGAGATAGAGGAGATCAAAATGACCGAGGCTGAATTACCGATTCAAGAAGAAGCGGCCGAGTCACTGCAGAAGGCAGAAGAAACAGTCGCCAAAGCAGCCGAGGACATTACCCTCGAGAGGAAACTCGTCGCTGAGGCGGAGATTAAGCAGGTGAAGAAGGAGTCCCGCATTCCGATTTCCGCAGCGATGGCCGAGAAGGATAAGAGCCAAAAGGAGGCGAAAGCCAAAACTTCGCCGGAGAAGCTCGAAGAGAAGCCGATCAAAAGCCCGGATACAGAGAAGGAGAAAGACGCTTCACCTCCCGGCAAGAAGAAAGAATTCGAATCTCGCATACCAAAACGCATTGTGGAAAGTGCAACGATGAAGGAGAAAGAGATAAAGAAGGATCAGCCAGGACGAAAGGATGGTGAAACGATCACAATCACCGAGAAGAAGTCCAGCGAGGAGGTGATGTCGCGGCACGAGGAACACTCCACCACGAAGAGCAAGACATTCTCCAAGACCTTCACCGACGCGCAGGACGCGTTCAAGATGTTCGAGGACATGAGCGCGATGAAAGACAAGGACTTCGCAACAGTCACGTCGAAGGTGGACACGAAAGCAAGCAGTAAAGTGGAGAAGAAGGAAATGGTTTCGTCAGAAATATCCAGTGGTGCGGACAAGTTCATCACTCACGAAGAGAAAGAGAAGATTGAGCGAAAGAAGTCCTCGGAATCCAAGCTGACTAAGGAGTCGCCAGCCGAGACGATAGAAGAGAAGAAGAGCAAGAGTGAAGAGGTAGACAAAACGACTGTACAAAAGATGTCGATGAATTTGACGGAAGGCAAGGAAGTGATAGACGCCAGTGCTTCCGAGTCCAAAGTGGAGAGCAAAAAAGAAGGACAGTTCAAGTCATTGGAGGACAAGGAAGGTACCGCGACGCAAGAATCAGGGTCTACTAGAATCAGAGAGAGCGACGTCGATGTGGCGATTAGGATCAAGAGAGACGACACGAAGAAGGTGGAAGACACGAAGGAATCGCCCAAGACGACCGCTGAGAAAATGGGCCTGGGGAAGGTTGAGATGATCGCGCAGGGCCAATCTTACAAAGAGAGCTCGGAAAGTTTCAAGGTCGAGCAGTTCATTCCCAGCCAGAAGACGCAGGACGAAGCGAGGAAGGACGAGGTACCCGCGAGAGAGGAAGTCCCGGAGTCCTTGGAGAAGAGACAACAAATGGTCGCCAAGAAGATCGAGGCGCGGAACATAGCGGAGGATCTGATACACTCAATCGAGAGCGAGATCGAGAGGAGATCGTCGACGTCAGGATTGAAGCCTCAGATGCTGAGCAAAGAATATATAGATCAACTGGTGTCCGAGAGTAGCGATACCGACCACGAGAAGCTGGCGGACGATTTGACGAAGAAGTTCGAGAGTATAATAAAGCGCTCGTGGGACGAGCAACCAGGAGAGGACAAAATGGATCACCCGGTGTTGTCGAAAACATCCATGGATGACACGTTCGAGAGAGGCTCCACCAGGGACAGTATAAGCGAGGACTTAACGAAAGACGAAGAGTCATCACCTCATGACAAGGAGAGCCTGCAGTTGTCATCATCGCACGCCAGGCTGCAGGACAGAGATATCACGATGAGTCCGAGCAGCATATCCGACCAGATCGATCTCGAGGGAACGATCGACGTTGACACCAACGAACTGGAAGACATATCCAAGCCAACGTTCAGTCCGCAATCAGAGAAACTCCGATCGGACAGGTCAAGTGGCCACATCGAGCCGTTGCAGAAGGACCTATTCAGCGACACCAGCTTGTCGAAGGATAAGATCGTGTCGGAGCTCTCAGGTGCCAGAGTGTTGGAGATCTTGGAACCAGGAGACAGCCGGCAAGACTCGGTGGATGTGCCGTCCTTGGAACTGGACGAACACAAGTTCTCCGAGCAGACCAGCAGAGACGTAGCGTCTCTGCATGAGAGCGCGGCGATGGATTCCTTGGACAAGATCGCCCAAGAGAGAGACGTGACCGTGAGTCCTAGTACGGTGTCCGAAGATGTCAACGCGGATTATCCTTTAGCTCACGAGCAAGCAGCGGTACCTCCGAGGGAGCACGACGCGGTGGTGCGAAGAGCGGACAGTTTCGAGATCGAGAGTCCGCCGCTGGTCTCGCCACGGATGAAACTGGTACACGATTTGGATATCAAGTCGGTCAACTGGATGATCGGCGACGAGAAGATCGTGATAACAGAGGCCATGCAGCCGTCGGAGGCGTTCAATCAGGAACTGGAAGAGTACGAACGACATGCTCGCACTTCCTCTCAAGACGAGTCCATGGATTTGGAACAAGAATCGGTGACCAAATCCTCGGAGGATATCAGCGTGATTGAGTCGGTCAAGGAGACCGTCGCCGGCGGCGACGCCGTCACCTTGACCATCACGACGCCAGCAATCACGAAAGCCAGCAAGTTCACGGTAGTGCCGGTGACTGAGCCGGACTTGGACAGCGAACTGATAGAGGATAAGCTGGACGTCACGTGTCAAGAGCTGGTTGACACGCTGCAACGGGAATACGACGCCAAGACCCCGACGGACGAGTTCGCAGCCGGTGTGCGACAATCGATACCCCGAGAAGATTTCGACCTAGAGGCGAGCATCACCGAAGCCGTGACGGAAGTTGTTCCCGTGAAAGAAGAAGAAGCGAAAGATTTGACGGAGGATGTGGCCGTGGAAATTACGGTTTCCCCACGTGATGTTCCTACGACACTAGTGGAGACTGTCGAGCCAACCGACGTTAGCAAGATTACCGCGGCGAAAGCGGAAGAAGACTCTGCGCAACGGGTAGCTGAAGAAACGCAAAAACAGCCAGAAGTGGAGGAGTCGACGGAGAAGACAGGAAAGCAAGCGGATGTTGCGCGAGAAGACACGGGAGAAACGCAGGAAGGCGCCGCGATGGAGGAATCGGATTTACCGAGGCGTACGACGATCGACGACGTGCTGAAGGAGTGGGCGGAAAGCTATCGGCCAAGGATGAGGAGCGAGGAATACAAGCGACACATGGAGAAGAGCAACGAGAAGCACGACAAGCCGAGCAAGTCGACGACTTCGCATACCGATACCTGTGCCTTCAAAATAAAGAAAGACGATCTGCAGAGTGTTGATCTAAGTGCGCGATATGCAATTACAGTGTTGGATCAGGTGGTGAAGAAGGAGATCGCTGAGGTGAAGGAGTCCTTGGAGGCGGCCCAGCAGGATCTCATAGAGGAACTGAGCGAAAACAGCGAGACCATGATACAGATCAAAGATTCGCCCTCGGAGTTCCAGTTCAAGCTCCAGCCGGAGTCCATCCCGAACGACTTGCCATTTTTGTACAGACCACCACTATCGTCCACCGAACACGTCCCCACGGAGACCGAAGCGGAGATCCAAGCTGAAGCTGCACGAAGCGAATCGCCAGAAGCTCCGAAACTCGTCGAGTCGACAGCAGAGAAAGTCGAAGAGAAGCCCGTCGAAGACGAGCCGATTGTCGAAGCAGCCGCTGCTGAAGACGAAGACAAGCCAACTGCTGTTGCTCAAGCGCCCGAAATCGACATTGAGAAACACGAAACTGAGACCATAATAGCCGTCCAAGAGGAGTCGAGAGAAGACGAAGAAGACGATCATCCCAGCCCGCTTCCCGCGAGTATATCAGGCTCGGACATAGACAATAGAGACGACAGTTACTCCTTAGCACCACCCTACCCGGCACCAAGAAGACGCCAAAAGCCGGCAAGAATATCCAAGAGAGTGAAGACCTCCGAGAGCGAAGCTGGCTCGAGCTCCGGCGAGAGCAGCAACTACCAATCTTGCGACTACGAGGTCGGCAGCGGAAGTAGACCCAGTTCATCCGACATCGAGGCTCTACAATCCGCGGGTGTGCAGTCAGGAACCGTCTCCGAATACGAGACGGCGATGATGTCGATCGAACAGTCAGCATCGAGACCGACATCTCAGGACTACCAGACTGCAGCGAGTACGTTGAGTTCACGCGAGTCCATGAAGTCCTTGAATTCCTTGAGCTCGGGCCACCTCGGCAGCATCGACAGCACCAGCGAGCTGTCGGAGACATTGGTACCGTCGGACGTGGACGCGGACAAAGACGAGATCGACGAGAACCTGGAGAGCGCGTTGGATGCTGAACAGGAGGCCGAGGCTTCGGACTCCTCCGGTAGCGACATACCGATGGACGAGGCGATGGACAAGATCGACAGTCATATACCATGTCGCATGAAGCGCTCGTCCGAGATGATCTTCCAGCAGATCATGGACGACAGCGTGAGCGTGGAAACGGAGTCTATGGAGGAGGCGTTGGAGGAAGACGCCAAGGTTATGGACTCCGCCACTTCCGCCTACATGGACGCGCCCGGTGCTGTTCAGTCGGTCGACATCATGACGTCGCGGGTCACCGAGGACGGAGTTCAGAGCGTATGCACGCAGGTGATCTCCACGCGAGTTACGAGACCGAGCGACAGCGAAGAGCCTGAGGAGAGGGCTTTGGAGGAGGATGTGGAGAAAAGCCTAGAGAAAGACGCGGCGGAGGCGGAAACGGCGGAGGGTCTGGAGGAAAAATCGACCGGCGAGGCTGGAGAGGAAGGCGTCGAGCCGGCGGCGCAGACGTCCGTCCACTCGATGCTGCAGCAGGCCAGTATGTCCTTGTCGTCGGCGTCGGGCATGTCCTTCGACACCGTTATAGAGAAGGACAAGTCCGAACGTCACTCCCACTCTCCTGACAGCGACTCATTCGAGCTCGTGGACAAGCCCGACATCATCGACGACTTCGTGGTGATCGAGGAGGTCGGGCGGGAGGCGGAGGAGTTCGACTCCGAGGGCAAGAGTATCCGCATCAGCTCGATACCTCAGGTGACCAGCAAGAACTACGACCGCGACCTGGAGAACCTAATCGCGGAGAACAAGGAGGACACGCAGGTGTCCAGCAGCCAAACGTCCACGAAGAACAACGACCTGTTCGACTTCGAGTCCGAGGAGAGCCCGCCGCAGGCTTCCAACGACGACCAGTACTCGCAGTCTTACTCGGACGAGGAGCAGTACGAAGGTAAAAAGTGGATAGAGATGCAGTTCCACTCGGACGCGCGCGTCTACGACATCGAGTACGACCGCGGCCCGTTGGAGGACATCAAGGAGGAGGAAGTCACGGATTTCGAGGCCGGCAGTAGCAGATTCGGCAGCCTCGGCAGCCACAAGGAGTCGATCGGTAGCGTGGGCAGTATGCGCGGTAGTTTCGGCAGCACGCCGGAGTACGACGTCCTCGCCGGCAAGAAGTACTTCAGCAAGCCCACGGACCACGACACCGTGTCGCTCACGTCGCTGCAGGAGTTCGAGAGCCTGGAGAGCGCCGTCGCGGCCGAGAACTCGCGGCGGCTGCAGTGCGGCTCGCAGGACTCCATCAACAACGGCAGTCTTCCGAGGAGGTATATGACCGGCCGCTCGGGCCACGGCGACGACGTCTCCTTGTCCTCGCTGAAGGACTTCGAGGGTCTCGAGCGAGCCTGCAGGGAGGCGCACATGATCGAGCTGCGCGCCCGCGAGGAGGAGGATCTACTGGAGCACGAGAGCCCGGAGACCAAGTACAAGATGGAGAACCTGCCGCGCTCGAGGACGGAGACCAGCGCGGCGGGTTCGTTCAACCCCAGCACCTCGGGGTCGGACGACTACGAGAAGAGGATAAAGGAGATCGACGAGATCATACGTATCGCGCAGTCCAATGTGGAGAGGCTCGATCGGCAGGACGACACTACGGAGGACATCTCGCAGATCGAAATTACCGATACCGAACGAGTCGTCGTGCAACCGACCACGCAGACCTTGCTGGAAGAGATGGAGCCTCAAATGGAGGAACGGAGGGAGAAGGTGGAAGAAGAAGAAGAAGAAGAGGAAGCTCGAGCGCTGAAGGAGGGCAACGTGATGGAAACCAGCACAGACTCCTTGGAACTGGAGGACAACGTCGAGAAGAAGTATCACCCGCTGTGTCGCAGCTCCGACTCCCTGGAGATGAAGACTACCCTGGACTTCCCGTCTCTGAGCTCAGACTCGCTCAACAACGTGAGGGACACGAGGGAGACGCCGGTCGACATGGCCGGCGGCAATCAATTCGGCGGTAACGGCCGACGTATCTCGTCGGACTCTCTTGACATGCCTTTGCTGGAGCAACAGGATATCGGAGCGCCCGAGAGAAGAAGCAGCGACAGTGATGACCGTCACGCAGACGACGCGGCGGTTGACAGTTCCGCGGGACAAACACCTTCGACGGAGACTCAAGCGAGAAACGGCAAGACGAAAACGTCAACAAGTAGCGATACATAGGACAATTTTCGTAGGTGAGTGCAGGATGAAATCCTATTGGTAGTTTTGATTATTGTTACCCTGAAGAGAGAGCGCGATCTCTCGATTCAAACCGCTGTGATCGGTCGCGACAGATTATATTTTGATTTAATTATTAAGGGGGGAATTACGTGCGGAGCAGGCCGTTTTCAAGGCTATTTTTAATGCGAATTTTTTAACAAAAAGTAGGATCAATGAACTTGAAATTTTCACAGTATATTTATTAATGTTCAAAATATAAAATAAATTTGCTATTATCTATATGAGAAATACACTTAAAACTTTAAACGCGCTTATCTGAAAACATCATTTTCTTAAACTATCGACGCGTTTACACAAAAACTACTGAACCGAATAACTTGAAATTTTTACACAATACACTGTAGGCATGTAGTTTTCGCCCTCACATCGAACACAGTTATATTTTATTTTATTCATTTTTTTTAAACATGATTATAAGTTGAAAAAAATTTCATTTTCGATACTTTTTTTGTACAGTCATTATTTTTTCAAACTTGGCTTCACTGCTTTCATTTTGGTACGGGCTATAATGGCAACCGTATATTTTAAAAACCTTGCTCAGTTTTTGGTTTCAGAGTAGTGAGAAAAGCCCGGAATTATGTCGACAACATAAAGCTCGCAAATAAAGCTCACAGACGAATGACTGGATTTTTATCTATAATTACAAATTGAATCGGTTCTTGTAATTCAATAAAATTTATTTTATACTTTGAGTATTAACATTATGAAAATTTCAAGTCCATTGACCTTACGTTTCTGTTAAAAAGGTTCGTAAAAATAGCCTTGAAAACGGCCTTCCGTATTCCGTAATTCCCTCCTTAATGTCATCATTGAATTACTGATTTATCATTATCACATTTGCTTGTCTCGTATTGCAGATAGCGGACCATCGAGGACTTGCCACGACTTCAAAACTATATTACCGAGTAACTCAAGAAGCTTTACATGTAAAACACGATATTAAAAAAGAAATAATGTACTAAAGAACTCACGCGCGCGCATGCGCGCGCAGCGTGCATTGTGGATATATAAGATACTATTATATTCGTCTTTGTTTTACGCGATGTCTTCTGAGAGCATTTATATTGACGCTTATAAGTAAGATAGTTACGAACTTCGAAATATAATATTGTTTCGTTTCTCAAGACGAGAGAGGAAGTGCGTGGCGAGGAAGGGCGCTTGCTTGTTTATCATTATTGAATTTTCGGACAGATTGCGCGATTTGCGACGGTTCTCTTGGCTGTATTCGTCCGACGGGAACGCGGAGCGACTTTGCTTCACTGTTTTGGGAATCTTTACATACGTGCGTTACGTTGCGTTTTTCGAGCATATATATATAGATATATTTTAAAAAGTGCTACTTACGTGTTCTACTTGTATTATAACGCGTACGTCACTGTAATGTATTGTAGCGTGTTTTATAAGCGTTTTCATTATGAGACGGTATCTTTGTGGATGCGCTTTCGTAAAATTTGATAATGTATTCGACGTATCTCGTGTATCTCGTGTAATCATTTCAGGCGACGTTCGCAGAGAGAAGTCAGGAAGAAAGGAAAAAATACAATAATACTACCTTATAACGCATGTTTACGCGAAGGATACATATAATATTTAAACAGATAAAAATTTTATATGCGAATATAATATTTAGGAGACATTACGGACGCGGCAGCGAAGTGTAATACGTATTTACGTTGACAACGGACTCGACGATCGCCCGACGAATTATTATTATTACATTTGTTTTCCATCTCTTTTACCGAGTACGATGTTACCGATTATGTTTACACGTGCACTGTATATTATTACAAGTTAACAATGTCATTTGAGAGGTTCGTTTCTCCTTAATGACGAAAATATACATCTGTGCATTATCTCGAATTCTCTTGTGAGTAATATTTATTTCCCCCCATGAGAGACGCAACGCACGTTTTTCGGAAGTGCATTTTTATTATATTGAAATTAGATGTTGAATATTTTCACCACATTAGGAACAGTATCTATTCTCAATATAGCGTACCATAAACAGTCGGGTTAAACGCTTAAAAATACATTTCTTATCCTGACGTTTAAAACTCTATATTTTCAATATCGAGTAAAGAAAAAGTTGTTTTTATACACTTTTAACCTTCCATAAAATCCTTCCGATTATAATGTCCGACCGCGATATAATAATAAACAGTTTCATTTGTCATAACGAACAAAAGAATTATGTGCTGAAACTAAAAATATGAATATCCCCGCGAACATGATGACTCATTAACAATAAAAGTCAGTAAAATTATTAATACCTCACCATATTTGCTATGAAAATCTTAAGATAGGAAAGAGAAAGAGAGACAAAGAGCTATAAGACTTTTGAAAATAATTTATTACCGTCATCGTTATTTATTTGAAAAAATAACTAACTATTTTTCTCGATTCCAAAATCCGAATTTGTAAGAATTTATTTTGTGAATCCTAGAATAATCAATACCGTTATAATATTAGCAGATGCAAAATTATCTTAAAAACACTCTGTATATTTCATTATTTAAATTATTTTTATTGTAATATATTTGTTGCCGAAAAACGTAATTACATTATCGTTTATTTTTCTGAAATTTTTTTATTGAAACAACAATTTGTGACGGTAACAACGTTACATGTAATAGGTCATTTTTCAATCTTAATAGAAAGCAAATGAAATTTTTCTAGAAAGGCTTTATATCTTCTCTCTTCCTCCCCCCACAAAATTATAATTATCTTCATTCACCAAAATCATTGTAAAAACAATGACTACCGTAAAAACAAAATAAAGAAAATAATGCTTACCTCGGGACTCGATTCCGTAAGAATAAAAGATTCTTAACATATAATTCTGTGAAGAACGCAAACTGATTGTTACAAGAACAATATTATGTGACAGAAAATAAAAATTGAACAAAAGTAATGAATTATTGTATACACTTAATTTCACACGAAAAATTAATTTCACTACAATAATATTTTCTTAATTTATTCACGATTCCTCTAGTGAAGGTTTCTGGAATTTACCGGACAGTAACAGTCGAAAGACTGACATAAATTATTTACAAACACTGTCAAAGTAACATCGAAGACGCTGGATGAAAGTTCGTTAGACCAATAAGATCCATCATAAACAAAGATAACCGCGGAGCACTGATATTACAAATACAAATTAGACCTTAGATATCTTGTGTGTATATATATATAGATACATAAATATATAAATTTATGTATTTTTCCGTGATAAAATTATATTTATTAAAATCGTAATATATATTATAATATATATTACAATTATATATATGAAAATAAGTATACTAAATTAAATATTCTCAAAAATGGCGGGGCGGCTTTTCTACGGTTATTTTCCGCTTAATAATTAAATAATGTAACCATAAAAATAATACTTCACCATAAAATCATTTATTTATTATTATTATATAGTTGCTCAAATATTAGCCAGTAACTGAAAATTGTCAACCTTTGATACTCTAAAAATTATTTAATATACATATATCATTATTATCATCAATGTTATAAGAGAATCGATTTATCGCGATACGTATATGAATAGAAATGAAAAATCTGCATTCAAGCGGCATCTGTAGTGATGTTATGGTACCTTGTAGTGATAAGTGATACGAAAGTGTCGAAGTTATCATAATTTTCAGGTTACAAATAATTAAGATAAGGCCAATCGGCCGATGATATTTCTCTTGTTTCTCATATTATAGATGCTATATGCATTACAGCAGTAAACTAATGTCGATAAGTAGATTACTGATGATTAATTTCTACGAACGAACTTTATACTTCGTATGAACGAAAATTTATATGACTGACCAATTATTTCCCTGAGAAAACTTTATTAAATACAATATTCACTTGAAACGAAATATCTTGTGTTACGCGATAGTATCGATCGACTATTGTAACCTCGAAATTTTTATCATAACATTTTCAACACCGAGTTCCACCATTGCAGCATCGTACTTCCGACACGTATATTGAATTACACAGACGTTATTAGTCTTGAGTTAATATTCGCCATACCAATGGCTGTTTTGACTTTTCTTAATCAAGGTGATTTACATCTACTACTGACAAAGTTCAATTTATCACACTCACCATTACGTGTTGAAATACTGCTGATGATCAGGTTGGCGATGACCAGGCTCGACGAAATTCTGTGTAGCATCTTCCACCGCACTGTTCTGCATCCGTTCAGCATTGTCTTTAATTTAATAAAAACTACGATAATCTTCGGTGCTCAGGTATATTCGCGGATAAAATTCACTAACGAGACAAACTAAATGGGAAATATACAGAAACCGCTTTTTGGTTCTGCGCCATGATCCATTTCGGCCGAACCGACTGAACATCGCGATGACTGAGATTCTCGAAGTATCGAAAATGCGTGAAACTTCACTCGGTACTCATGACCGTTTATTTCACGAAATATTCGCTTCCGACAACATTTTACATATATTTTGCCACGGCAAGGATGCGAAACCTACTTTCGACATTCCTGCCAATAATGCGCGCGTGAAACTCATTTGATATATCGAAAGCATGAAGAAACTCGCCAACTGTCGCAACGAACGCTTGATACTTTGCCTCTCAACATTCTTGATGGTCTATTTTATGAGATCGTTACTTTCGACAGCTAATTGATTGTTTTGTCATGTGATATGATGCATGAAACACTCGATACTTCTAACAATAATACTCACGCGAAAAACTCTGTTCAGACGAATAAAAGTCATGATATTTACGGAATTACTTTGCGTATTACCGCGCAGCAGTCCGTTCTGTGACTGACATCTTTCATCAAATGCGATTTACGAAATATCGATACAGTCGATACATTTAGCGCGATATATGCGCCATGTTTGAGCGCAAATCGCTCGCTTATGAATAATTCAAAATGCATACTTTCGATCGTGCAATTCTTAATAATATATAGAAGAGAAAAAAGAGACAGTATATGAATATAAATAATCTTTAATTAATAATTTCTGATTAAGTATTATTATATGAACAATTGGCTCAAAAATCTATCTTCTTGCTCAGGCTTATAAATATCTAAATTGTTTACAAATAAATAAACAATTACAATGTAATTGTAGTAAAGTATATAATATTAATAATATTTTATATATTTATTTAATATATAATATTATATCATTAATATAATATAATATTAATATATTATATTATTATTAATTATTATATTTATAATATAGTATTATATACATATTAATAATGTAATTATATATTTTGTAACATTTATCTATTATATTTAATAGAATAATAATTTAACAAGAACTAGCTATCCAATTACTAGCACTATTTTCGCATCTTATTTTATATTATTTTATTTTATTTTATCTTATTTTATTTTATCTTTTTTTATACAGTGATTATGTATATGCTGAATATGACAATTGCATGTAGCGACTTTCCATATGTTTCACATTTTAATCGCTTAAAATATTCGCAGAAAAATATTAATTTGCAAGATTAAATAAGATAATCATTGTCCCTTGTTATTACCGATACATTATTTATTTATAAATTTTTAAAATAGCTTTTTTTTCAAGAAGTTTATGTTTGTGTATAATAAACAAAATAAAAATGAGAATAAAATAATAATAATAAATGATAAAATTTGATTCTATAGTCATTTTATAATCTCATTGCCAATATAAAAGTTAATAAAGAATAAAATATTGTTTTTATTAACTTTTATTCTAATAAAACTTGCTAATAATAATAATCGATATCGATTATATTTCATTAGCTTTCTTATTATTATTCATCAATTCATACACATCAATTCATTAATTATTTAATGACTCAAGAAAAGTCTTTTTATTCTCGACGCTTCTGATTCCGGATATATGTTTTTATTTACACTTAAATTACTTGAAAATTCTTTCTTTGAGTTCGGGGCCTCACTTATGTCATATTTAAAATGTTTACTTTGAAAGATTCCCTTTAGTACATATAAAATTTTTTTTCTTATACTCGTCTGTACCTTCATCTTTTTCGAACGATCGTGTAGCATTAATGAATATTGATATGTATTATCCATTATTATCTTGAATAGAGAAGGTATCCAAATGCAGCAAAGTGAAAAAACATGTAAAATATAGACACACATATTCGCCACAGACTCATTGCACGGCATAATATACAGGAAAAGTATACAGCGCACAAATTCTAGGGGAACAACCCTATTATCTTTATCAAATAGTAAGCCAATGCTGGTAAGAGCGAATAAAATATTCAATGCCATATATATTGCATGAGAGTTGTAAATATCCTGTAAACATAGAACAAGCGTCAATAACTTATTGCAGAAGTGTATTAAAAAGAATAAAAACAAAAAATCAATAAAATATTATCTGTAGATCTGTGTCACATTGTAAGAAGACATTAGTTCTGACAATTTAAAAAAAAAAACGAAATCCATAATAGAACAAAAGAAAAAAACTTATGACGATCCAAATATACAGATAAAATTTTGATAGAAAATTTGCCAAGTTAATAAATAGTCTTGTATATAAATGAAACAAAATATTTCATAAATATTTTCAAATCTTTTCCATAAAAAAAAATATAATTTTATAAAGTAATTTCTCTCTCTCTCTCTCTCTCTCTTGATAAGACAAAAAATGGATCTCGTCGAAATAAACTCACCGCATCCTGCAGTCGACAATGATCGACAAGAATCACAGCAAAATGAAAAAGGATGTATACAAGTTGCCACGTAGGTGTGTAGGGATCATACACATACCTAGGCGTCGTCTATAAATAATAAGAGAATGACCTCATTTAACGTTACCGTTTAAGTTGAATATTCCTATCATTTCGTGAAGAATTTCTCACGTCATCCACTTAACATCGTTTGACTTATACTCGCAATTGAGCGAAATAACAGATGATGTAATATGCGTATTCACATGTGTTTTTAACTTTGTTTTTACTATCTTACATATGTCTTATAATGGTCCAGACCCAAACGCGGCGCACCCGGAAACCAGCTGGGTCCCTTCCAGAAAGTATCTATTTTATTCCACCAAGTATACATCGCTGCGCTCTTTTTAAACATTGCCTTTAAGTAGTGCAACTACGACACCAAATACGAATACATTGTTATTATTAATATAATATAATAATTTTAATAATCGGACGTGTTTAATGTCCGTGCAGAATATTAAATCCAAAGATGATTTTACTTGCAGATAGATTGGGTTAAATGATTCAGAGCTAATCACCAGGCCATAAACAATTTCTTCCTTCTCTTCTTGAAACGTGCCGAACAATCGATCCCATATGATGAACACGCCACCATAATTCTTGTCCAAACAATAAAGATTGCAACCTGTAAATATAAAAAAATGTAATATGCGTCCCGAGCTAGACGTAACATCTTCGACATACCGTGATGAACGCGATGATGTTTAGCTGTATTGAAAAACCAATCAAACCCTCGTATATTACCAATAAGTGTCGTGTGTAGACACAGTTGATATATTAAATTAAACTGTTTATGGCTAATAAAGTGCGACGGAGGTACAAACAGAGTGAGGGGCAAGTAAAATATCTGGAAAATGAATTATACCACTGATAAATCTCTCAAATTGCTAATAATAAACGCGCAATTTTATAAGCTCTTAAAGTCTTTAGCGGCTATTATAATCTTATCATATGTTCACTTTGACGAATTTTCATAGCTTTCTTTTACTTTATAATATACTAATCTTTCAATTTTTTATTTGTAAGAGAGATATTTGATTTTTATTTAGTATTAATTTTATATATAAAATCTGAGTAGTATAAAATATAAATATAAAATTTGAGATTGTATCTTTTTGTAGATTAAAAGCCTCCGTTGATATTTCATATTAGTTTTTTCCTTGTAGTCAACATCTCCAAACGATACAAAGCGATACACGTCGGCAACAATACTCACAAAGTTGCACCAGCTTTGCATAATAGATTGCCGCAAACCGACTACGAGGCTAAACTCCTCACTACTGTGATGCACTTGATGGAACACCCAAAGCAAAGCCACTTCTGCAAATAAACAATTAGTATCTTACAACTAACAATTAACAAAGAGAAAATAAAATAGTGATATGACAATTCGTATTATAAGTCTAAACAAAAATCTAACCGTGGTTGCAACGATGAGCCCAATAATAACAAAACTCCACGCTCAAAGCGGCGATGATCCATGTCGATGGTACATTCCAAGCTAAATTTAACAAATGAAACTTATTGTACAATTGGATGTATACATAATATTCAGCACCGCGCGAAAAAGACCTGAAAAATAATGACATATCTTATAAATTGGCTAAACTCGAAAGTATCACGATACAAAAAGTAGTAAACCAATATGAAATATAAATCGATGGACTTTTCAACCGATACATAAATATATATGTGTAAGATTTTTTTTTAATATAACATATATATTAGGTCGAAAAAAGATTTGTTAGTTATTCAAGTAAAATTGAAAACCAAATTATTTTATTTTGAAATATATTTTACGAACGAAGTGAACAAAATCGATTTTCTCTATTTAATTTTTTTTCCAAATATTTAACAAAATTTTCTTGCTTTCTTTTTAAGAGTCAGTAATTTTCTATAAATCAGAATCTAAAGAACAAATCTTTAAGCATATCGATGAAAGTTTTAGACATCAGTCTTGTTTAATTATTGTTTTACTTCTTTATGTATTTTGTTCTTAAACTGTTCTGTACAGTTGATAAATCGTTATCTGTGTTTACCGAACAGTTTCATCGAATATCCAATGGGACAGAGAGGTCACTTGTTCATTCCAGCGAACTTTCTTGTTATACTTTATATACAATGCTATCTGCTCCAAAATTAACAACAGAAAGAACGGCAACCATATCTAAAAGTATCATTAACATTTGTACAGAATGTACAGAAGGTCAAGCTCGCTTGCGCTTCGCATCAACCATTCGCGCCACGCTCGAAAGGGATCCGGACAAAAATAGCATGCATACGACTTGTTAACGAATCGTGCAACTACACTCGGGCATTCGTAACAATCAATAACACGCTAGTGAATACAACTGATAAAACTGTTTTTATATTGGAAGACGAAGTAGCGATTAAATAATTATATTGATTGAACAATAAAGTTCACGATTGTACTTAACGAATTTTGGAATTGTTCAATACTTGCAAATTCTTGAGTCTTTCGCAATTAAAAATTAAAAAAAAGACTGATGTTGATCGTATCTCTTTCTAATTACTTATTATTTATTTACCGATTTATTTAACAAGCGACTTAATTTTTATTAATAATTCTATCTAATAATTCATTAGCATTATAGATTAATGCCCTATATAATTTTGCATGTTACACGTTGCTATAAATTCTCTATTCGTTCCATTCAAGCCGATAAAAAATCGCGAAAAATGTTGAGGAATTAACAAAATGATCATACGACGTGCAAAATTACATCAATGCAATCAATATAAGATAGATCTATACAGGCAAGAGGCGAGAGAGAAAAACTTCACGCATGAAATTTCATGCATGGAAGTTATTAATGATTTCACGTGTAACTATTAAATTATTAAATATAACATTGATACGAGTGACGTAACTTAAACAATAAGATGAGACTTTCACGAATGAACATTCTTCTGTTTTGATTTCTTTCAACGTTACCTCTTGCCAATAATCCGGCACTTGTTCCGAATATTCGAAGGTCGTATCATTGGGGTTGATGAGGTAAAACAGTTTCCCCGCACCTTTTAAAAATCGGTTTGAAAATGTCGCGTTCATCTCGTCCACTCGCCAAACGCATTTAAATTGTTCGGAAACTAAAATAAATAAATAATGACTCAGAAAAACATTCACCACAAAATCGTCGATTTCATATACGTATCTCCTCAATTCTACGAGTAACTTTCCGGACAAAATTGCGCACCGGTTTAGCCGCGTGCGCGTATCGTTTAATACGAGTTGAAACTAAACGAGCAGCCTGACGGATCGGAGAGTGGACAACAAGGAAAACAAATATTATTCGGCGGGAATATATAAACACGAGACGGATGTCTCTTAAATTTGCACGATACATAATCTCACCTAACTGAAAACGACTGTTCCGATGGTATCGATTTATCGAAATGTAGCGAGTCCATTGTTTCGCCTACCAATAATCACATCAAAATTGCTGACATAAAATGCTCCAAAATTTGACGTCACTCGTAGATCATTTGTATATTGATACTTATCATTATTTTTATCATTTGATTTATAATTTTATATTTGGTATATTACTATGTTTATATTATGTGATATTAATTGGAGAAAATACTGAAGGACGCGATAATGCGATAATTTGATTTGTGATAATTTGATTCGCAAGTACGTCTGTAAAGTCGCTCCTTCGACGAGTACGTAACGTAGCAACTAATCAACATAACAAATTACCTAAACCAACACACTTTCCGCACCCAACCGTTATATAATGATAAGAAAACCATAGCAAAAGAACGTCAGCGCAGATAAAATTAACGAGAAGCTACATCGAGTTACAGAACGCGCGATGCTCGCGTTTCGAGCGAATCGCCGACACGTAATTGATCGTATCTAGATCAATTTTATCGCGAGACGCGACACACTTTTCGTACGGATGCGTACTCAATATTAAGAGGCAACTGATCACGGACGGAGAAAATCATAATCATGTTGGAGCGCAGTCGTACAATCAACACGTCGCCCCTCCATTTCGTATGTTAAGATAACAGATTTTTCGAAGCATTCGTTTCTTTTCCCCTCTTCTTTTTTTTCATGCATGATTGCAAATCGCGAGCGAGTCTCACCGATACGTTTCACAATCGTAAATCGTGAGCTGAAGAAACGAAGAACATCGTATATCTTGTCGCGATGAAAAACTTTCTTTTCGTCAATAGATTAATGAATCGAAACATAAAAAGATACGATTACTCACGAAGCGGAACAATTTATTTGAGGAAAGAAAGAGAGAGGGAAGCTACTTTTTGTACTATCAATTCCGGTTGTCTTTTTCCCTTTTTAGATATATTACTAATCAACTTATTATTAAATTATCTTTCAGTATGCACTATTTGAAGATAAAGAGAATATGACTTGAACATATAACTTGCCATTGAGAATCCTATTACTTAAAAAATAAAGATCTCTTGTAATGAAAAGACTGTCAAAAATCCCATGTTGTAGGACAATAATAGATGTGCTAAACTCATCAAACGTTTCTAAACATACTACCTGGCGCCATCTAATGGTATCTGTTTTTATAACTCGTAGTATAACTCAACAACGGGTCAGACAATCTTCTCGAATTATACGCGCGTAATTCGATGTTAATTCGAAAAACCTATTATTTTACGATTTAACAACGAGTCACAAAAATTGTCATTTTACTTTTATATTTAATATCATATTATATGTGTCACAAAAAAATAACCATTCAATTCTGGGGTGTTTCAGAAAAGGATATAGTGCAATTAAAAATTTACATTTGGCAACAGTGATTCAGTTGTTGTCCCTTTCTAACGAAATTTATGATTCAAATAGAAGTTGCAGAATGATTGGTAAAGTAAATTATTATATTTATAATTATTTAGAATTATTTTTAGCGCATATACATTAATAATTTTATAAATATTTATAATTTATAATTTTATAAGATTATAGATATAAAAAAAAAAGAGATAAATTACAAATGAACGTTTATAAATGATAAACGGGATGTTTTATATGTAACTTATTGTTATATATAGATATATATGTTTACATATATTTGAATAAATAAGTATTTCAGATTATTAATCTTAAAAATTAAGATACTGGAAATACATTAGATAAATTCTAAATTTTTTTTTACTGCTGCCAGGAAGAAAAAGATTTCAACACTGCATAACTACAATAGAATATCTCAAACAAAGTTGAAAGATAATATGTCCTTTTAAAAGTAGTTAATAAGCAGAGTGAAATCAAAGGATTGCTTTATCTAACATATTAATATTTTTATAATTCAAACTTAGCTTTTTTATGGTAAATTTAGCTTTTTTATGGTTTACAAATACATAAGTTTATATGGTTTTACATGGTTTACAAATAATAAGATATGAATGTGAACACAAACTAACTTCAAAAGATTCAACCAAGTATGAAATATCATTAATAAAAGTAGAAGACAATAATAATTAATTTTAAGAACATCTAAGAAGAAATAATCATTTGGAATTCAAGAATATTAGATAAAGATTGACAAAATATTAGATAAAGATTGCTGATGCTTATGATGATTGCTAAAGTCCATGATTTCAATATTATTTAATATTATTTCACTAAGTATAAGCTAATAACCAGTTCTAAAAGGACAAACATTCATTTTTGCTTGCTATTCTCTCTTAGAGTATGAATTATTCTTGCATGTGCAGATATATTACAAAAAAAATAATTTTATAAAATTATACTCTTGAATTCTAAAAATTGAAAAATTTGATTTTATCTCTTCTGACTAAAAACTTTGTTTGGATAAGATTAAAGGAAAAAAGAAACAAAAGGGCATATAGGCAACAAAAGGAAAAATAAAGAGCACAGGTATTACAACAGTCAAGTTTCAGGCATTATGTATCAAACATTGCAGTTACCAACAATCAGAATGAATGAATTGCAGAAATTTAAACTATGCACAAAGAAAAAAGGTATTAGGTTATAGTCTGTTTGTTGTGAAAAAATAAAAGAAACAAATTCAATGAAAAATTTGCAGAAGCTGCAGAAATCTATGAAGAGAAGTATGAATCTGAAGTAAAAGAAACAAAAAGTAGAACAGGCGAGAAAACTGGCGGCAAATAAGCTGAGTCAATCAATTGAAAAGGAGGAAATTGAAGAATACCTGAGAAGAGAATATGGTAAGTGAAGAAGCTTGCTGAAAAAGAACACTTTATTCAAGATATAAATAGTGATGATTGGGGTTGAAAATGCATCCGTAAATCTGCCTTGCACTCAATAGTATAAAAGCAAATACGATATATACACATATATTTATTTGACGCCAAAATACACCGCAGTGAATCCTCGCTGTTGTCCTCTACATTGTCAGCACATAATAATTCCACGAAAATCCGCGGCATGCGCGTTTCTTGCCGCGTTCCATCCACTTCCGCTGCTTCATTTCCCGTCTCCCCGTTTCCACCAGAAACGAAGGCAGCGAACGTGCGATGCTTTGGGCAATATTTGTATTTCTATTTCGACATCTTACAGGTGTACTTCTCACGCGCGGCGATGTGGTACGGTGGTCTCCGTACTTCCATTATCATGAAACACGAGGTCTGTCGTCGCGGCGAGTCTTGAGGTGTCGCTTTCCGATGGTCTATTTTTACCGAAAGGCGTCCCAAGCCAGTCGGCAAGCAGGCGGTATAGCGACGGTTGGGCGCTATTATAAAGCACCGTGTGCTGGCCGCGTTGTAATTCATCGCATTAAGTGCGGAAGACCCCACCGGGGCTCCGGACGATCTCGCCCATCGCTGAGGAGAAGGAACTACAAGCGTACGCAGCGAATCGTTTTCTCGCGACTATAGTACCTGTGGAGAAGCTGCGGAGAAGCTGTCGAGCCTCCCAGGCATTGCGGAAGAGTGACACTTCTCTCGCCGTTTTGCGGAAGATACCTCGCGGAAGCTTCGTTCACGTATGTAGGCGACGCCGCGGTATCGATAGGCGTGATCGGCGGACGGTGACCTCTTCTTCTTCTTCTTCTTCTCTTTCTTCTTCTTCTTCTTCTTCTTCTTCCGTATAGAACGATAGAGCGAGAGAGAGAAGCTTTTTTCTCGCGCTGGAACCGCGGGACATGCGGATGCGGTTTCAGTGCGAAAAGACCTCGTCTCTAATCTGAGCGACGACGATTCGCGCGCGGCGATCCGCTCGATATAAAAATAATCTCTCTTCTTCTCCGCCTCTTCTTCTCTGCTTCGTTCTCTGCTTCTCTCCCTGCACGTCTCTGTCCTATCAATGAAGTAGCCCGTTGTCTGCTGAGCGTCGCGGCGGCGGTGGTAGCGGCGACGGTGGCGGCGGCGACTCCTTCTGTTCCGCTACCTCTCGGTGTCTGGACGGCCGGTGCGTGCCAGCGAACGTTTTGCAAGATGCGAGATTCGCCTCTCGCGACGAGGGAGCCCTCGTCGTGAGCGTCGAACGGACTCTGACCACTCTGGCGTAGTGTGTAGGCCGGGGCGCGCATTACGTAAAGCCGTGGGAAAATAAATTGCGGGGGAAAGAAGGAAAACAAAGTGTAGGCGAAGTAGAGGCGAAGGGAGACGACGACCACCTTCTCTGTGTGTGCACACGTCACGATGAGGAGAGCATCGTTTGATAAGTAAAATCTCTGTTCGCAATGTGTTCGCCTGAGAGAAAGAAATGGGGGTGTGAGAGACAGACAGAGAAAAAGAGAGAGAGAGAGAGAGAGAGAGAGAGAGAGAGAGAGAGGGAGAGAGTGTGAGCTGGTATCGCGATCGCGTTTCTCCTATTCCTTCGGGTTTAATTATCGTTCGAGAATTCTTTCACGAGTTTCGCGCGGAACGAAAATTTTGTTCGTCATCATCGTCGTTGTCTTATCGTGTCCAACAGCGTAGCCGTTTCCGTCGATTGACCGGATGTTACATTTTTAACATGACGAACATTGTATCCGCAGTGATATATTGTAAGATAAAGATAACATTATTGTGAACTCAGTAACGTGAAGGAAGACACTCATATTTAAAAAAATTGTAATCGACCAGTATTAACGTGGTTTTTTTTCAGTAGAATTTCATTCACGCTAAGCTTGAATTGATCTTACGGAATATTCGGGCACGGCTGCACTTTTGTTAACAATCGATAGTCCACTTCCGAGTATATTTTGCACTACAATCGAGCAAAATTTGAAAAACCATTGTTCTCCCCAACAAGCCACTGCACGACAAGCGAGAATCGTCATTCTAAGTGAAATTATCACGACGATCGAAAATTGCTCCGTTAGAACTGCCTCGAAATTTCGGCACGCCGAAGTGCCTGACACAGCTCGACTTGACCGACTTCGAACCTCTCGCAAACTACCGCCAAACAATCTATTTAAAGCGAAGTATCGATTCCATCGCGTAGCTAGAATCGAGCCGCGTCTTCTTCTTTTCCAACGAGAGGAAAGCGTAAGTCCGCTCTTCGCAGATGCGCAATTGTTAGCCAATGCGATTCAGCCGACGCGATCGAACGCCTCTTCTTCTGCGTCAGTATTGTCATTCAGTACCCTGGAAGAGAGAAGGCTCGATTTCCGTTGCTTCGATTTGCAAATGTAAGTCTTAGAATTCGCGCGAACGTTTCAAAACTTGGAGATCCTCCAAATCCAAACGTCTCGCTCCTTAACTGTCGAAGTCTCACTTAAAAATCAACGCGCTCAATTTTGAAACATTTCTGCAATCGGGAAGCGAGGAAACGGGCAAGTTTTCCACGATATGCAAGAGAACTCGACGTTATCGATATGTTGGACGTAACATCTCGAGGTGTACAGAGAATTTGGTCGTCGCTCACGTAGCTACACGAATATGTCTAATACGTTTAATTCGCATATCGATCGAAGCGCGACAGACTAATTTTTCATGTTCAGCGTCGCATCGTTACGTATCGGCGATTTTTCAACGCAACGCCGAATAAATATACGACGCTGATCGCGCGCCCGAGCACAACCGCTCTCTCGAACTGTTACTGCGTATTACGTTACAACAGATAAATTTAGCATTTCTTTTACACGCTGCTCGTTGTACCACTGCCAATACCGCGACTCGGAATTAATTGGCCGCTTGGAAGGTAACCAATTCTTGCCGTCGAAAGAGCTGTGCCGAGCTCGATAGCGCGCGCGCTGGGGCGGATCCTCGGGGTTTCACCTTTGTAACGTAAGACCGGCCGAATTTCCTCGTCGTCGGGAATCGAAGGTCGTGCGAATGCGGCGATTCCCGACGGTAAACATATTTACGCGATTCGAACGGTGGGATTCTCCGTCATTCGCGGCTGAACGGCGTCTAAACGGCGTAACGCGCGGAACCGAGAATCGAAATTCGTTGTGATCTCGCTGGATTTAATTGCATGTGACTATCCGTGTGACTTATTAGAAATTGAGGAAACACCCTGTATATATAATATTCGCACCACGTCGCGCCGCGTTAAATCTTGTGGAGTCCGCGTAAATGGAGGAGGTTCGCGCGAGAAGGTATACTTTTCAGGACGGTAACGACTGCGAGCTAGCGAGAGAAAGAGAAAGAGATAGAGAGAGAGAGAGAGAGAGAGAGAGAGAGAGGGAGAGAGAGAGAAAGAGATAAAGTATTTTTATAACACCTCAGACGGCACAAACTTCCAAAAAGTATCCTCAAAACATCCGACAGACCTCTTGTTTCTTTGCAGACATTCCTCAGACGTCCTTTAGTACCTTGCGTTGTCTGTAACAGCAACAAGCGCATGTTTGTTATATCAATATAGTCCATTTTTATATTTTTTATATTTTAATACGTTACATTTTAATCTAGTATTTTATTACACATTTATATATTTATAACTTTACATATTTGTATGTTCGTTACAACATTGATATTTATATCGAGTTGGGGCTGCTGTAGCTTAAAACGCAGCTCAAAGTGTGCCTTCTCGCGCGATCGCCATATCGTGTGTTGTATTTCCTCGTCCCGCTGACGACGGAAAGAGAAGATTAGCACCGCGCGAACGTTTTGCATGTCCGCAGGCACGCCAACGCGAAGCGCAACGTTCTGAGCAGCGCGTCGTACGGGCTCACGTGCAGCAAGGATGTCGAGTACAAGCGCGGCAGCGTGAACTATAGCTCCCTGCAGCAGGAGAGGAATTATCTGCAGCGCAGCGTGTCCGCGGACAATGTTATAGTACGCTCGCGCGGTTTCAAGCCCTCCGACAGACACGACCCGGTCAAAAGGAACTTCCTCGAGAACCTCACTTCAAGGATACTGCACTTCGACATGGTGAGCGCTCGCATGAATCCTCGCGTGTTGTGCGTTGCTTTACTCTTTTGTTTTCTTTTTCTTTTTGAGCGACATCTCCGGAATTCCTCTCGCTCACGAGAGAACTCACGACTTGCGACCCTGATTGCAGGAGAGCGGCGAGACTACCCCGATTAACCTGCAGAAGTTGCTCACTCCGGCGTCGGACTCTCACGAGATGCTGCATTCGAAAAACAGTAAGCGTCGTTGTCGATATGACTGATTGTCCTGCGTATTGAAAGCATGTCTCGGAGAATCTTCAGCGAACTGCCGCTCCATTTTCACGACTTGAGAGATGACTTCCCAAATGTTGGAGCTTCTAGTATTAAGTATATACACTCGATATCGCAGTAGCATTGATATCGAGTGCGGTTCATGGAAGAGCAGGAAATTACTTCTTAAAGGCGAATTAAAGGCGACATATGGAAATGACGTTTCAGGGAAAATGTTCGCGTCCTCGTACTTCTATGCGCCGACGCATCCTACGGTCGAGGATCAGGTCGAGCTGGCACGTAGGATCTCGCACTCGCTGAGCGATGTGAAGAACGTGAAGAGCAAAGGGCAGACCATGTACGTGAACAGGAAAAAGCGTTCCGTCAAGTGGATCCACGATGGCAACGGTGAGCGGTGAAATTTTGTCAAATCTGTTTACCGCGTTCAACACACTTCATACGTCCCGATTCTCATTCGATCAGAAAGGATCATATACAGGATGTGTAAAAAGTACCGGGACGATGGAATATAACTAAAATTAAGCATTTTAGAAAAAAATGTTTTAAATAAAAATTATAGGGTTTCAAAAGATTTATTTACTGACATTATGAGTTGACTTTGGCTGGTGTCGCGAAGGTCAGGACAAAGGCATCTTGAATTTTTTAAATGGGATCCCCTATTTTCTATTACATATTCTTGTAGCCCTTCTTCAAACCTTTTCAAAACACTATAACTTTTTTTACTTTGAGTAAGCCGTTTCGAAGTTATCGAGCTTTATATGATAAGATGTTCAGCCAGTCAAGGCGAGATCCTTACAAAAGCGTTTGAGAATAATGTTAATCTCTAACGGACAAAGTAAAGCCTAACGAATAAGCTAGGAAACAAAAAGATTTATCCAATAAACAGAAAGTTGTATTAATTAGATAACAAAATCGATCATTCAATTAAAGAAAGAAAAATCAGTAAGAAAAATCATTTATCTTTTCCGTATGAAACAACGCGTATCATGTACAAGTAATGTGTTCTACTTCAAGTCAAATTCATTGTAATTGATTGGAAATGATTCGAAGGTGAATTTTAGTGCTGTTATAAATTTAGTACATTAGTATTACTTTTTTTAATATTACATGTATCTGAAATACAAGTCACGAAATTGCTCCAGCCGTTGGCTGGACATCTTATCATAAAAAGCTCGATAACTTCGAAACAATTTACTCAAAGTGGAAAAAATTATAGTACTTTAAAAAGGTCTGAAGGGCTACAAGAATATGCAATAAAAAATAGAAGGTCCCGTTTAAAAAATTCAAGGTAACCTTGTCGTAATCTTGGCGACGCCACCCAAGGTCAAACTCATAATGTCAGTAAATAGATCTTTTGAAACCTTACAATTTTTCATTTGAAACATTTTTGTCTAAAATGTTTAGTTTTTGTGATATTTCACAGTCCCGGTACTTTTTACATACTCGGTATAATCGTATACAATTATTTTTCGTCACATAGTTAATATCTACGAATCGCTACGCGCGATGTCGTTTTTATCATATATAATATCGAAGATGATATTTCACAGGTATCGAGGACGAAGAGGAGTCGACCGTGCAGATTCACAAGGTAAAGAGCACGACCTCGCGTATATTGTCGTGTGCGAATAGTCTCTTTTTTTATCCCTGCCGAAACTTCAATCGAGGAAACTTCTCTCGACAGGACAAACTGCCGCTCAAGTGTGTGATGAACCCATGCGGTAAAGTGCTAGATATCCACGGTATTCAGGCTTTAGGCGAGGAGGTGAACATCGCGCCGGTGCCGAAGAACCCCGAGAAGCTCTTCGACATCGTTCGTGACTTGAACAATCAGAGAGGACGCGGTAAGTGTTGCATCGGGATACAAACAGCGTCTCCGCGAGACGCGTACACGCACAGCTGACGTTGCCAAAACAATTCACAGGTGCCGAGATATTTGCGAAACGCAGGAAAAGGTCGGAAAAGTGGGTGGTGGATCAAGAACGGCCGCAAACACACCCGAGCACACCCGCCACACCGAAAACGCCGGTGTATCCGGAGAAACTGGTGAGTCACGAGACTGCACAATTCTGAAGGAAAAAACAATTCTGTTAGTCTAACTTTTACATTGCCTGGTAAAAATAGAAACTAAATCAAAACTGTCAGGCGTCCAGGTTTCAGCTAAATTGATATATTCTTCAAAAATTATATTTGTACAGATTTGTATAGATTTCCCGTTTCTTTTTTCTTTCTTTTCTTTTTAAAATCAGGTTTCTCAATTTTCAAGTCTGGCACTTCCAAATCAGACAAAAAATTCGGTTCTAGGAACAGGAAGATTCCTACAAGAGATTTCCAATTTGCAAGTTGCAATTTTTTGTTGATAGAATTTTCGTCTGGTTCCTACCCAGTTATACGAACTGAGATTTTTTTCGTATATCGCCCACTTTGACATTTCGTAGATCCTAATGATAGACTAAAGAATCGCTACATTGTGCTTTCAGGAAGTCAACGGTAACGCCAAGTTGATGACGCCGACGTCCTTAACGCCTCGCACGCCGGTTATCGACAAACCGTTCTACAATCCTTTCACCGTAGACATCAGCCTCGACGAAGCACCGGTAACAGGTGCGTACAATGTAAACACGGTGACCGATGAAATAATAGCGCTGCAAGGTGATCCCACTTGGCAGATTTAGTTGGCAAACGACGACGTGATGCTCCTTTCCGCCACGTTATCTGCGTATTTCGAAATTACGCATCGACATCAATGTCGCCGGGATCTCTCGAAAGCCGCGGTCAGAATTTATCAACGTCAACCGATACCGCATTTGTAGACCCGCGAATAACGTCGCGAGAAACGTCGACGTTTCTTTTCTCGAGCAATTCATCGAGTTTCACGCATCGCCGAAAATACACTCGACGCGCGTTGCTGAATTGCACAATCGCGCGCCTCGAGTTTTTCTCGCTTTTGTCGCTTCCTTCGTGAAATCTCGGTATTTCGCTCGCGGAGACTCGCGGATCGTTTTACTTTTTCTTATATAAAATAGAGCATATCTTATATAAAATAGCTTATATAAAATAGAGAAACGCGTGTACGCGAAAAATTGTTTAATATGAATTAAACGAGAACGATGTCAGAGAAGAGACCTGCTTCCTATTTTCTTTTTTTCTTTTACGTCAGGCCACGCGTCGGCAAGGAAACGTTCTAGAATCTCAGAGGTACTTGACACGCCTCCGAAATAGAGATCAATATTGGACTGGTCGGTTGTAGCTAGAGTTGAACGATCTACGGTGTCCTAATTGGCAAGAGTTATCGGTGTTATTTAATCGACACGAGACGTGGCTTGCGCGCGTCCGACAAGTATACCTGAGACAAACAATAAAGAGTATCTCTCGATGCCAATCGTTCTTTTTATAATAGCTGATCGATACAGCGATTAGACACATTGACCGAGATAAATGCAATTCTGTCACAAATAGAAACGAAGAACAAGGTGGCGCGTTAAGATGGTCGTGCTTTTGAACATGTAATATGATTATTATCGACACCTTGCTGATAGGATAAAAAAGACGGTCGCACTGAAGAAGAACGCGAGATTTAGCTTTACAAAAAACCAGGTGCATTTGAAATGTTTTTGTTAACGCTCTTGCCAATGCAGAAATATTACTGGAGAATTTATTCTGATAAAATAATTAGACTTTTCCTTCTTAATATTCCATCTTACACCGATGTTCTCTGTACTTTTCTATTTTTCTCTGAATGATTAATTATCATGTATACATATACAACTGTCACACACACACACACACACACACAAAGTTCCTTCGAAAGGTATTTCGCACTGAATCCCATAACAAGGCTTCTCTCGCTGCGCTTGTTGTCGCTGCTTCAATAACAATTTGCGCATTGCAGACAGACGCCGATCGCACTGCAACGCCAGCCGATGCACCGCTCACTTAGGCGAGGTAAAAAAGATCTACCTGCGGGAGATCGCGGTCGGCACGGACTCCGACTTCCCTCTGGACCAGTCCCGATCGCCCATCGTCGAGAAGTCCCGACGTATCGCTTTCGAAGGCACTAACGACTATCGCGGTAACAATGTCGCTAGTAACCGCGCTCTCGCTATTAACAACAGCAGATATACTAATAACAGCAACAACAATTGCAATTATCAACCGCCACGGAGAGCGGGCGATTTTTACGCCTCGCGCAACAACCACGAGAGAGACGTAAGGACGCAGCGACGTTTCGACAACAGGCGCAACGACAGCGTGATCGATCATGCCGTGCTCGGCAAGAAGCAACGGAACGGCGGCCAGCCCGTTCCTCATAATGAGGAGAACGGCTACACGCCCGTGCCGGTGAAGCAACTGATACAGGAATTCGAGAAGACCTGCAGACCAGTCCTGCAGTACAAGCAGATCAGTCCGAGGATCATTCCGATCGTGCAACAATGCCCGTTAGACAACGACATAGCGCGTTTCTTCGCGACGAAAAATCCCGCCAAGTGCAGCAACGAGGAGGAGGAGGAGGAGTACGCACGGTGAGAACTCACAGCAGATCCCTCGAGCGACTCGAATGTTTTTCGATAGCGGTCCCTGGATATTTCTTGGCCTATTTTATGGTTATTTCAAGGTTCATGAGATTCATTAAATTCATAAATTTGAAATCATCCTTATCGATAGTCTTTCGTCTGCCTTCCTTAAGGCCGGTTGTTCCAACTTCTTGGTAAGTTAACTGATAGTTAAATCATATGGTTGTCTGTTTTCCCTTCAACTCAGATAAACACAGACATATGATTTAACTATCAGTTAACTTACCGAGAAGTCGAAATAAACAACCAGCCCAAAGACAGACATATGATATAACCATCAGTTAACTTACCGAGAAGTTGGAACAACCGGGCCTTAGTCGTCGAGATTAGCGAATCTTTCTCTTGGCGACCGACGTATTCGATCCTAACGATTCGAGGCGAATGCTCGCGCGAGTTGCGCTGCGCTTTTCTCTCGCGAAGTTCTCGTTGTCGAAATAAGATACAAGGAGGAGGAAGCGACTGACGAGGCTCCATCTCGATGAATTGTGCAGCGCGCGCGGAAGCTATGAAGCTCCTGCCGCGAAAGCGCAGTCCCAACGGAATGGCCGGCTGTACGGCGTGCGCGACAGCTACGAGAGACCCGCGAAACCGCCGCAGTGCAACGGCCGATTGTGCGACGTGCGCGAGAGCTACATCGAGGAAGCGACGAAGGCGCAGAGCAGGTGCAACGGCTACGTCTCCACGGACGAGAGCGAGTACACGACCGACAACAGCGACTCCGAGGCGGACGACTACCAGGAGGACGCGTACTCGCTCGAGCGCGGCGACTCCGCGCCGTCGGCGCTGTTCAACTACTGCGACAGCGAGTACTCGGTCGCGTACGACGACGAATACACCTGCCGAGGGCGCTCGGCCGCGTCGCAGGAGCTGGAGGCCCTCTGCGCGAACGGCGACGCGAGATTCGTCAACACCGAGACCGAGACGCCGGCGGAGGCGAAGTCGCTGATGCTCTCGATGGTCGCCTCGCAGGAGGATATACTCGAGACCAGGAAGCACTTGCGCAACACGCCGGTATTGGACAATCTCCTGGGCACCGTCACGCCGGAATGCAAGCTCGCTGACGTTAATCCGGAATTAGGCAAGTTAACACGCATGTGCTTCCGCTTTCTCGCCGTTCTCCCGCGCATTAACCATCTCCCTCCGTCGAGTCCTTCGCCTCTCTTGCCCGACAGCCGCGTCCTCTCGCCACCACACACGCTGGAGATCTAACTTTTCCACACGAAGACGCTGTATAGGATATATTTCATATCGTGTATAGAATATGTATAGGATATATTTCATATCGTGTGAGACCAGGACCAGGTTATTGTTTTCTACAGGAGGGATTCTTGTGAATCCTTTTGTAGATTTTGGAATTCTTGAAGAACGTTCGCGAGGAGAATTTTCTGTTTAATTAGGCTCCGTAAGTATAAGGTCTCTTAATGCGATGTTATCGTGCAACTGATCGTAATCACGGTTGATACTGATATAATAACTCGAACGGGAGATATGAAACAATATTTCTTCTCGCACAAGTAACGTCGACGGTTGAATTGATTGAAGTAACGTCGATTTCAATCGTCGATTCAAATGGAGGTACGATGCTCGAGGAAACTTATACGATTCTCGTCGTCACATCGTACTCGTGGGTTTTCACTCCGGCGCTTTGACTTTCCAGGCAACAAGTTGTACGAGAACAACAGCTACACCGGTCCCAAATTGGCCAGTCTCCACAACTTGACAAATTACAACACGGCGCCACGCGGGTGGGATCAGTCCCTCACATTCTATCGGCCTATCAAGTTCGAGAAACCGCAGGAGATCGTGTACTCCGACTTTTAGGCGTACGATGTTGAATTTCATAATCACGATTTTATCGCGCGTCACGGTACGTATCGTGAAACCTGAACTTGCATAGGCGGGCGGAAGAAAAACTCCGCTAGTGTAACTGAGTTTGCTGTTGTCTGGGGATCAGGTGAAAACTCGAAGGATCTCTGTAGGAGATTCAGTCGACTCAGTCAGTTCTGGATTACCTCAATTGGGTTTTAACGCTGAATGTGTAAACGGAATGTGTTTCACAACAGAGAGATATCGTTTTCTGTCACAAAGTTTTCGCCTAGCTCTTACTTTGTTGCACGAACTGAGATTGGTCTTCAACCGTAGACCGAGTGATAAAGTCAAATGAATATTGCTTCCAGATAACGAGAAATCGATCCGACTCCTCCGAGGCGTCGACGATGGGAACTATTGAAACGTGTTTTTCGCACCATTGCATCCATTTTCGCCACCGCCCCGATTGAAGCCAATGGTCCGCCGTTGATCGCCCGATTACCTCGCCACGAACGGCGTTGAACGATGATGAAGTTAACGGCGCCACGTGTGCGTCACGTTTGGAGTTTCGTGTTGCTTGGTGTACCTCTACCTCTTCCTCCCTCACCGAGATATTTAGCGTTGTTCATGCTTTGACGGTGTTACATTATTGCATTTTACTTTATTATGTTATGCAAATAAATGTTGTTTTCCTAATTCCAGCCACGATCTGTTCCAGCCGCGATCCCTCCTCGTCTCTCTTCTCTCTGCGTATCCCTCGATCTCGCTTGGATCGACACACGCTCGATTCGCCGATTATAATGACAATAAGTTTCCCGGCGACGATGACGATGGCGTCTGTCCGATGATGCCTTCCAAGCAGCAACAGTTACATTCATATGGCGATTTCAGTATATTGTTGTGTAACTACTTTCAGAAACGTATCAATTGTCTCAAGATTAAAATGTGAAGCTTGGACTCGATAAATATTTGTTATTAATATGTTCAATCTAGCGATAATCATTCTCTTAAACAAGATAAGTTCAATATCGTAAACTCTTGATAAAATGTCTATACTTTGTTTTCACATCTCTTTTCATCAGTGATTTTTTTCTCTAGAAAGAGACGCGACCGATTTGTATTTCTATCACTCTTTTGTCGTTTGCAATCTTCTTCCATTTCCTTAGAATCTTGATTTTTTCGATATATGTGATTTTTTGTTGTTTTACTATCAGAGGAAAGAATTATGTACATATCACATTATTATGTACATTATAAAAATGTTCTACGTGACATAAACGCTTCAACACACACACATTGTTTATTGTCGATAATCGGCAAGAGGCTTTTCGCGAGACGTGACGGTTTCAATCAAACTTTATCGAATCAACGCTTACGCCTTTGCATTCTCAACCGTCATGTCCCTCTGTATTCTGACTTCCACTTGAAGCGTCCTATCACAACGACGCGCGCTTGGTCAGCGATATAAATATAAGACGAGAGCTTCACTTATTTCATTAGTTGTATGTCGGAAGCGGACATCGCTATGTCGAATTACGATTCCCTGCTGCTGCTGTCACTTGCGTTCGCGCTGCTTCTCGCCCATGGTGATGCGGCACGAATACCCCGACAAGAACCCACGACGACGGCAGAGAATTGCGGTTACAAGGTATGCAAATCGATTAATAATTGCAAGGACTTTTGAAGGAGGTGCGCGACGAGGTACCGTTGCAGCTTCCTTATACGTAATATATGCGTTCCGCAGCCATGAAATATCAATAAATGGCATTAGTGATTACTCATGTTTATGTTTACGACTTCATCTCGATGTACATTCTGTCTGAAATCATCTTTATGCAAATGGACATTGTGAAGTCATACATGCGCGTTATCGCCTTCTCAGCATACTAATGTGCATTTAATCAATTTCAGGCTTGCCATGCCGTTGACCCGAACAAACTTAACATTCACTTGGTCGCACATACTCATGACGATGTCGGCTGGTTGAAAACTGTAGATCAGTATTACTTCGGAAGTGAGTGAACGAGAATAACAACGAAAAAATTAATAAACCGCAGGGAAGTTAATCTCGATCTGCGTGATGATCTATTTAAAATGTGATCAAATTAAAATCAGTGAAAATTAAGATCTAAAGAAAATATGAAGTATTTCACACAAGTATGATTTTTATCAATATGAATAATTATAGAAATTATCTCTCCTGTAGTATATATTTTGTTTCGTACGTTCATTGTGCATGTTCATTAACATAAACTTGTTATGTCTGTGAAAAATAACGTAACTTTAACAAATATTTATAACGATAATCTGTAATAATGCAATCTCTAATTTGAATAGTTTTTGAAAAATCCTTTACTCTTTAAGGTCACTCCATGACCCAAAAAGCCGGCGTGCAATACATCCTCGATAGCGTTGTCCAAGCACTGCTGGCCGATCCCAATAGGAGGTAATTATCTTGTTTAATTTTTTTACAACAGATAACCTATACTCACGCGTGAATTACAACGCGATAAAGATTCGCGCAAATAATAATAAGCAGATAAATGACATACATCAAGCGCAGAAACAATCGTGTTATCATTGACTATTTTGGTGATAAGCGCGAATTTTATATCGTTTAAGAAAATATTGTTGATTTGCGGAATTTCCTGCCCAAGTGATTTCAAAGGTATTAAGTTTAGACCGCTGTTTCTTTTCAGATTCATTTATGTGGAGACTGTTTTCTTCTGGAAATGGTGGCAACGGCAGAACGAAAAGGTGCAGGCTGACGTAAAGATGCTGATCAATGAGGGACGATTGGAAATCATTGGAGGGGCATGGAGCATGAACGACGAGGCTACCACTCACTACCATTCGATAGTCGATCAATTCACCTGGGGATTCAGGTAAGTTGTGCATGAGATGTACAAGAAATATCTTGGCAATATTACTTGCATATAGAGATATAATTGACGCATCATCGATCGTTGGTTTTCAGGCGACTCAACGACACATTCGGTAGCTGCGCCAGGCCACATATAGGATGGCAAATAGATCCTTTTGGCCACTCCAGGGAACAAGCTTCTCTATTCGCGCAGATGGGATTCGACGGAATGCTCTTCGGTCGTATCGATTATCAGGACAAGGCCAAAAGACTGCGCGAGAAGTCGATGGAATTCATCTGGAAGAGCAGTCCGAGTTTAGGTAAACCTATCGAGAAAGAGTATCCTCGATAAGGTCAAGATTGATGGCACTAGGCTATACATCTCAAAAAGTTCCATGCGATCCACGCTTGTTACTGGAGCTGAACTTTTATTTGAGATTTACTTGCATAAGTCAACAGCATGTGTCATTTTGTCAAATTTGGAAGATAAGGAACGTAACATTTTTGTGCGGGGGAAATTAATTTTAAATTTGCCAGGAAATCTGTCCTTAACGTTTAGAAATTTAATACATTTTGTGCAGATACAATCTATTATTTATTGTTTATTAAAACTAGGTGATATTGCTGTTTTCAGGTCAACGAGCGGATTTGTTCACGGCTGCGATGTTCAACACTTACAGTCCACCACCGGGATTCTGCTTTGACGTTTTGTGCGCGGACGAGCCGATGATCGATGACCCCGATAGCCCGGACTACAACATTGATGCAAGAGTATGTAATAGTTAATAGTGCGTAATATGGTAGTCGGCACCTTTAGGTTTACATGCATAAATTATCGAGGTCGTTTTGCGCTAACCGACTTGTACGGCTAACGCGATGCTTTGCGCCAATTAATTGACTTTTAATTAATTTTCATTAACAAATCGGCAATTGCCAATGAGGAGCCAAAGCTCACTAAACTAAAGTCGGCAGGAGAACGCAGTAAAGATATTCGGGAAGAAATCTCCCCATCTTGGAAATTCTGATGAATGCGAAATTCCGTCTACATATTTTAAAAAATGGGTGAAAATCTTCCATGTATGAGAAAGGTGGTCTCACTCACAAAATTTCTTGTTAACAACCGAAAGATTACACATTCATTTATTGTTTAATTCCCCGACACATGCGGAAGTGGAAGACAATCAGAATTTCCAAATTGACGGGTTTGGCTTTGATAGAAGATCAAAAGAAGAACTTGTCTAGTAGATTCAAGCTAGAGAGAGAGAGAGAAATATACATATTTCAAAGGTCACAAAGTCAAAGTTCAAAAAGTCACAAGAGTACAATTTTTGATAGTTCGCGAATAATTTAATTGAAACGCAAAATATATACGCTTCGTGCTAGAGTCATAATGTGCACGATATGTTTCTGTGCCAGATCGAAGTGTTTCTCAAATACGCGCTCGAGCAAGCACGACATTTCCGCACGAATAATATCATATTGACAATGGGAGGAGATTTCACTTATCAGTACGCGGAAATGTACTACACGAATTTGGACAAACTGATAAGGTACTAATGCCTAAGGAGATCTAAGTTACGATTTTCCAAAATGTCTGTAACATCTGTGAAATGTGTAATTCACGCTTACCGTAATCGCTCCGAGTTCGCATTTTGCAAGGACGATATCGCTAATAGCGAGACACGCAGGAACGGAAAGTTGTCTTCGCGACTTTTCCGCACGATCGACAAACGTCAACGTCCTCCTCGTGGTAAGTAAAAATTGTTCGCGATTGGCAGGTGAAGATGTTCATGAAGTACGCACAACGTCAAGCGAGTGCCTACAAAACTAATCACATTATTCTCACTATGGGTGATGACTTTAACTATCAGCACGCGGAAATGTGGTTTGGTAACCTGGACAAGCTGATCAAGTAAGTAGGTCATGACCCAGGTAGTTGCCGAGAAACAGGTGAGATTTGGAAAACTTCCTTGTCGAGTCTTCCTTCCCGGTATAAAGTTTTGACAAATAATTTGCTTTTGATTCTCAGTGAACACTATATGAGATCTTTCACCTGTGTAAATATAAGCAATTAATAGTAAAATCACGAGTTTTGGTGGTACCAAGTAACCCGACCTATAATTATCATCTATCGTTTAATTTCTCATTAGTAAAGATCAATGTTCCAATTTCATTAACATATGTATTGTACGTAATTTGTGAAAGAACTTTTTGTACGACTTTTTTAGATATACGAACGATCGCAATGGTTCTACGGTCAACGTACTTTACTCGACACCCTCGTGTTACCTGAAAGCACTGCATGAACAAGATCTCCGATGGCCGACCAAGAGCGACGACTTCTTCCCGTATGCGAGCGATCCTCACGCCTATTGGACAGGCTACTTCTCGTCGAGACCGACAGTGAAGTACTTCGAGCGGATGGGAAATAACTTGCTGCAGGTAAGGAAACTTATTATAATATCTCGATTAGCGAAACAGCTCGTTATATTAATTAAGCGTTATTTATGTCGATGGAATTATTAAATACATTGTGCGTTTAATTTTACACGGATATTTAATTTTATACTCAACAGAAATGAGCTTTTGTTCTCTCCCTGAACGTCAGATATTTTGCTACATCGTTTAAATAGAACTAATATTAATGTATGAACTAATATATTGTTATTTCCAGGCAAGCAAGCAGCTCGTCGTACTGACGGATCTGAAGGATCACGACAAACAGTTGGAACATTTCCGCGAAGCTATGGGAGTGATGCAGCATCATGACGCTGTTACTGGCACCGAGAAGCAGTTGGTCGCAGACGATTATTCACGTATATTGTATAAGAGTATGCATTACGCCGAAGACATCTTGTCGGAAGCTGTAGGGTGAGTACACAGCATATATATATTAGAATCTCTCGTCTTAATTCCTAGTGATTTTGTATAATGAGAAGAAATGTTGAACTTTAGTTACATCAGGATTAGAAAGTTAATTTTACTATCACCTATGAAACAGGAAATGGTCAAGAAGAACGCTAAATTTGACGATGTCCACATGCTTGGAGCTGAACATTAGCTCCTGCGTATTCACCGAGGGAAGTGACAAGTTCCTAGTTACGGTTTACAATCCTCTAAGTCGACCGATTCCCACTTATGTTCGCCTTCCAGTTGAAGGAAATGCTTATGATGTTCAATTGGTTGGTCAAAACGATGGTTCGTACGCTATAGTGTTAGAACACAAAGTAAAATATAATATATAAATGACAATAGTTTGATGAGTAACATCCGTAATTTATGCATTCATAATCTCATGTTACGGTCGCAAAACGTATATGGAAAATTCTTATATAAATATAAATATATATATAGTCGAGTAACAGTTATTAGAGTTAAGTAAGCAAATTATCTGAAATAATTGTAGTAACTACACTAGCCGATCGTATATGAGATGTTTAACATATATTCTTGTGTGATTAAATAGAAACGTATCCGGTTGGGAGTACAACGACCCAAATAGTTCCGATTCCTCGAAACGTTCGAAATATCCCAGGACGAATAAGCAAAACGGAGAACGAACTTGTCTTCCGTACTGACAACATTCCTCCCGTCGGTATGTTGTCCTACCTCATCACTAGAAAACAGCAGAAAAATACTCCAGAGGTTCAACCAGAGAATTTCATAAGCAGTGAGGTAAATAAATATACATAGATGTACAGATAAAATAAACCATTAATTAAAATGGTTAACGCGTTCATGTTTCAGATAATATCTCTACTCTCTATGATATTGTAGTACATATTAAAATAATTTTTAATAATACACACGATCCTTCTCTTGAGCACTCAACATAAATAGATTGGCACTCTTCTCGTCATAAAATGCAAAGTTACCTTAAAAGAAACGAAGTGAATCGCGATCATCTCCGTGATAACAGAATTTACTTTCTGCTCTTAATTTTCAGTTATACAATATATCCATCAACAACGATGGCAATGTGGTAGTAAACTTCAACAAGCAGAAGAACATGAACTTCGTACAGTCCTTCCATTACTACGAAGGAGCGGAGGGTGATAACAAGGTTTTCGAAAATAGATCGTCCGGCGCGTATATCTTCAGGCCCAAAAACGAATCAATCAATAATTTCATCTACACTGGATCGTACGAAATTTACAAAGGTATCATTTATTCATCTTGAATCTGCCCATCAAAAATAAAACTTTTCGTAATACTATTCAACTCATTTTATATATCGAGCTGTTAAATATACTTTTATTGTAAAAATCATTATTTTTTATCAGGTCCGGTTGTGCAAGAAATTCATCAGACGATAAACGAATGGGTTAGTCAAGTAATCCGAGTCTATCTAGAAGAGGAACATGTCGAGTTTGACTGGCTCGTTGGGCCAATACTTGTAAAGTAAATATCAATTTTTATTACTGCAACATTTTTAATTGCTATAATACTTAATATAACATTGTTGTGTCTCTAATCTTTATCTATTGTTTTCAGAGATAAAATTGGCAAAGAGATTATTACCAAATACACGAGCAATTTAAAAACGGATGGAGTATTCTATACGGACAGCAATGGAAGAGAAATGTTGAAGCGTGTGAGAAATTACAGACCAACATGGGACCTAGAGTTGCACGAGCCAGTATCTGGGAATTATTATCCAGTGACCAGCAAGATTGCTATCAAAGACGAGGAGAAGCAATTAAAGCTCAATGTCCTAACCGATCGTGCTCAAGGTGGAAGCAGTATGGACGACGGCGCCGTTGAACTGATGGTAAGTCAGTCTTCTATGTAAAACATATGAGGGATTTATATTTAAAAATATATAAATTGTAGCTTATAAATAAAGCTCAACATTCGTAAGCTCCGATTAACATATAAAGTTGCATTTACGAAAATCTACATATTAAAAGATTAAATTATAACGAAGTTATATGTCACTAATAAGTTATCACTGATCTGCAACTTCAAATGGAAATATACGAACATATAATAAATGTTATTTCTTATATAGATTCATCGAAGACTTCTGAAGGATGATGCTTTCGGTGTCGGCGAAGCGTTGAATGAGTCTGCGTATGGCGAAGGTTTGGTAGTAAGGGGCACGCATTATCTCTTGGGAGGTGGATTGAAGAATTTGGATAACTTCGTATTGAAGGAGAAAGAGTTGGCCCTTAAATTGGCCCTACATCCTTGGATCTTAGGTTCGCCCGTCCTCAATAATCTTGAGGACATCCATAATACAGACAAGACCTTTGTACGTATACACTTTCATATTTCTGTTTCGTGAGTTTAATGGAAGTTGGAATAGCTCACGATTATTTACAGTCGATATAACGCAAAGCTTAATAAATAACTTCGAAAACGTTTACAAGTAAATCTTTCAATTAGAATCATTCGACGAATAATCAAGTCAATATGTCAAGATTTGTTATGCATCACTTTGCAACTACTTCGCTTATGCAAATGTCATCTTAACGTAATTTTTATTAATTAAAATTCATTTTGTAGGTTTCGGGGCTTAATAAATTACTGCCACCGAACGTGCACATACTTACGTTAGAGCCGTGGAAGGACGATACAATTTTGTTAAGACTAGAACATCTCTTCGAGGTCGGCGAAGCGCAGCAGATGTCTCAACCTGTGGAAGTCAACATACAGGTATGCCTTTCTTTCTGTATAGAATTATAGCAGTCACCTCTAAAAATAGTTGGGTAATTTAAGAGTAGCTTTTAATTCTACTGCTTTTCTTCTCCTGACAGGATCTATTTTCAACATTCTCCATTCTGTCGATTGAAGAAACCACGCTTGGTGCTAACCAGCGATTGAGCGATATGAATCGTATGAAATGGGAACCAGAAACCAATGATATTCTTCAGGAGATAGAACAAAATATGCAACCTGTGCAAATTCAAGACAATGTAGTCAATGTTCTCTTAAAGCCGATGGAAATACGTACTTTTATCCTGACTGTGAAACGTAAACCTCTTTAATTTTTATTGAAATGATCTATTTTTTTCTGAATATTGAATTAATTTCATTATACTTTTCTACTATTGTACATATGCAATTATTATTAAGAAATATAATTACATAATACAAGGCAAACTGTATATCGTATGTTTTTAATTTTTGTCTAAACATAAAAACCTAACTCTGAAGTTACTAAAATAAAATTCAGAAATGTGTAATATATCGTGTTTCTTTTTGTTCTAATAAATATTATACATGATCTGTAACCTGCAAAATGACTCAATCGTCATAGCAGATTTCAATATAGAATATATCTTAAAAACGTGTAAATAAATGCGACAAAATTTAAAATATTATAATGCAATATAACGTGTGTTATATCAATGTAAAAGTGTAATAAAACGTAAAAGACATGCGAAAAGGTGAATCATCGTTAAATCTAACAAAAATTATTAGAATTATTTACATGATGACTGTATTGTTTTCATATTTTTTTTATTAATCTGTTTTATAGGTTAAAACTAATTTTCTAAATTTTAAAAGTTATTTATTATGGCCAAACGAATATATTTCTATTTTAGAACTGTGAAAAAAAAAGAATGATTAAAAAGTTCGATTCGTTGCATAAACAATCTGTGCAACTAATGCAACCCATAGAAGAGAAAGAGGTTCTTTTGTATTTATACATATATAAATTAATTAAAAATTATATATATTTTTCTTTTTATATATACTAGGTTTTAGTGCGAAAAGCTTGTCTCATCAAGTGAAAATGAAAATAAAATTATTCTTTTTCAAGATATCGACAGTTTTGTGCGAAAAACATAAATGGAACATTAACTACAACATTTTCAAAAGAAGCAACTCATGCTTTCGCACCAACCTAAAATTAAGAAAAAATCTGATATGAAAAGAAGTAGATTTAGAAACAATTTATAATTCAAGTATAAGTAATAATCGTTTATAATGAACTAATTAGACTAGGCAGAGATATGTGGAAGCATGTTGTCAAACTTTCATCGCGGTGAAACAACTTTCGGACGAAAATTTCATATGTGTGTTCAACAAGAAGACTACAATCTTGTACCATCCTTCTGAGCTTTTTTCTTTATGTGACAAAGACCTTATTTGCAAGACACCACTTTTCCCTAAATATTATGTTAGCCTGCAATTCAGGATGACGGAATTAGAAGTAAAAAATGCCGAGACTCAGACGAAACTTTCGGGTTTCCGTAAAGTGGAAGGAAAGGTCGAAGTAAAAGAAATCAAGATTAGTACACTACTCATGTTAGAGGCTTCTATCATGTCCAAAAAAGAACTGATAGGTAAGCGCGATAATGCGTAACATAATACATAATACATAATAATATATTACACAGAAAGATATTTAACATAACGTTCTGTAAGCTTTTAATTCGCGATTTTCAAAGCTGAAATTCTTTCAGAGAAAATGAGAATACCCATGCCGATATTAAAGACACACCGTGCGGTTCAAACTGATAGAACGATTGCTCCCGGAGCACCGCGTGAAGCGGTCGAAAATCTCGCGAAACTTTTGTCTTCGAAGAAAGACATCATTCCGGGAAATCCCATAGATAAATACACGATAATGGAAGAAATTCTAAATTATGTTATAGAATGCACACTCTGGGCAACCAATCTTCTCCTCTACGACTACGAGCTCGAGACGGTGGATCAAGAAGTGCAGACCGATGTACGTTACGATAAAACGAAGGACAAAATGGTGATAGACATCGATGTTCAAACCGAGCTGACCTGCGAGCCAAGGCTGTCGACCGGCAAGCTTTTCGTTCAATACGAAGAAGTGAAGAACTTCATACGGAAGAGCATCCTGGAGCAATGTATCGTCCGAGGAATCGAGCCTCGGATCATAATTGACGACTTGCTCAACGAGATAATCGCCAAAGGTGTGGAGCTAACTAAATACCCCGTGAAGGAGCAAATGATCCAAACCGTGGCCAGTTACAAGTCCCACTTGAAATGTGACGAGGACGTGCTGAGGAAGCTAAAGATATCCGTTGTCGTCGATCCTGCCGAAATACCAATCATCGTCGCGCCACTGATAAATGATCTGTTGACTTTGACGCGTGTCCAGGTGTCTTGGAACGCTCAGCGAGTCGTTAAGGATATCCTCTGCACGTTGACTAGACGCGCAGTCACGATCGGGTGCAAACTCGAGGCGATTTTGAGACAGCCGCAACGTAAGTAACTTCTTTTTCAGTTTTCGCAGCTGACTCATTATCGCAACTGAAACAAACCACTCTTATAAGTTACATATAAAACTACTAAGTTACATATAAAACTACTTATCGCTGAAAAATATCCATAAACTCGGAACTCGTTGGCAGGCCTGACCACAGAGCAAATGTTCCTTCAAAGGAGGAAGAAGATCGCCGACTCCATGATGAAGAAACTCACCGAGACCCGAGCTACGCAAACAGGACTCGCCGGGGTACCCGAGATCACAAAACTCAAGCCCAAGAACATTCTGTGCTCGGTTTGCCCTAGGGAATCGATATGCCACTTGTGCCTGACGTCTCAGGAAGAAAGGCCATCACTGCCGAAGGAAGACACAAGGATTCTGCGTACCCAAGATATACTACTGGCGTATAACCCGTGCTATGTCGTCGCCACGGCTTCGGAGGAGAAAAAGAGGCCGTATTTGCAATCCAGCAGCGCGGTGAAAAAGAAGATTGAAAAACCGACCGTCGCGCAATTACCGATCACGCAGTGCGTAATGAAACCAAGATCAGAGATACACTCTGCTCGTGATAATGATGCTATCAACGTCCTCATGACTCCGAAGAAAAGGACTCAAGCCCGAGGTGCATTGACATCAAACGCGAAACACTTATTAATATTAGTTATTTGAAACTTGTCTCTCAAGTGAAATATTCAGATTTGAATTCGCAGCTAGATGTGAGTCCTTTGGTCGAATTGCGATTACAAATAGAAATATCGTGCAATTTAACTGAAAAACTCGAATCTAGCTCTAAATTTAGATTTCGAATTTAGATTTCAAATTCCAGCCAAATCGATGATTCACGCTTCATATAATTCTCTTTAAGAAATCTTTGATTTGTTATCAGCTTTTTATCTAAGTACAAAATAATTATTATCTACCTTTTTAAGTCTTTTAATGGCTTTAATAGTTTTTATCTCTCGCGTACGGTGTAGATTCCATCAGCGAATGGGCTCGTGCCATCGACGACACATTGACCAAATCCTGGTATCTCAAAGGTACTTCTGCCGATTCCCTCACTTGTAAGCTTTTCGTTTCCTTATTCTGTAATATACATACAATACATATAATACATACAATACATATTATACATACAATATGTTCAATCGTCGTATTTTTCTTTAATATAAATGATAATATATTATTTCGATTAATGTTACCACAGATGCCGCTAGCAACGTAACCAACGTCTCCACCACGGGGTTTGTGACATCGTCATCTAAATCGACATCCTGCTGCAAAAAGTCCTCCCAAGAGCCTGAGAGCGTTCTGAACTCGCAAATGACGAAGGCGTTGCAGATATTGAAGAACACGTTTTGCACTCGCGACACTTGTCCCAATGCGTTCCTGAGGACGTCGATGGAGCATCATCCGCCCATTAAGGACACGATGGAGAAGAGCAACTTGTCTAACAACGTGGAAAATTGTGCACCATTGAACCCGGGCCGACATCATCATGGACAACATATTAATAATATTAACGGCCAGATTCGCGCGAAGCCACGATAGAGTCGATAAATTATAGCCGCTTCTACGTGGTTCTTCTCGGAATCCTGAGAACAGACAGAATAGCGAAGGTCAGTCGAGTTAAATCTTGCGTTAAATTTATCGTACGCGTAAACAGTATGAAATGTGCGGATTATAAATATGGAAATGCGCATCGCGAGTGATTGTAAAATTTCTCTCCTTTTTTTTTCATACTAAAATATTATAAACTACATTTTTCTACGCTAGATTGCTAGAATAACATCATATTGACAGAGACTGTTCTTAAGTTTCATTGTGTAACAAGTAGTAACAGTAAATTTGACCATCGGAGTACGCTTATTAATTCTTCTTTATTACGTAATGACGTTGCACAAAATATATGTATCATTAATCGTACATATACATATGTATATAAATTTACTACGATACGCGCAATGTAAAATCTATAAAGCAAATGCTGTCATAACTTAACCACGAAGATATGAGATTTAAAATAAGAGCGAAAATATAAAAAAGAAACTACAGTAATTTTGGTGCGCTGTCGATTTATAAATAACGTATGCACAGTTGCATACACAGCTCGTTAATATAAGTCATGGACTTTCCATGATTAACTAACACATCGTTAATAAGTCTGAGACACGCGCATACGACCACTATCACCAGTGTGTCGTCGCTTCGCAATAGCGACTCGTGTCATTGTTATTATTTCTTTTTTTTTTACAATTAACACGAGTAACAATTATTGCTGAATATCCGTTTCAGACAAATTTTCCATATAAGTTTTAGCACAGTAACGTTACCACTGATAGAACGGCAGATGATGTGCCGGAAATACAATTTGAACATTTATCGATTCTTTTTAGGAACAATACATCGATCGTTTGTCAATTCACTACGGTGAACACGCGTATAACAGTCACTAACGTGCGAGTAATCCTCGTCACGATCTACAAACGTAATATGTTTCATCTTTCCTTATTTACGAGCGTAATATCCTTCTCGCTCGCATCGACCAGATGCGAGCGATTGATATCTGAGAATTACAACTAGCAATCTCTCACAAATGCTAGATAGAGCAAATTGCCCGTTTTCATGAACAGAAAAGGATGAATAGAGAGATTAGGGACGAGTTAATCTTATTATAACAATGAAATTCTATAATTTGAGCGCTCGTAAACGACAGGAAGATTATACAAGGATTCCTCGTTACACGCGATTACGTCCAAATAACTATTACGTAAAAATCGAGCTACTCGAATTGCCCTCTGAGATACTACGACCTGCAGGAGAATCGAGGCCGTTGACCGCGCACCGACACGAGACTTAAGCGTGCATAAATTATTGCGAATATTAATCGCACTTACGAAATCACTCCGCAAGGAAGCCGCATCGGGCGCGATCGCGTATAACGAGAGGTCTCTGTAACGCTTTAACGTACCTAGTGTGAAATATTTATAACATCGGCTAACCTCGGCCGCTTACTGGCCCAGATACATTGCCAGGATTCCACGATCTAAGACGCTTCGACAGTTTCGTCGAGCTTCAACGAGAGAGTGCGACTACACGTACTTTGGCACGAAATCAAAAATGCACTACAGAGTATTCTTCTGTTTTCATACATGGCATCGTTCGAACGCCACGTCTGTAGAACTTTTATTCAGCCATTCGACGACACGACCATGATGTTTCCAAGCGTGATTGCATGAATGATGGTGTAATATCGGTCATATAAATACTTAAGTATTTGAGACGAATATATAAACGCGTGAAAATCATGAGTGTATAATCCACGGTAGCGTTCTACAGTCTTACGCAGTAACAGTAAAAAAAGAACGTGAAAAAATAATTCTGAGTCTAAAATTGTGGATTGGATCAGATAAAAGATCCGTTGTGATACTCTACGTGTATTCGTTGACGGATTAGACCACTGTAACTATTTGAAAGTTCGTTTTTTTTGTTCTTTTTCTTCTTTGCTTTTTCTACAAATACTATATTTCGTGGGTATTGTCCTGCAATTCTAAGTCGATGCTTGAAATATACTATCGACATAGCAAAAACATAACAAAAATAAAATTAATGAATTCCTAAATCTGATCTTATTTCTCAAAACTTTTATGTAATTTTTGTATAATCTATGTATAAATTATAAAATATCAATATATTTTTTTTTGCGTCACAGTAGTCTAATCCCTTAATCGGAGTATAAGTATTCTAAATGTATTCCGTCTATCCTCCTGTTTCTAATTTTTAAACCGAATATTTTTATCTGAGTTGAGTTTTTAATCTGGGGCCTCGCGTCCATGACTAAACAGATAACAATCAGAAGTTGTACAAATATTGGTCGCAATCGTATATAAAATATTATTGTGACGTTCTATATGTCAGCGAGGTCAAGATTTGTAACAACTTCAGACGCGCTCCTACTGATATTAGACTAATTTATACAGACGTGGGCATACACACGCATATGCATCTCTTCTTCATTTCATTTTCTAAATCACTAGAGACGTTCATTTTCTTCAGTTTCTTCGGCGAGCGTGTCTTTCGTCGTCGTCTCGTTTATCCGCCTCTCCTCATCGGAGATGGTGGGCACTTTGATATGAGTCGAATCGTTCCACGATTGGATTTCTGCCGATCCGAACAACCAGAAGAGTACCGTTGCTGATATAAACACCACCGCCGATATCCAAAACATTATACGCCATTCCTCGACGCCATTCTGCGATATGACGAAAGGTAACGTAAGTAAGCAGACGGTAAAATTAGCTGAACTATGAAAATCAATATCAGCTGAGCTATGAAAATAAACACGTGACGTATGAAGGTACGACAGAGATCGATGCCCGCTTAGTGATAGGTCGGAACGTACAAAATCTATGCAATGTTATTACCAGCTTTGAACATTTACAACTTGAAAACTGTTATCTATTTTTTGTATCAGTATCTTTTATTCCAATTACATTGCAGAGTGCACTATTAAAGTATTATGCGTCGTTTTAATATGACTTGTACGTATGATAAATTTTACGAGAAAAAGCAACATACCCTTTCGTTGGTCAGAGCGCCGATAATTGGTGGAATAATAAATCCAGGGAAACTACCAAAGGTGTTCATAATTCCATATAAAGAACCGGCGTAGTTCGGTGCCAAGTCTTGGTGATTTTGTAAGCTGGTCTGACACGCAGCCCCATTGAAGGCCAGTGCCAATATTAACATTATTATTGCAGTTGTGGAATCGCAACCCACATATGTCATCACTACCAGGCAAACCGCTGGTCCCATGTGAGCTGTTAACAGAGGCAAATTTATCGATTAATATTTGTTCGCATGCATCCGTTACATTTCAATTTTTTGCATCAAGATGGATGATTGATTACTTACAGAAAAGCATAAATATTTTTCTGATCAAAGACAGAGACAAAACGGCCTTTCTTCGTACATAATCCCCTGCGGCTGCGAATAACACTCCAGCGCCAAGTCTAGCTATGTAAGGTAACCCAGTTATCGCACCACCCTGTAGAAAAATATTTAAGACATCTTTAGCACAGTTGTTACTCGCAAAATAAAATAACAATTTCATCCAAATATGTATCTTCGTGCAATATGAATCAATCACGAGTACGGTACCGATTTCATGTTGAAGCCGAGGACTTCCAATGTGTACTTGGGTCCGTTAGTAGCGATGAAGTAGATACCCCACATATTGGCGAAGTGGGCCCACAGTAGAGCCAAGAACGGCGCAGACGTAGCGACTGCCTTCACCGGCAGTTGAACCTGTGTGCAATGTAAATAGGCATTAACAACATATGTTATTACCTTCTGCTTCTTAATCACATGATTATTGATATATATTTAATTGGACATATGTGTGCGCATGAATACAAATTGTTAGGAAAATTTCTGGTGATACGTCTAATCATCTTATCTCAATACGAACCTTTTGCTTGGAAACGGTAGTACCAATTTGTTCTTTTATGTACGTTTTCTCCTTCTCTGTGATTCCCGGATGTAGATCCGGTGTATCGTATATCAAGAACAACCATAAAACGTAGAAGACTAACATGAGACCGCTTGTAACGTAGAACGCAGCTTTCCACCCGTAAGCGCTGATCACCGCCCCGCATAAAGCGAATGTCACGACAGTTCCAAATGGACCACCTATAGCAAGTGACAGGACGTATGAATATGCATATTCTCAAGATTTCCTGCTTGAAAAGAAAAGCTCAAAAAGGTTCACACAAACCTTGCATGGTCCACACAAACATGCCCTTCTCACCAGGCGGCACCCATCTAGCGATCATTGCGTGTAGAGCGGGATAAACAGCGCCCTGAAAAACTCCACATCTTTTACTGAACTCTTACTGAAGAACGCTCAATTTAGAAATAAATAACAGTTAATAATTATCTAAAAAATATAATTCCTGCGATTGTACGATAAGATGATAAAGAACGATAAAATAAATCGCAATGAAGAAGACATCAAAATCTACGGAAGTGAATTTAGAATTATGACTGCGTGAAGTCTAAAATAGTGAATACAAAATACAACAGCCTAATAGATAACAGTAAAATGCATTCAAACGAGGCACATGGAGCATTAACGACTTACCCCAAAGAATCCCATTACAAAGCGAAGTGCGAAGACGAAACCATAGTGGACACTGGCAGCCCATGGCATCAGTAAATTCAATACCGCGGGTATTAATGTAGCGAATCTAAGCGACAGAAGATGAAGGATGAGCGCAACAATAACAGATAACCGACCAACGATTATCACTCTCTTATAATCTTCTCTCATTAATCGTATTGGATCACATAATACCAGTGTTTACTGTTAGACTACTTGTTTACTAGATAAAATTATGTAGACAATCATCATCAGATAAAGTTCTCCCACCAACTTATTTTTATTTAGACAATATAAATATATATTATATTCATCTACATCCTAGATTGTGAAAAATGTTATCTTCGCAAAATTACTTAATATAATGCTCGTAGATATAATTCAGTAATAAGTATAATTCAGTCTACATTGTTGCAAGTGTGTAAATATTTATAACTTTTAGAAAATATATATAAAATATTTATAATTTTAATATTTTAAATATTGAAATATTTGTTTTTGCGTCGTAGTGTTTGCATTAGTACTGCGTGCATCAGATGGCACTCGGACTAAAATTGCATTTATCATCTAAGATTCATCCATAATCAGGGCAAAGCGCTAAAAGGAATTTACATGTTTTATCTAATCTTTCTGACTAATTTGAGAGTCAACTAAACACAACATCGATAGTACACTTACGCCACTACTTTGGAGCCTCCGTATTTCTCTGCTAGAAGCCCGGCTGGTACGCTAGCCGGCAGCACACCGTAGAAGTATCCTGATAGCACCAGACCTTGGATATGCTGGTTCCACTCGAATCGTTCGCCAAACTGAAACACACAGGTGAAATTGTATGAACTCTCAGATACTCCGATAGAACTATCCGTGCCAATACAACAATCGCTGACCGTGCAACTTACGTCTTTAAGCTCGACGGACTTGTTGCTTTTCAAATCGGCCACGACGCATGCGGGTCCAGTACTACCGCCTTTGCTGGTGGCGTTCACCATGGCCACGATGGTTATCGATAGATTGGTGCGGATGACATACGAGAACATGCAGGCCAGGAACATCATCGCCCCGAGAATCCCCCTTCGTGGGATTTTCTCTGCAAAACGCATCACGGGAAATCAATTTCTGGGATATTTATGACATTTCAGCAGAAGCAAAGTCATAATATTGTTGATGTGCGATTAATCGCCATAATTATTAACATCATCAAACAGACAATTTCCATTTTCAACGATGATGCAACTTTAACGACGATGTGATTATGTAACTGTTGTTTAAAGTTCTCATCGACAAATATTCCGTGTGCGACATTACACGTCCTTTAAATGATACAACTATTATTATGATTATATAGTTAACGAATACACTTAGATTTCTATTATAATCACGATTTACTGTGCGATCGTAGACTTCAATCTATCGTATCTGAATAAAATAGCATTAGGATGTCATAATGCGAGACACTTCTGTTTGTCCCGTCACGCCGTGTAAAGCGCGGTAGCCGGACTGACCTTTGAATTCAACGCGTAATGCTTAATAATTTTAAATCAAGAGTGAATGGTGTATCTCCCATAGCCAGACGTTCTCGTCTCGTTCCATTATGTACATAATCGAATAATGCAGCTGTTCTTGCGTGCTCGCGCACGATATCGTGTCGCTGCACAGAAAAAAAAAAAAAAAAAAAAAGAAAAACGAACCACTCAGCCAGCAGCGGAAGGATTTCTCGAGCCGTATCAACCGCTTCATTTATCAATTTTTTTTATCGTTTCCAATAAAATCTCGATCTACTCTCTACGATAAGTGCGACTAGCTCGTTATTATCATATAACTCGATTTACCGCTAAACCACAATTATCGTATAAAACTCGACTGGAGAATATTGTTTTTTACATAAAGCGCTGCTCACTTCAATTTTACGATCTGAATCGCCGATATATCACCGGTATTATTAACAATTTCAATAAATTGCGAGCAACATTGTGCCGATGACATATGCTGTATTGACTGAACGTAAAGTTACTCAGTACTGCGTATTCGAAATGTGGCTCCCGTTTGCACCTTCGCAGCCAACCCTGACCATATCTCAAGAAAATCCCGTTCAAGGAGAAGCACCGGAGCGACGTATCGGAGCTCCTGAAGGTCACGGCGCGCGCGGTTACGCGCTTAATCGAGCGATCATACTTCTCTCTCTCTCTCTCTCTCTCTCTGCATTAACGACTGCACGTCGTCTCCTCGCTGATAATTACACAGCGTGATGTAAAAATCGAATCGATAACGCGCGCTCCGCTTCGAGAGATGTTCTCCTTCTCGTAACTTCCCACATCGCATGGTCGTCCCCTTCCGTCCCCGAGTCACAATTGTTACCAGGGACTGAGAACTGACTCGGCTTAACACACATCGCTTCCGCATTCTGCTTCACGAGCTATTACCGACGACGGAACAGCGTTGCGAGCGATCGTACGGTTACAGATTCCTCGGACGAAAGTACGACGAGTGGACATAAACCGCGACCTAATAATCTCCCTGACACGCGAGCGATTCGGCAGTTGACTCGGATTTCCACTCGGATATCGCTGAAACACGTGATACGGTTATTTTCGGCAGCAAGTCAAATGAAAGTGTCTTTAATTAGAAAACCAGGAATATCCGACATCGAGCCAACTCATTCTTGATTCGCGCTTCAAGTATACTTGAGCAAGAATATCCGATGTTGCATAACGTTGTACTATCTCCTTGGCATTGACACCGTCAACATTTTTCCCAACTCAAAGGCTAGCATCTGCAGGAGAAGATATTGCAATTTCGCGACAACGCGGCACGATGAAACAAACACGTCTCTTCGGCCGTTGAATTACGTGCGATTAATCCGACCATAAATCAAATCCGCGTCTCCATCGTCATTTTTCGATAAATTTGTGCCTCGCCTCAAGATTTCGCGCTGCGATTTTACACAAGCTTGCGTAGCGAGCGATTCAATCCAGAACCATCGATCCCTCCCGTGTGTCGATGTTTCTTTTAAGTCACTTCGATTATCATATCTCGGACGATTTCCGTGTTATTGTCTTTCGGCCCCAGCGTTGCATACAAAGGCCAAAGAACGACACATGATCGACACGAATTCATTATCTAAGTACTGAAGTAACGCGGCAGCGTATCACATAAAACGTAACAGAGCATAAAAAAACGATAGATAGAAGCCGTGCCTTAAAATAACAGGACGATAAAAGAATGCAAATGCAGCAATATTGCAGAACATCAAAAAACAAGCAATAGCTCAAGTCATCATTTCTCTAGTTGCTTAATCCTTTATTTCTTTATTCTTCACCGTGTGTAACACTCGTCAGTAGGCGGAAAGTTACATGGTAATATTTTATTACCAGATGATATTTATCTGCCGATTATCCTTTATATAAATATTTTTGCCGCGAATTGGCGATGTTCTATCGCACGTTTGCAAAGTCGGTAATTTTTGAATAATTTTGTACAAAGTCATTCACCTTATTAAGGGGGGGGATTACATGCGGAGCAGGCCGTTTTCAAGACTATTTTTACAAATTCTTTTGTAACAAAAACGGTAGGATTAATGGACTTGAAATTTTCACAGTATATTCATTAATGTTCAAAGTATAAAATAAATTTGTTACTATCTATATGGAAAGTACATATAAAATGGAAAAGTACATATAATATGGAAACACCATTTTCTTGAACTGTCGACACGATTCGAATAACTTGAAATTTTTACACAATATACAGCAGACATGTAGTTTCCGCGCCCCTACTTCGAAAACAGTTATATTTTATTTTATTCATTTTTTAAACATAATTACAAGTTGAAAAAAGTTTCATTTCCGATACTTTTTTTTGTACAGTCATTATTTTTCCAAACTTGACTTCACTGCCTTTATTTTGGTACGAGCTATAATGGCATTTAAAATTATATTTAAAAAATTTTTTTCATCTTTTCGTTTCAGAGTAGTGAGAGGCTTGGAATTATGTCGACAGTAAACATAGAACTTGCAAACGGATGACTGCATTTTTATCTATAATTACAAATTAGATCGGTTCTTGTGATTCAATAAAATTTATTTTATACTTTGAATATTAATGAATATATTGTGAAAATTTCAAATCCATCGATTTTATGGCGTCTGTTAAAAAAATTCATAAAAATAGCCTTGAAAACGGCCTTCCGCATGTAATTCCCCCCTTAAAGACAAATTGCAGATAAAGTGCAGCCTTGAGAATGTGTACAACACGCCCAAAATCTGTCAAGCGTAATCTCCTATCTCTCGGATAAAATCTTGCAAAGTTTCGTTTAGTAAGCGCGTTCACACAGGAAACGAAACTTCCTTTCCCATTCAGCGCATTAAAATCGAAGGGACTGTCATTCGACAATCGATTGTCCGACGTTGAAAAACGAGAAATGATAACTTGTTGTAAAAATATTGCTAATCAGCTTATCGTCCTTTCATCTCATCTGCCGACTTGGCTCGAACTTCAACGAACTTACTTCGGATTTTTCAAGCACTACATCGCGAAGACCGAGATATCGCCGAAACGCGTCGATCGACTTCAATGAATTGTACTCTCGCGAGCTTTCTTTTCTCTTGAAGGTATGGGAAGAGAGCGGAAAAAAGCGCCGACGCATCGAGTGGCCGTGAACGTGTTACATGAGCAACATGCTTATTCTGTAGTCTATTTCTGCGAGGTATGCACGAAATAGCGGCTCGAGTTACAGGTAGTTTGTACGGACGGAGACGCGCGAGCGAGCGCGCGAGTAAAACTCGTTTGGAAAAATGCGATGCGGTGACGCGCAACGCGACCGCGCGACTGTATAATGCGATGCGCAATGTTTGCTAATTTGAATTTCCACATCGGCACACGAGTGACGCGTGGACGAGCGTAGTAGCCTGTCCTTTCCTCGAAGAACTTCTCAGACTGATGCACATTGGTGCGATCGAAGTTAGGGTGAAACAAAGATCCTAAATTCTCTTTCATCACTAAAAATGACTCCAAAAATACATTTGTCTCACACTCCAACTGCAGCAATTCAGGAAGTTCCTCGAAGAAGAATAAATCTTAGCCCATCATCCTGATATATTTTTTTCACGGACGGTTACGTAATTCTCATTGCATTATCTTGATATTTACGTCTCACGTTTATGAGAAAGAACTGTAATATAGCGTGGATTTTGCCGAAACCAAATCGCGTCAACTGTCGACGTATTCGTGGAAGTTACGTCACAAAGCTGCGAGCGCGAAAGAGGCAGTCTATTTTGTATCGACATTTTTAGAGAGGAAAATGAATGATTTCGACACAATCGGCAGAACTCGTGCCTGCCGAGACGCGAAGAATGCCGTACAATGCTCGTTTTAATGACGTTCAATTAGAGTTCTCTACTCCGCTGACCGTGTCATTATTTTTGCTCTACATTTAGATACGCAGTATAATTAGAGGGACTTCGCAATGTGTTTACCGAAGTTCGAAGGATCCTCGCACCTACATCTATATCGGCAGAGACATTGAACACTGTCGACTATCGACGAAACCTAATACGACCATACCATAACAGAAATCGAAACCGGCAAAACTCTCGCTCGCTTCCCGCATATCACAGAGACACCTCAAGTTTACATTGCGATGTTGCGCGCACCCGCGCGCCAAAGTGCGCGTTTCGCACCGTTTCGTTGTCACAGATCGGTTTATCTGTGACAACGAAACTACGATAAGCTGCGGCCAAGATACATTTTCTAGCGCTTAGCATTGAGACAATCTCCTCAGCATGATCATGTAATGCCGCACAGTAGCTTCCGCGAGAAGCCCTGTAGCGTGCCTTCCATGGTTCTATCATACCGGATACAGCCTCCGCGACTAAGAACGAGTCTGAAAACTACAACAGATCTGAATGACGGATGAAGTAACAGAGCGCAGATGGAATCGGGCGAGTCGCGGCAAACGAGACCGCCGTCAATTGACAAGCACTTACCGTTGAATTTCCGGAAGAGAGCCATCCTCACCGCTCGCCGGGAACACTCGTTGCCGCGTTTATATCAGCGTGAGAACGAAGGTCGGACGATTCGGCCGATGTGAAAGGCCGTGGAAGGACCAGGACCACAACTAGCTGCCCTGCTATTTGAACTTCGCCGCTGGCGCGAAACGATACGATGCGATACGACGTGCCACGACGTTGTCACGTCGACGACCTGGAGAGGGGCCCGATTCGCGACTGAGGCTCGTTCGCTCGCCGCTTTTCGGTGTATTCGATCGATTCCGTCGCGACTATTGGCCCCGACGGTGTTGCGTCATTCCGCCAGCTCCTCACAAAGTTCGAAGTCGACGCGCCGTCGTCACGATGGACGTGCCTCCCGCTTTTTCCGACCTTCTCTCCGCGTGCTGTGTGACGCACGTTGACCGCGCGTCGCTTCGGGAACGGTTAGGCGTAGACGTCTTCTACGTGGACACCGCCGAAAAAGCACGCGCCGTCACACTCCTCCACACCAGTGGCTATATTTAGCGGCGGTGTATTAGAATCGCCCGGGTTTCCGTGATGGGTAGCACGCCCGCACGTGCTCCGCCGACTGAAAATCAAAGAAACGCGCATTAGGTCAGGGAAACAGGTCTTCAGCGCTGAAACCCCCCGCCGAGGAAGCGCGTGGATCGCGGACTGCTGGAATTTGTACGTTGCTGAAATGAAGAAACAGTTTCCTTTCGGCCAACCCGATTCGCTGATAAGGAGAACTCGGACTGCGGATCACGATCTCTTCTTCGACGGAACGAGCGCGCCGCGAGTCTGCCAAGGCCCTTCACGACATGAGCGGCCGCGGCTTTTCGATTCTCTTCGTTGTTGTTATCTACCGTGAGAACAAACGACGCACAGACAAGTACTCGTAATTAACAATTAGCGATACGACTTAAAAGTGTAATTGAGATTAAAGGAATATCGCGCTTGGAAAAATCGTTACGTTGCCTAAAGTCCGCTTCAAGCGATTTGTAACTCACGGCTACAAATGGATATTATCGCAAATTGCGTCGCTCCTAAAGTGAAAACGAATTATTCCCCAGATAGCACAAATTTTTGAAAAATATCTCAGAGACGTTCTATTTTTTTCAGTTTACCGCCATTGGTGAACTTGATGCGTGTTATTAAAGTTTTGTCCCTGAGTAACATTCAAAGGGTTTTATTAACCGCTCATTGTTTATTAAAAAAATTATCGAGAAAAGAAATTTGGAAGGAAATTATTGACTTTAACGTTAAAAATCATATTTTGTACACAGAAATGTGCACACATGAGCGGAATGAAAGCGCTAAAATTAGCTATCATGTTTTCCGAACTTCTTTCGTTAACAATATTTTAAGGGGGGAATTACATGCGGAGCAAGCCGTTTTCATGGCTATTTTTACGAATTTTTTTAACCTAAACAGTAGGATTAATAGATTTGAAATTTTCACAATTTATTCATTAATGTTCAAAGTATAAAATAAATTTGTTACTATCTATATGGAAAGTACACATAAAACATTAAACGCGTTTATCTGGGAACACCATTTTCTTAACTGTCGACACGATTACGCAAATCTGAACCGAATAACTTGAAATTTTTACACAATAGACATCTAATTTTCGCGCCCCTTCCTCGAACACAGTTATATTTTACTTTATTCATTTTTTTAAACGCGGTTACAAGTTGAAAAATATTTCATTTTCGATACTTTTTTTTGTACAGTCATTATTTTTCCAAATTTGGCTTCACTGCCTTCATTTTGATACGGGTTGTCATAGTAATCGTATATACCTTAAAAATCTTTCTCAGTTTTCGGTCTCATAGAGTAGTGAGAGACCCGGAATTATGTCGGCAGCAAACATAGAGCTTGCGAACAGATGACTGCATTTTTATCTATAATTACAAATTGGATCGGTTCTTATGATTCAATAAAATTTATTTTATACGTTGGACATTAATGAATACACTTTGAAAATTTCAAGTCCACTAATCTTACCGTTCTGTTAAAAAAATCCGTAAAAATAGCCTTGAAAACAACCGTCCACATGAAATCCCCCTTAATAAACAACGGACGTTGCATAGGATAAAATATCTTTTGAATGTTGCTCACGGACAAGACCTGCTGAATAGACCTGAATTTATTAACATTATACTCATCGGCTTCGATGTGTGTGTGTGTGTGTGTGTGTGTGTGTGTGTGTGTGTGTGTGTGTGTGTGTGTGTGTGTGTGTGTGTGTGTGTGTGTGTGTGTGTGTGTGTGTGTGTGTGTGTGTGTGTGTGTGTGTGTGTGGTATGAACATTTGCCCGGATCATGTATCATCATCCGTAAACAATATCCGACGATACGGATCGCTTCAGGAGCGCGTCTGCAAACAATTGATCAAATTAATCGCGATCTGCCGGCTTCCGACGGCGCACGCTGCGATATTTACGCGCGACTGTTCTCATGTTATTTGATTTTGTCAACAGCAATTATTTCCATTAGGTAAGATACCCTATCAACATCAGATAAATTCCCAGGTGCGTTGCCCGTAACTGCCCGATGTTGCACGTTAACTCTGCACTACTGCATCAATTATCCTGACCGCGCGTGACTTGCATTGAGAGAGGAAAAAAGAGAGGAGAAAAGAAGGAGAGAAAAGAAGAGGGAAAGAGAGAGACCGAGCCGAGTTATACCCAATATTGTACAATTGGCGCGTGGGTGTAATTAACTGCAAGGAACTATCGCATCATCTCGATGCCATAATTTTCTCACGTAACGGCGAATAAAATGATGAGCATCGCACCGAACCCGAAAACGACGGAAGCTGCTTTGCAAGAGTTAACGACAAGTTTGGAATTTTATTCTACGCATACATCAACGTGAACTTTCGCACTACGAGATGCCTTCACGGAAGACGCGGATCTTCCGATGTTCTCTTGATAATTTTCCTATTTTTACATTCGCAAGAGTCAACATACATATCAAGGCCACGTATTGTACGAATTTTTGAATGTTTGTCGAGGCATGACATATCAACGTTCGGTCGGCTCTGAAACATACCCGCGGCTTGTCATTGTCCGAGCGATTCCCTCGCCAATCAAGGCAATCAGAACGATTAAACTCGAGCGACTATCTGAAGCGCGTCCGACGGCGAAACCGCCGACGATAAAAGGACCACGTTTACGGCGAAACAGAAAGTATGACTAACCTCAATTACCGCGACTCCGTTCTTTCTCCCCGTGCTTGTTGCTCGCGAAATTGCGCGCGAAAACGGCTCGCGGCGATCGATAGTCCGGAAAGGGAGCGGGACTTCCGCGAAGCGGGACACGAGCGGGCCTAAAAACAAAGTAACACTGCCACTCACTCGCTACTCCAATATGAAATTTCGGATGTAACTTGGACGTTACAATCGACGAGCAGCAGCACGTCGCTATGTAGTCCCGACGCTCGCAGTTCCGTGAGCGAAATTTCGCTCGAACAAGTGGTAGAATGTCGTTGAAAGTTACGGCGATATTCGAACAAGCGACGACACGATCAAACACCATTAATGGTTGGAACGCTACTGGCGACCAGCGGAGATACGTGCTGCGCGTCACGAAGTTGCTCCCTCTTGCCACGAGGGTGATGCACTTTACGCCGTGGCATCTATGACGTTCAATATACCACCTGCCCAGCGACGAGTATATGAGGCGTCATTGGTTGCGTTCAGAAAACAAAACGCTCACTGAGCGCTTAGTAATTATTGGCCCTTACTGTTAGATCCTTACATTCAGACCAATAACGTTGACGAATTACTCAACCGTTGTGTAACCGTTGTATTTTTTGAAGGCAGCTAATGGTTGCGTTCAGAAAACAAAGCGCTCACTGAGCGCTTAGTAACTATTGGTCCTTACTGTTAGATCTTTACATTCAGACCAATAACGTTGACGAATTATTCAACCGTTGTGTAACCGTTGTGTTTTCTGAACGTAGCCATTGATGCCTCTTATTGCCGGTTTCGCAACGAACATGTCGGTAATTTTCGCATTTTCCCATGTAGCTTTGAGGAAGAATTAGGAAAAAGAGCAATAATCGACGATTCATTCTGTGATCGAGTAAATGAATTAATTTGCTTTTTAACAATTGCTTTCTCTCCCCTCCTCCTCTCTCTCTCTCTCTCTTCCTCTCTTCTTCCTCTCTTCATGCTTTCTACATCTTGGCTGAATTTAAGAATACACATCGATCAGATTCATAAATTTTACAATAGTTTGTAAAGAAGTTTTTTCTAATAAACACAGCTGTTGTTTCATTATCGACATATAAGCAGATGATGAAATAAACGTATAAAATAAACGAATTCGCAAGAAAAACTGCGCATGATGTTTACGAGTATGTAGGACGAGGACGCATTGACTCCGTAAATTTCATTATGCACATAGTTGTATTTCTGCAGATAACTGCGAGTAGTATAAGAGCGACGTAAATAGAACTTATCTATTATTATGTACATAATATTTTGACATCGTGCGTATTTAGACTCACACATGTTACGCGATATATCTTTGTGCCCAACAACATTCAGCAGTAACGAATGAAAGCTAAACAAAAGAAGATATTTGGACAATCTCTTTTGGATATTAGATTATCCGATCATAACACCGTAAATATCATTTGTCGATTTCCAACTTCATCTTAGTTCTTAAACAGTAGGAGGTGCAATATAGCCTAAGGATATTTTCTGTTAAGTATCGCTAAATTACTCTCGCTAATCGAGAACTTGAATGAAAGAAGAGCAACGTATACAATACAGGCCACCGAGAATTAAATTAAGTAAGTATTTAATTGCTAGAGATAAACTTGTAAAAAAAGAAGAAGAGGCATTAATCTATAGTCGTCGGAGTTCCTAGTACTCTTAAGATGCATTGGAAGACTTGACTTCTTAACAACACACTATGAAAAACGACGGTATTCGTAGTAAAATAACAGCCGTGATGATCGCGTCGCACTGTTATATCTTGCGTTATTCATAACAAGCTGCGCCAATCTCGACGGAGAAACTTTGCTCGGGTCGTCCGATATCACGCAAGGCCACATCTAGAATGGGAATCCTTATGGGTTTGTCGGTCTCATATGAAACGACAGTTTTACCCCAGTGATTTTGATGCAGCTGCAAAAAATCAAGGAATTTATAATTTATCGATTATTACTATGAAATTGATGCATTACAAAGTAATAAAATGTATGGTTATTTAGAGAACTATATTTAAAAAATCGAATAAAGAAAATTGATTTACCTTACACTCATCCATTATCATTTCGTATCTGTGACGTTGATTACCTCGCGGTGTCAGCTCGACGTCATTCCAAGCCAGGAGCTTCAAGCCTTTTCTGTGCGTTTTTCGCTCGTAATCGAAGTATGCCACGCTATTTTTACAGTGATACGTGATGTTTTGTTGCGCGTGTTTCGAGAGCAGTTGCAGAAAACTGATCTGATTGCTGTCTGCCTTGTATGTGATCTAAGTGCGACAATGTTAATATAAATTTATGGATTAAACGTTAACATAAATTTATGGATATCTTTTTTATATGAAATTATGAACGGAATTATAAAATTTGAACCTTCATGCCGCTGTCTATCTCGCTGAGCCAAATTTCTTGTTGATCGGTGATGTGAGTGATTTCCGGTGTACGAGCAGGACTTGGTAAAATGCAGGTAGCACGCTTTTTAGCATCGCAATGCACTAAGATCGCATCTCGAATATCCCCTTCATTCGGGTCAATCCAGTATTCGCCTGTTATATATGTATCATATATGAATTTATGCTACTTTAAATATTCTAGCATACTGTGACCGACAAAAAATGTAGTAGTCTTTATTTGTTATTGTTACGTAACGATATTCCAAAACTCACCGGATAATTTATCTGGATATGCAACAAATAAATCTCGACAGGTTTTAGCTGGTGAACTCTTTTGACCATCCGGCTTCACTAGTTTTAAAAAGGAAGACTTCAAATTTTCATATGCTTTCTGAAGTAATTCCTTTCTTTCTTCTTCAGTGATATCTTTGCCAAATATCCTCGGTGGTTCATCGCCAAGAGGATCAGGCCCTTTAGTTTGGCCTTGTCCTGTAATAAAAATTAAAAAATGTTAAGATTAACATTCTTTAATATCTTTAATATCTTGGGACATGCTTACAAATATAATTAAAAATTTAACTCGTATAAATATCTAAATGACACACAAGGAACAATATAAAATAATATTTAAAGTATCTTTTACGCTTCCATGTGTTATGCGAAAATTAATCAGATATTTACAGATATTTATTATGTTCTAAATTAATTAAACTTACCTATAAGTGCTGCTAGAGATGCGGCATCGTATCCAAAACCAAGTTCTCCAGGAGGACCAGGTGGTCCAGGAGGTCCTGGAGGACCTGGTGATCCATGACGTCCTTCTTCACCAGGTGGACCTCTTAGTCCAGGATTTCCTATAAGTCCGATAGGTCCTGGACTACCTTCCCGTCCAGGACTACCTCTAATCCCAGGTTCCCCATCTTTACCGGGAAGTCCTGGCAAACCAGGCATACCTTTCTCTCCTGGTAACCCAGGAGATCCAGGTAATCCTTGTAAACCATTAAATCCACGATGTCCCTTAGCACCTTTCTGTCCCTCTTCTCCATGATCGCCCTTTGCCCCTTCGAGACCTGGTGGTCCAGCTTTTCCTCGTGGTCCCTAAAAAATATTCTTCATTAATTTACTATATTACCTAATTAATGTAATTCTATTTTAGGTTTTAGTATGTAAAAAGGAGCGTAAATTTAATTTTTATATCACCTGTTGACCTTCCACACCTTGCGGACCCGCTTCTCCTTTTGACCCACGTTCTCCAGGAAGTCCCGTATGTCCTGCTTGTCCAGGTGATCCCTGTCGGAATAGTAGCATATAAATTTATAGTTATTGGCATAAATTTCCATGATATTATTTTGTAAAAGTTAAATAGAACGTACAGGTAATCCAGGAGGGCCAGATTGGCCTATTGCGCCAGGTATACCAGGCGGTCCTTTATCTCCAGGTCGACCACTTATTCCCGGCGGTCCTGGTTTTCCAACTGGTCCTTCTGGCCCTGTTTCTCCTATGTGACCAGGAAGACCAGGAGGACCCACTAAGCCCGATGGCCCAGATGGCCCTTCCGATCCCGGCTTTCCTGGTTGTCCAGTTTCACCCTGTGATAACAATATGAGTTACGAATTTAAAAATTAATTAATTGTAAGTGAATAACTGTAAATAATTCTGTAAAATAGATATAACGTTTAAGTATAACGTTTTTGCTTACGGGTGCTCCGCGTAATCCTCTATTTCCTATAGGACCAGGAGAACCGGGTAAACCTGGTAAACCTCTCTCACCGGGTGTACCTTGAGGTCCTTGAAGGCCAGCTGGTCCTGAAGGCCCTGGAGATCCGCTTTCTCCTTTATTTCCATCTATTCCAGGTGGTCCAGGATTACCGATTGGACCTGGAAATCCTTGGCGTCCAACGTCACCTGCATTGCCTTTTATACCTGAAGTACCTGGAACACCGGGTGATCCTACATTCCCAGGTGGACCCTGAAACATTTTTAATCGCAGTTTTTGATATGTTCAGAATAAATAAATAAATTCATATATAATTTTATGCTGTTAGAAAACGAAACAATTATAACTTACTGCTGGACCAACTTGTCCTGTAACACCAGGCGGTCCCATTAAACCAGGTTCACCGCGTGCACCCGGTTCGCCTCTAATTCCTTTAGTACCAGTAAGTCCAGTAAGTCCTTGCGGTCCAACTTCGCCAGGACTGCCTATTAACCAATATCGTTTACAAAAATTATATAAAATAATTCTTCCTACAATTTGAAAGTGACTTTATCCATTTGTTTAATTGTAAAACAGAAAGCAACTTGTTCCTTACCAGGTAGTCCTGAACTTCCTTGTTCTCCTTTTAATCCTGGATAACCACGATCACCCTTCAAACCAGGAAGTCCTATTAATCCTTGTGGGCCTGGGAAACCCTGGGATCCTTGTAGTCCTTGAAGACCTCTTTCTCCTGGATTTCCAGGAGCGCCAGGCTCACCAGTAGGACCAGGTGGACCTGGATCACCTCGTTCCGCTGGTTCTCCAGGAGGACCAGAAGGACCAACTTCTCCTTGCGGACCACGTTCTCCAATGCGTCCTGTAACGAGTAAATAAAAAAAAAACATTAATTTAAATAAATAATCAATGTTAAAATTGCACATATATCATTGGATCAACGTTAATACCTTGCAGTAACTTGATCTTAAATAATTTAATGTAATAGTGTCTCGTATAAGTAATGTAAAATGCGCTACCTGGAGGACCTTCGAGTCCAACTGGCCCAAATGCTCCTCTTTCTCCTTTTTGTCCAGGTTCTCCAGATAATCCTCTTGGACCAGGAAGCCCTAATAACCCAGGTTGACCAGAAATTCCTTGGTCTCCCTTAGATCCTGGTAATCCCTAGGATATATATATATATATATAATTATATATAGATATATAAAATTTATATTCGCGTATATAGAGCATATATCAGATTTAATCCTGATTTCGTCCACATAATTTTCGAAGCGTTCATAACTACAATAAATCAAGTCTAAAATTCTAAATATGAAGCTGTGCCTAAATTAAATATCTTCTCTATTTTGAGAAAATAAAAATTATGTATTATACAAAATTTTCTATAAGCTAAATATTCACTCGATCTATTTTACGATATCACGATTCAGCATATATAGCTTAACAACTTACAGTGAGACCATCAGCGCCTTGTGCTCCGGTTTCTCCCCTTAAACCCATAGGTCCTGGCTGTCCCATTGGTCCCCTTTCTCCCGGAGGTCCTCGTTCACCTCTATTGCCAACTGGCCCCGGTAAACCGGGAGGCCCTTGCACGCCTGCTTCTCCATCCTTACCTGGAATACCTGGATTACCAGCGGCGCCTGGAAGACCCTGAAACAAACGCATGTTTTATTCGCACGTAAATCATCATGTCATTTGTCCTATGTATCGCGAAAATGTAAATACATTTCTACGCTGCGTACTTGAAAACCTCTAGTCCCAGAAGATCCCGGAGAACCTCTCGCACCAGTGTTTCCTGTTGGTCCCGGTGCTCCTTGCATGCCCGGAGGTCCTTCTTTACCAGCGTCACCTCTTGGACCAGGTGGACCCGGATTACCAGCTTCACCATCTTTCCCAGGTTCTCCCTGATAAAAAACAAATTTTATAAATTATTAAAATTAAAATATATAAAATGTAAATCTATAAAATGTAAAGCCATGTACGAATTTATGAAGAATCATTGATAGATTACAGGATATCCTCTCTCTCCTGGTGCTCCTAATGGTCCTGGTAGGCCTTGCAATCCAGGTGAACCTTGTTCTCCGGACTTTCCATCTGCACCTTGGATTCCACGTTCGCCAGGATTGCCTGGTTTGCCAGGGGCTCCAGGTCTACCCATTAAACCGCGTGCGCCCTGAAATGTTTAATCAATACTTATATATGCTGCATACAAAGTACTTTCTACAAAGGATAATAAAATGTTTTTATGAATGACCTGTAGTCCTGGTGGTCCAGGTCGCCCAGGATCTCCGGTAGCACCTTTCGGTCCAATTGATCCTACAGAACCACGATCACCGGGTTGTCCTGTAAGTAATTCATAATCACGATCATTTAATATCAATAATTAATTATAATGCAACACATATATACAAATAAAATTTTACCCAAATTCCGAAATGTATAATAAGCTGTACCTTGAGGTCCGATAGGACCGTCCGGTCCAGGAAGTCCTCGTATTCCAGGTAGACCACGTTCTCCAGGAGGGCCCGCAGCACCAACTGGTCCACGCATTCCTCTCTTTCCTCTTTTCCCTTCGTTCCCTGGTGGTCCCGGCAGTCCACGTGGACCAGGCACTCCTGAATCTCCTTTTACACCAGCATCTCCTTTGAAGCCCCTTTCACCAGGAAGACCCTATGAAAATACCATACGAAGTTATGTACAGTTTAAGGAATAAATCTTACAATTTTTAAATGATATATTGATTATACATACGGGTATTCCTTTGGCTCCAGGAACGCCAGGATTACCTGCTATTCCAGGTTGACCTCGTGTACCTGGAAATCCAGGCACGCCAGCAGGACCTGCCGCTCCAGCCATTCCTTTTTCACCGGGAACTCCGTCTTTACCCTGCGGACCCTGTGAGCCAGTTTCACCAGGTTGTCCCGGACGGCCACTTTCCCCTTATAAAAAAATATGAATTAATAGTCAGAAGTACATTGTTTTTAATAATGTATATACTTTTAATAATGTATATACTTATTTGTAAATGCTTCTATATTTGGTCAAATTTTTATAACTTTTATAATTTAGTAAAGCAAAGTAATTTTTATAATATAGTAAGCAAAAAAATATTTTTTTATTTTATTTGAGCAGCAGAAAAAAATATCTTACCTCGTGGACCTTGTAAACCTTGACTTCCTTTTGGTCCTTGCGCTCCTTGATCTCCCTTAGCTCCAGGACTGCCTGGAAAGCCTGGTGGACCAGATTTACCCACAGCACCCTAAAAGCAATATGTTCAAGCAAAATTGTGCTAAACATATAAAAAGCATTTAATCTTACAGGTATCTTTCATAAATAATTTCTATATCTTGAAATTGCATATTGTTTAAATAGTTTACTCACAGGTTGTCCAGGTGGTCCAGAAATTCCATCAACGCCTCTCATTCCTGGAGGCCCTGATGGGCCTTCTCTACCTCGTTCACCACGCGGTCCTGCTGGACCCTGTGTTGATAATAATAAATATTTGCGTAAAGAAATGTTTTATGTAATCCGTGTTCTTTCAATATTAAAATTTTAAACATTAATAACCGCTTTATAGCTAGAAACAAATTTTTTATGAATCTGCTTTTAATTTTATATTGATGATATTATATATATTTAAATTTTTCACGTACTATTTGCCCTATCGGCCCCATGGGTCCCGGTGCACCCATAGATCCTTTCTCACCAGTAGTTCCTTGCTCCCCTTTGGCTCCATCTAGACCAGGAAAACCGCGATGGCCTTTCATTCCTGTAAGTCCAGGCATCCCTGGGAGACCACGTGGGCCTACAGGACCAGGCGACCCTGGAGGACCGGTCTCACCATCTTCTCCGCTAACACCCTATCGTTGAAGAAAAACATAAAACATCTAAAACCAGAGTTAATTATAAAATTGACCACTTAAAATTATAAAAAAGAACATACATTAATTAAAAAAATTAATAAATCAAGTTTACATAAAGATTTTTTAATATAGTAACTGAATGAAATTGTGAATTTTTTTGTCAAAACGGCTATGCATAATTTTATCTTCTCATTTAAAACTATAAAAACTTTTAATTGCAATTTTACGTCTTTTCCAGGCAATCCTGGAAGACCTCTTGGACCTGACACACCAGGAGGACCTGAAGTCCCTGATTCACCGGGTTCACCACGTGTACCTTGAAAACCTTGAGGACCGGGAGCTCCAGGAGGACCTAAACCGAATATAAAATAAAAATATATTTTGTACAATAAAATTTATTAAAGTCGTTATACAAACCTGGAGGACCTCGAGGACCTATTGGTCCTGTTTGCGCTTGAATATAAGAAAATGCGTCAGGACCATATAATGATGCCGCTGCACCCGTTGGGCCTTTATCCTCATTTGCTTGAGATAAAGCCAATTGTTGATAATACAGAGATACCTGTTATCATCAATATATTTTATATAAATAATATATATATATATATATACATCTCTTAAAATAAAATTTATAATGCAACATGAGTTTTGTCCGTGCATATAATTATCTTGCACAAATAATATAAAAGAATAAAATTTTCTAATTATACAAATAAATAAATTTCTTACATCAGGTACAGGGCCTGGAGGTCCAGGTGGTCCAGGAATTCCAGGAGTGCCGGGGTGTCCAGGAAATCCTGAATCTCCTGGACGACCAATGTCTCCGGGTCGCCCAGGCTCGCCCTAATTCGTAAATTATCCCTTCATAAATGCGAATAAACATTATTCCGAAAAATTATTCATTAAATATTCTTAAACAAGAAATTGTTACCCGTGGACCTGGTACAGCCACGGAACTGTATACGTTACTTTCACCCGGTAAGATTTCCGTAGATACCTAAAACAAAACTTAATAAAATTATAATTCTAAAAAATAACTTTCCCATATCATCAGTTATTTTAAACTCACCGGATCCCGTTCAGATGTACGATTAGTTTCCTCCAAGTCTGTAATGCATATTTTTAATTTCATAATAGTTCCACACTTTTTTTAATGTCAATAATAACTTTGAGTATATAGATTATCTTCGTGTTCTCCAAAACTGAAGATGAAAATTCATTAAATTTATAATTATGTACCATGGTTGTAAAATCGAGTTGTTGTTGAAGTCGGCAAGTCTGTGGGTGTTTCTTGTCTATATGTGGCTTGCGTACTTTCAACTGCCGATTCAGTCCTTCCTGTATTTCACAATTATAATAATTATAATCAATTCTCCATATTGGTTCTATAATTATTTACTGTATTATAATGATGTAGAATTTTCGCAAATCATCCGCTTACCCGAAAGTCGTGTATTTGGTATCACAGGTGATGGCAATGTCGTTATGGTCTCTAAACCGACAATAAAAAATAGCGGAAAATTATTTGATAAAAAAATTGTATTATTATAATAATAAACATAATAATAAATATAATCTACAATAATAATCTACGATGTAATCCGTAATAAATGTCGCTAATAGGCACCCTCAGTATCTACGAGGAAGTAGAAGTCGGAAGTAGAACCGGAAATTCTACCTAATCGCGAGACGGATTAAATCGCATTTGAGTTAATAGGCTAAAATAAACGATATTAATTGCGTTGTTCTGATTAAAACGAGCAATTAATCATTTTATATGGCGTCTTAACGAGATTGATCTCTAACACGAAACTTCCGGTGCTTCGCGACATTAATACCGTATATGCAAGATGTAATTTTTTATTTATCACGGTATGGTATCCGTCAACATCTTCATTCTATAATGTAGCTCTATAATGTAGGTCTATAATGTAAATCAATCATTTTCCTTTTAATATCGTTAAATCAGACATGTATTTTAACCGGAGAGAAAATTAGTTATGCCGTAAATACAACGCGAACATTCAAGAGACGTTTAAACAATCCAAACATCTTTTAATTTTTTCAAATTTTACAACAATATATATACAACTGGGGAATATCAAATACAATGTCGATAGCTAGACGATACAGGATATTCAAAAAAACATTTAAAATCTATCCGGAAGGTCTTCAAAGAACGTCTGAGGGATCAGACGACGTTCTTCAATCGCGTTTCCTAAACACTCTTAATCCCGAATCTTCCGTATTAACTGAATCAAGCTCACCATTTTTCTCCTCGTATTCGTCGTAGTTCTCGTAATAATCATAATCGTAATCGCTGCCAGGTTGCTGAGCTTGCAGAGCCGCAGGCTTGGATCGTTGTTTCCTCAGCCGGTTCTTCGCAGCATCCACCTGACTCGTTGGTGGCAACAGCAGCAGCAGTTGGACCGCGAAGAGCCCCGCGGCCAGCTCTACGACCCGTCGTCTCATCGACGATCTTCTCTGTTACAGCAGGGGTAGAATAGCGGGCTCTGGAGAACGTAAATCCAGAACCTAGTCCCGACTCGCCTCCATCGGAGGCTGAGGGCAACTAGACTCGTGCGAACCAGCGTATCATCTATTTAGCAGATGTTCTGCATGATGTAGGGGAGGTCATCATCCTCTCCGTTTTACGAGGCGCCCGCGGTACTCCCGCCGCCTTATTCCGCAACCATCCCCTCGTCGTCCCTCCCCTGCGACTCCTTTCCTTGGGCTTGTATACTTGTTCATTTCCTTCCTCGTCACAACTGCCGACAAATGATTTTTGTATTCTCCAGTGTGGAGCAGGAAGGGGAGAGCAGTTCCTCGCGAGGTGGTCGCTTAAGTCGCTGACAGGAAATCACGTTATATCCTGAAATTATAAAAGCAATAAGGAGAAGACAGTGAATTTCATAATTTTTCTCGGTTTCGACGTGTCTATCTTTTACGACAGATTAACACCAATGGTTTCTTCAGAGCTGTCGATTGGCGTATGCAGTAATTAACGACAAAAGCCGTTAATCAATTCCTGAAATAATTATTCCTGAAATTGAAATTCCTAAAAAGTTCCTGAAATTGAACGCACCTTAATAAATAATACACAATGAGAATTTTACATGATAATTATGCATTGATGATTATCTAACAATATTAATCTAAAAATAATCTAATAATCATCTGCACATCAATATTTTGTGTTTACTGCCCTCGATCACGGTCTTCGTTAAATAGTGTTGCGATAAATTCATAAAAGCGTATGAGAGCTCATATCAGTATTGTCAGTTTAGGACTATTATTCCGCGTATTGTCAGATGCAGTATGGCGCAGCGGAATGGAGGTCGTCACCTTACACTTAAGGGTTGCATGAGCGATATATCACGCCGCCGACGCTTAATTCCTGATTTTTCAAATCAGACGCACGACTTCAATATTAAGAAAACGTAATCGCGTCACGAAACTACCGAAAAACTGCTTTACTCCAAAAAGAACTGGAATATCTTTTTTGCAAAGATCCAGATACATTAACGTATAAAATTCTAACAAATGATCTTTGAAATATGATTATTACTTGTATATATCTTATGCTTATTACTTATCATTATAAAACTCCTCTACATATACACACACATGCATATACACACACAGAAGAATTTGTGCTAATAATGCATCATTGCTCATGAAGTTGCGTCCTTTTAACAACGACCGACTCAAGTATGTCCGGCTTCGGCCGCATCCTTGTATCGTCGAGCGCGCATCCAATTCATTGAAATGCGAGTTGCAACGACCTACTTTGCGATAGCGATCCGCCTCGTTTTTATCAGTCAGCGCCAGTAGCCGACGGGGCTCGATACCGAAAGACGTGGACGTTTCATCTTAATAAGTTTATTAAACGACAATCATCATTTTGGCCGCATTCCCTGAGCGAGTGTCTTACTTTACAAGGCGTTAGCCGCAATAGACTGCATTGACCTGAACCTCGGTGTTCGTTACCAGTGGCTATAAATCAGAGTCACTACTATGTTTAATACCACGCGCGGGACATGATCGGCACTGTTTCGTTGTAGAACTCGCATCAGTATCCAATTGGGGACTCTGTGTATGCTGATGCAGATCGCTCTTATAATTACTTGAGGAACGAACTTCGCCTCCCCCACATCTCTCTATCGATAATATCTCGATCTATCGATAATATCTCGATCAAAATGAAATAGAGGGTGATGATATACCACGCCAGTGAAACATATATTTCACCACCATGATGGTGCGAAGAGATTTTTGGATTACGATGAGCAAATCATTTCCCCGTCTGATTTTAAGAATGCATACTGCATGCCTTCGATCTTTGCGATCAGCGTTGAGTCATTCCCGTTTTCGATCGTCGTGTTGCAACTGAGATGAATGCGTCAGACTGATGGGAACTACAGATCTGTGTATGACCGTTCCACTAATGCAATCATGACGATGGTGGTAATTGCTCTAAATATTGTAGTGATCCTTTTCACTCGACATCGTCGCCATGTCGCGTCTCAGAGACGTATGCAAATAACATTATGCGTGTATCTAAATATAAAATAAACAAGAATATTTCATGAAGTTTCACGAACAGATAAAAAATGCTTTATTTCGTATCACATCGTATTGCAACTTATCGTAATAACTTAATATTTACCATTTAATTACATTTAACAAAATAACGCCAATAAGTGAGCACAGATATGATAGAAATTAAAAGTAGGTATGGAGAATCGAATCTGATTCTTACGAATATCATATTGCATCTCAAAGACGGAAATCTGTTTTTTAAAACACCTTACCAATTAATATTTAACAATTCATACGATAATTTGAGAAGACGTGGTTTATATGTATCTCCAAACAATTCATTTTTATTGACGATAAATAAATAAATTATAAATAATATTGCCATTGACGATTCTACTGATTGGTATTCAAATCTAATCCTTCTTTTCATCAAATTTATCTTTTCATCAGATTATTTATTTATATTTATAATTCTTCAATGAAATGGCAACTACTTTGCTCTGGGTACATTCTGTATCAGGCTGAAATCAAAAGTAAAACAAAAGTAAGACAATCGTATGGAAAGAAAGTTACGAAATAACGCAAATTACCAACTCACTTCGGTGGTGACTCCTAGGAGAGCGTCGGAACAAAAGTACAATGATTCCTGCATGCTTACTATTATAAATTGCATAACTTTCGCTTCAGATTGTATGAAATGAACGATATTTTTGATATTTACGCTATCTAATGCCGCATCGCCTTCGTCCATAATGAAGAACGGAGCTGGTTTATAACTGTAAACAGAAGATAATTTTGCAATTACTTTTTATGCAGGTAGCCTTCGATTTATTGTTGTATTATCCAAAGAACACATATCGCGATTTCACGATACAAGCCGGAGAAGACGTACCGCTGAAATGCAAATAACAGCGCCAAGCTAGCGAGTGTTTTTTCACCGCCGGATAAATTCTGCAACGGTTGAAAACGCTTAGACGGCACGATGCAACTGTAATTTATACCGCCCTCATACGGCTCTTCGGGATTATCCGATAAGATAAAAACACTAGCCGTTGTATGGTTATTAAACAAACTCTGTACAAAATTAAAAAGATCTTCATGTCGATACGTCGTTTAAAATAAAAGGCATTGTACGAGAAAGTATATGAGATTAAATGTACCGACTTTGTATATTGCATCTATTTCCGTATTTATGTGTTCCAGACATCCCGAAAAGAGATCATATCTCTTCATTTTCACCTTATCGAAATGCTTCTTCGTCGTATCAGCTTCTTCGCGCAATTTCTTCAGTTTCTCATTTATCTCTTGTATTTGTTGCACAATAGAATCCACCTTTTCTTCAGCCTGTAAATTTACATTCACACTATTATAACTACACTATTCACACTGATTGTAACAATCGTGCGTGATTCATAAACATATTGAGTAAAGTACATAAATATTACGTACTTTAAGATCAGGATTTACTATAGCTTCAAGTTCATTTTGTATCTTCGTAAGTGTTTCGTTAAGTTGCTTCGCGGTGTTCCGCAAATTCTTTTCTGTATCATCCCGTAAACTTCTGGGAAACTGTGAAAAATCGATTTTCGAAGACATGTCCCAATCAATCGACGAATCCGTAATTGAACTCGAACTACTACTCTCGATTGGATCCCGACTATAAGTCGGTCTTTCCGACAATATCGGAATAGTAATGCTTTCCATCTACGAGAATACCATAGTTGTGTTTGTGTAAATACAAATTAAGGTAACTAAAAGGTAAGTAAAACCTAACATTTAAATAAATACAACAAATCTTGCAGAATCGAGCAGAGATATTAATCGAGCAGAGTTTTAATATTCGCAAACCTTGCATTCTTTAAGTATGGTATCAAATTTTCCCTTTTGTTGTTCTATTTCCTTTTGTACAAGGATGCGCGCTCTCTCAGCTTGTAGGTACGACTTGGAAATAACATCGATATTCAACTTGCATTGGGCTATCCTATTTTCCAAATCCACTAAATTCTGCTTTATGTTAGTGTAATCCTTCTGCAATCTCGATAACTCTTCTTCCTCTTGTTCAATAGCACTCTTTTTAGAATTCTCCTGCCGATGCGTTTCGCTCAATTTTGCATCAGCTTGTTCCATTATACGTGTCCAATTCAAAATTGTATCTATTCGTAAAATATAACACGTGCGAAATTCATATAAGAAATATCTTGGCAGTTTGAATACTGATATATTAATCAAGGATCGATTTGTAATCGTTCGTACCTTCCACATTGCGGTCTTTTTCAAAACGTAATTGATTCCGGATAAGATCGTGTTGTTTCGTAAGCTCTATTTGCTTATTTTTCTGCTGTTGGTATGACCTAAAGATTTACCTCATAAAATATATAATTTATATATATATCAAAAATTTATCAACAAAATTTAGAAATAATTTATACCACAGATGGTTCCCATAATAGCTGATATCCGGCACGTTGATATCTTTACAAAAGTCAGCGAAGATTGAATTTTCGACCACAGAGATATGTCTTTTCACGTTTTCAATTTCTTTATCTCTTGCTCGCATATTATGTTCAATACTTGATATTGTCTCCTAGAAATTGTACAAAGAATATGCATAAGATGTCTTTTTATTTTATCTCATTCATGAATTAATAAAATCTATATGTATAATGTACACATAATGTATGTAAGCATATCACAATTTAACAAAATTTCGTACATTTAATAAAGATAACTCCACATCGTATTTGGTCGATTGTTCGTGTATCTTAATGATTTTATCGTCCTGTAAAGATACACGATTATAGAACAAGAAGAAGCTACATATTTCATAAACTGTTAGGTACCTACAGTATCCTTCAAATCCTTTTCAATAAATTTATTTTTTAAATCGAGTCCTTTGAACTGTACATTGACTATATTAAGTTCAGACTGCAGCAAAGAAACATTGGACAAATCTTTGAGCTCTTCTTTTAATTGCTCCTGGAATTGTATATATAATGTAAAATATATAAAAAAAATACTGCATATCGCTTTAAATGTAAAAGAAAATTTGTAACCCTCCGCTCCTCTAACGTGATTATATCTTGTTCTTTCCATTGTTTAGCTTTGTGTTTCAAATCAGCTTGTCCCCCTGACATTGTACCATCTCTACGATAAAAACATCCATCCAACGAGACGCACTAAAATACGGTAAACACATGATATAATAATGCGTCAAGATAATGTCTCAAGGATTATTATTATTTTTGTTGTTGTTAACTCTATTGTTGTCATTATTATCATTACATCGTAAGTTTTCCCATCAATTTCGTATGCGACTCTTCTTGCATCTTCAGGAGTCTCGCATACCAGAGTGTTTTTAATAACGAACAAAACCGCATCACGTACTTGCGTGGATGGAATATTCAAAACATCATACAACAATTTGACGTTCGGCTCTCCTATATCACTGTAAAATGACATTAAAAACATTATATTAGATATCACCCTTTACGAAAAGAATGCTTTTCTGCCTTATTGCATTAATTTACCGTAATCTCTCTTTCAAAACTGTTGTTTTCAACGAGTTAAGAGGTAAAAATGTTTCAACCCCTATTCGTTGCCTTTTTAAATATTCTATGCACTGCATTGCTGTGTTCACAGTGTCGACGACGATGGCATCCATATTCTTACCAAAGACTTTAATTATCGCGATTTTGTAACACGAATGAACAGGTGTGCATAAATTAGATAAACGGTCATTCTGAAGAATAGGATATATACACACAACAATTTTTTATAAAGCAAATGATTATATATACAAAATTATTTTATTACTATGTGAAGAGATATATGTAATAACTAATATAGAAGTGAAGTATAATTACCACGCCAGGAAAGATTTTTTTTAACATTTTGATCATGTTAGCTTTTTCCTTCTGTCGTAAAATAGTGTACTTATCAATATCGGCTTCGTCAAGTTCTTCTAAGATTTTCGCAATGTCGTTCCTTAAAAGTAACGTTTTATTGTTCGTTTCGGTAATCTTATCATTAAGTTCCTGCTTTTTTGTTATATTTTCCGTCAACGCTGCTCTCGATTCAACTATTAAACTTTGCAGTTTTTTAAGACGAATCTTTAAATCCTCCTTCATTAACGTTATCTGTTTCACTTTATCTACTAATTCCTGTTTCCGTCTATTTTTATCATCAAGACGATCGCGATCCGCTTGTTGATCGTGGTTCAAATTATTTATCTGCTCCACGAAATTCTTTGCTCGATATTCAACCAGGTTTTTCAGTTCATAATATCGTTTAATCTTAGGAAAATTTATTTTTAATGTTAGAAGTCTTTTAAAAAGCATAATCTTTTAAAAAGATGAAGAAAATTATCTTATATATGGTTATAATTTAGATATATCAGCATAGTACCTGGGAGTCATTGAGCTCTGTAGTACTCTGCTCTGAAATTTTCTTAAACTCTGCTAGCTTGTTGACTATTTGTTTTAACTCGTTATTTAATTCTTGAATAGCTTTCTTGTTGGTGTCATGTGCCAATTTTGCATTTTCTACAGATGTGCAGGCACAATTACGTTTTTTCTGCCAATACAAGATATTTTCCTTAAAAACGATATAGTCTGCTTTCTTTTCTTGAATAATGTTCTTCAACTTCGAGATATTTTGTTCAACATTTTCGAGAGAATCGATAAATGCCTTAAATTGGAATTGCTTTCGCTCCAATAAAAGTATCGCGTTCCTTTTGTCACGTAAATATTCTTCTTTGCAGGATTTAAAATCTCTATTTTCATTTTGTAAAGTCTCAACTGTTTTTTTAATGAGTAACAGACGAGTTAACTGATATTGTAATTTCTGCTGTTTCTGTAATTATTGGAAAATTATATATGAGAGTGAACATGTATTTGAAATTATGTATTTGAATTTATGTAGATTAAAACATAGTTGCAGATTGACAACATAGTTAAACTTGACATACATATTGCTTTTGCAGTTTTAAATAATTTTCTGATTTTTCTTTCTCCATTATTGTGCATTTTTTACTCATTAATAACTGTCTCTTCATGTGTTGTGCAAACTGAACTTCATTTTCCACTTTTACGAGTTCCATCTTTAATCTGCCATAACATACACTTAGTATAAATTTACACTAAACAGTTAAAAATGCTAAAATTTATAAAATTCAATAACAAGAAATATACCTTTTGTAATCTGCTTTATATGTATACGAACCACTAATTTGTTCAAACATTATATTGAGTTCTTTCGGTGTCTTCATTGCAATACACTCTACGTAGCCTTGAGATATTAAGAAGTTCTTCAATTTGATGTCCAAACCATATTTTCGTAGTACATCCAAATAAAAGTCACTTGTGACGACCTGTGTAATACAATGTATAATATATTTAGTAATACTAAAATAATAAAATTAATTTACTATGTAAACATAAATTCTACCTTATTATTTATTTTATACTGGCTGCCTTCTCCTTTGATTATTCTTGTGAAGCTCTGTTCTCCATCAGGTGCCAGAAAAGTTATTGTTACATAAGTGCTACAACATAAATATCAAACAATTACAAATAAATTAATCAGAAAATAAAGAAAAAATATTTCTAATACCTATCTGTTGTTGGTTTGTTGATGGAAGCTCCATAAACAAGTTCGCTAAAGAGTTTAACACGTAAAGCACTTAACACTTCTCCTAATACAAAACATATGGCATCAACAAGATTCGATTTTCCTAAAATATATTAATAAAACACCTTAAAAATGGAAAAAGATTAAAGAATATAAAGTAAAAAAAAAAAGGAAAAAGAGAGAGAAAGAAAGAAAAAGAAAGAAAGAGAGAGAGAGAGAGAGAGAGAGAGAGAGAGAGAGAGAGAGAGAGAGAGAGAAATACAAAAAAGGAATTAAATTCGTTTAATCAATTTTTCGAAAAAAATTTGAATAAGGCGATTAAATTTAATTCGACCTGTAATTTTATACATGTAAAAACAGTTTCGATTTCTATAAAAAAAATTTAACATTTTAGAGACCAATTGTTAGGACATCTCACCGGATCCATTGGGCCCAACGACTGTCATGAATGGATGGAAGGGGCCCATTATTATTTCTCCCCTATATGATTTAAAGTTACGAAGTATGATACTTTTTAAAGTGATCGTCATTTTGGGATTAGAACTACAATGAAATGCAAAGAGCACAGTAAACGGCCATTACATAGTGCTAATTCAAATTCAAAATATCATTGGTACCAATAAACTTTTTAACATGGGTACCAACCAGTCAATTTTAAATTGTACTGAAAACAGAGCAGATTCTGTTGGGCGCATCGAGAGTGAAGAAAATAAATGGCTAGATTTCTGTTTTCTTGTATATATTACTTGAGAAACAAATTAGTCTGTACGTGATAAATTTTCCGTATCCACATCGTATGTCGAACGGAGGAACTTTCGCTGTATCGACAATGGATCTGTTCTTTTTCGAAGAACTTTTGAACTAGTGCACACTAGTGTAACAAATTGGAATGAGAGAAAATATATTCGTTTCACTTCAACTTATTGCACTACTTCAAAAGTCTTTTGAAAAAAAAGAAAACAGATCTATTTAGGGCTAGAAATTATAGCACGTTAGAAAAACAGAAAACGCATAACTCATTAGAAGTGCTTTTTGTTTAATAAGTTGGCTTCACTTTACGCAGTTCAATGATAACAATCTATAAAATTTAAAAAGTGGCGAATCAATTACCGCGCAATTATTCAAATGAAGAATAAGTGGGTATACTCTAAATGTTACATATTAAAATAATATACAATAAATTATCGCATATATTACACAAAATAACAGTGTACCATGAATTAATAAATCACTCAATTACTGTGATATACTCATTATTATTTACTACTATTATTATTATATTATATAACAGATACTGGTCACCAGGAAGACTCATTCCATTGAAATAAAATGTATACTTTAAAACTTAGATCAAGTTTTTATTAAAGCAAATTTAAGAATTATTTACACATTACACACAGTATCATCTGTTCATTTCATATTCAAATATTCTCACTCTCTTATTATGATTTGTATTTTATATTCTTATCCTGATATATTTTCACTTAGTTTATAAAGTATAACAAAATGTATCAGATTTCAAAAAAAGAAAATAAAAGTAAAAAACGTGCATAAAGTAAAATCAGAATTGAGATATGAGAATTGAGGTATAATATTTATATATGTATATATATATATATATATTAATATTTCAATTAGTATATAATGCACACTCTCTTTTACCTTTCCTCCAAGAGATAATTAAAAATTCATCTTTGCGTTAATGTAAAAATAGAGAAATCATAATTCACTGTAAATAAAACCGTTTCAATTAATATGTGTAGGATGTGTAGTTAAGTCGAGTGTTAACACTTTGCTTTCCAAACATTCGCCTACCTGAAATTCACGTAAGACATAAAGCACGGTCCAGAACTCGAGATACAATAATACGATTCAAGATGGAATAGTTCACTTACGTCCGGGCAAATTCCGATAAGCGCATCAGCGTGCGAGTAAAATTCCTCTTTCAACGATATCACAATCGTTTGCAACGAACTCGTCTTATCACGGATGTAGCTCGCGACTTTTCCTATATTTGTGTTATCAAGAGCCGCGTCAATCTCGTCCAGGACGAAAAACGGTGCAGGCTGAAAGCTGGAGAATATGAAAGCAGCGAGTTAATCATTTATTACATTCTAATTGCATCCAGCTATATATGTTTATATCTAGTCTCGTCAAATTTTTCTGTGATATTTAAAAAATATTAAATATCTTCTAGTTTACTTAATGAATAGTATATCTCGATTATTTTAGTTAACGAAAGAACAAAAGATATCGTATGTTATATTTGCTTGCGGATGAGCCGGACGACATTATGATGCGCTCGATTATACGATATATATTAACCTGTGAATCGCAAATAACAAGGCTAACGCGGCCACAGTCTTTTCTCCACCTGACAAGTTGGACATAGGCTGAAATCGTTTGCCTGGAGCTACGCAGTTGTAATTGATACCGTCCAAGTACGGTTCTTCTGGATTTTCCGGTCCAAGGAATGCCTGAGCAGATTGATTTTTCGCTAGACTCTGAAACAGTCACATGCATATAAAAATAGCGTCTAAGCGTGTAAGATGTAAGATCAAATTTTATAATGCAAGTATTTGTTTGCGAATTCATGTTCTTATATAAATGTGTTAATCTACGAACTTTATAAATAGGGTCGATCTCGTTCGCCACGTGCTCGAAACACGCCATGAATCTATCGTGTCGTTCTTTCTTCACTTTCTCGAATTGCGTCTTCGCTTTCTTCGCCTTCTTGCGCGACTGCTCGAATTCCTCGTTGGTTTCTTGCAACTTCTCTTTCGCCAAATATAATTTTTGAATTGCCTAAAGAAATATCTATGTTTTCAACTTGTCTTTAGAATTTAGAGCATGTTATGCATTTGTAACATATAATAAGCTGCAAACCTTCATGTTCGGAGCTTGAATACGCTGTATCGTATGTTGCAAGTCGTTAATTATTTTCGTTAGCTTGTCGGTTGTCTTCTTGATATCTTCTTCTTCTACGTCCTTCAAGTTGTCGGGTAGAAACGCGTAGTCTATGGTAATCCTTTTCTCGCGTTCATATTGTTGCTGCGTACTCATAGAAGACGTATCACTTGTCTCATTGTTATTTGCTGCGCTCATCTCACTCGCTATATCTTCCATATTCCCATTCAACATGGGAATCGCAATGTCTTCCATCTAAGTGTTTAATACACATTTAGTAATGAAGCATAACAACTGTAAGGCACATACAAAAGCGGACAAACCTTGCACTGCATCAAGATCGCATGTCGCTCGGCCTTCTTCTGTTCAATCTTCGTTTCAATCGTGTTAAGTTGCTTCTGAGCCGCCTGGATATCCTTCGCGATAGCGCCTACTTCGCGCCTAGCTTTACCGATCTCATCTTCCTTTTGATCGACCTCCATTTTCTTAGCGTTACGTGCCGACTTCAACTGCTCCATTTGCGTCTCATCGTGGTCAATCTCCGCTTTCTGATTAGACTCGGTTTGCTTCGCAGACTCGAGCTTATCCTCTGCATCTTGAACCGCTCGTTCCCATCGCAAAACATTACCTGCATCATACAGACATATGCAACATGAAGAACATCGTCGTAAACCATAGAAATATATCGTGCGATGTATAACATAAAATTCATATTCATGCTAACTGAAAGCTTTAACGTTATTTAAATTTATATGAGATGTATGAGATATGTATTTGATCAACATACTTTCTGTGTCGCGTTGCTTCTCAAAATCTAGCTGATTGTAAATGCGGTTACACTGGTTGTCGAACTCCATTCTCTTCTTTGCTCTTTCTTGTTGCGATCTAAAATGACAATAAGTATATTCAAACAGAATATGCTACGCCGAAACAATGTAACAATTACTTAAAATCTCAACTCCATTTCGGTACCTTAACTCCCTTTCTTCGTATTGACGAATATTGGAGACACCTATCTGTTCGCAAAAACTAGCAAACACATCGTCCTCAACATTGTTCATCTTTTCTTTAATGTTCTGTATTTCTTGATCCCTCTCAGCCATAGTCTTCTCGATGGCAGCTATTGCAGGCTACAAATAAAAATATATTAATTTTTTTCATGCAACGTAAACAAATTCATATGCACGTAGATGTACAAAATATTTCAAAACTTACGCCAAACATATTTAATTCGTTTTGCAGGCAATCTAGTTCCCCTTCAAAGTCCGCAATTTGCTTTTGCTGCGAAAAGAATGGCATCACTATAACATGTGGTTCAGATATAATTATAATTACAAACGTGTAATACTTACTGTCGCAGACAAATCGCTTTTATTGTACTTCAAACGAGTCTCTAAACCACGTATTTGGGACTCAACTGTATTCAATTCGGATTCTTTGCGCGACTTTTTCAGAGACTCTCTCAATTCTTCCGTTAATTTTTCCTGTAAGACAAAATTCGAAACATAGACCTTTTTGTATCTGCTTCACATATATCGAAATAAACATGTATTACCTTCTGCGCCTTTAATTGCGACATTTGTTTCTCATCCCATCTCTTCGCCTTCTTTGCGAGATCTAAACTACCGCCAGATATTATACCAGCTTTTTGATAGAATGTACCATCCAACGCGACGCACTGTAAAGGCATTGAACACATCATACGTTTCTGCATGATTAGTCTCTCCTGCAATCGCAGATGGTACATGTACTTACATCGTATCTAGCCTTTTTGTCCATCTCGTATGCAACTTTATTTGCATCCTCCGGTGTCTCGCATACAAGAGCATTATTGGTAGCAAACAACACCGCTCTGTCGATGTCTTTCGGAGAGAAACGCAATACATCGTACAACAATTTCACATTCTTAGGTTCTTGTATATTGCTAAAAAAAAAAACAGCACATTAAAACGTCATTACAAAATGCATAAAATAATAAGACAATGTAAAAGTATTAGCAAAGATGCAAAGGGCATCTTATTTGCTCACCGAAGACGTTCTTTTAATGGCTTCGCTTGTATATAATCGAGCGGTAGAAACGTTTCCGGCTCGAGATATTGCTCTTTCAGGTACTGAATGCATTGTCTGGCTGTCTTCTCGGTATCCACCACGATCGCCTCCATATATTTGCCGAGTACTTTCGTGATCGCAACATTATATCTCTTGTGTATCGGCTCGCACATGTTGTACATACGATCGTACTGGAAAAGCACGAACCGTTAACTCGGTTTTTTTCGCTTAACTCCAAAGAAACATACGAAAAGAAGCGAGACAACGTACCACACCAGGGAATAAGCGTTTAAAATTCTCCACAATCTCCGTCTTCTTCTTCGTCCTGGACACTTCGTGCTTGTCAACCTTGGCGTCACCCAGTTGCTCCGAGATGCTCTCCAGTTCCCGCTGCAAATTCTGAACTTTATCTTTCGATGTGCCCACGTCAGACTGTAGATCAGCCCTAAGTTTCTTCTGGTCCTCAAGTGCCGCTTCAGACGTTTTTATGTGCTCTTCCAGCTTCTCCACTCGCTTGAGCGCCTCGTCCCGCATGTGTCCCTTCTGTTTGTGCTTGTTCTCTATCTCGGTCTTTTTCCTGCCCTCATTGTCGAGTCGATCTTGATCCGATTTCTGCTCACGATTGATCGAGTCAAGCATTTGAAGATATCTGGCGGACTGCTTGCCGGCTTCCTCTTTCAAACGGTTGTACTCCCGCACCTGAAATTATTTCATGAAATAAGATACGTTTAGTCAATTATAACAAAATTAATATTATATAAATTATACCTTACGATTAATGAAACGCACAAATCGCGTTTATATTTATGTACCTGTTCATCCTCCAATTGTACATCTCTTCCTTGCAACTGCGACTGCCCCGCTATACTCGCTTCATAAGTTGCTTTAGCTTCTTCCACCTGTCGCAATTCCTCCTGGAGTTCGTGTATGTCTTTTTTGTGAGCCTCGTCCGCGATACGCGCCTGAGCCAAGGATTTGCGCGCTGATTCTACCTTTTTTTGCATATGTGCAACACGTTCTTTGGCCTTGATGAACGTTGGTCTCTTCTTCGTAATCTCTACTTCCACTTCCCTAATATCCTGCTCTATCTTGGCAAGATCTCTGCTCAGTTTACCAGCATCCTTCTTCTTTTCTTTCAACAGTTCTTCAGCTTTTTCCTTCTTCTTCTCAATTTTCTCAATTTCATTCTGCTTCTTAATTTGAGAAAACTCAAAATTTTCGATATTTTTCTCATTGTGAAACAATCGAAATAGTTGCAACTCGACTTGCTTCTCCACCTGTAAACAGCAATTAAATTTTTGAGCAATAATTATGTAAATGCACAATCAGTAAAATTCAGAGTATATAAAAATAATTTCATATTAAACATATATAATATTCAATGCTATAGCAGAATAAATCAACATACATATTCTTCTTTGAGACGTTGATATTTCTCAGCCTCTTCTTTTTCCAATTTTGCTTCTTTTCGTTCGGCAGCAATTCCCTTTTTCTTTTGATATGAAAACTGAGTTTCTTCTTCAGCTTTCAACATTTCTGTTCTCAACCTAAAATGCCATTTGTATCATTTACAAATATGTCAATGAATATGATTCTAAACCAAGACCACATGAGTAATTACCTTTCATATTCTGCTTTTAATGCACCAGAATTACTAATTTCTTCAAAAAGAGCGGTACGTTCTTTAGGATTCTTCATAGCTATGGACTCCACTGCCCCTTGAAATACTAAGAAGTTCTTTGCTTTAACGTTTATACCAAGCTGCTCCAACTCATTAAGATATACTTGACTGGTGACAACCTATAATGACGAAAAAACATTTTTACACATTCAGTTGTATATATACTTAAAGTTATAAGGTTCTCACCATATTATTTATCCTGTGCTCTGAAGAAGAACCTTGTACTGAACGCATAAAGCTTTTCTCAGTTCCATCTTCTAACTCAAATACTGCTGTTACTGAAGCACTATATTTGATAAAAGATATATATAAATTATCATAATTTTATATACATATATTTTTGTTAACACTATACAACATGTAAGAATATATACGAATTATACCTTCGTGCCACTGGCATCCCAATGGATGCACCATGAATAAGTTCGCTAAACCTCTTTACTCTCAAGCTACTAGTCTTCTCGCCCATAACAAAACTGATAGCATCCATAAAGTTAGATTTTCCTGCAGCATAAAATGAAAACTATCATCATGATTGCGCAAAATATATCAAACTAACAAGTTCCAATATAAAATATCATTGCTAATAATATTTGAAAACATAAGCATAAATATAGATATATATAAAAAGTTATTAAGGATTTCTTTTACCTACTTCAACTCTGACAACAAAATCATAACTATATCTTTTGTACATTTCTTTTTAATAATAATGTTTAAAACATTTGTACATATCCGTGCTAAAGATCTGAATTATAGAAATGAAATGTTTGTTTTTATTACAAGTTATCTTGCATACACCGTATCTTTTTAATTATATCATGTATTCATATTTACGCTTTAGACACTGCTAATAGTCCTTTCACTCTTTAATTGTATATTTAAGAACCCTTAATGTTTCTTATTATTGTTGATACACAGAATAACCTACCAGATCCATTAGGCCCGACTACTGCCGTAAAACATTTCAATGGGCCAATAACAAGTTTGCCTTTGTAAGACTTAAAGTTATCGACTTCGATATGCTTTAAAAACGCTGGCATTTTCGCAAATAGTTAAATAAATAATATTAAATCAGAAAGGAGCGTAATTGGCGCCACAAAATCTCTAAACAAGCAAACATCGCCATTCAACTGTCGTCCTTTGAGCAATGCCAACAAAAAGGGGAAGTAAAAGTCACGTTAGAAATTTGAAACCGATATAGTACTGCCCTCTTAAGAGATTATTCGGAATTATTCAAGCGCTATTATTGTTGAACAGTAAAGAGGATTTGCTCTCTCATTCTGCTAAAAGTCGTAAGATGTCACATCACATCTGAAAGGTTAAGGTAGTTTTCCTCTAGTAGCTATTTTATAAATATTTGCATATTTTATTTTATATATATTTTATAACCTTAAGTCTGTACTTTTTCTAAAGATTTGTTTCAATCAGAAACAATGAGAAAAATATCGAAAATTTTGAGTTTCGAAACTAAATGTGTAATCAATTGGAGTGAAACAGATATCTTCTCTCATTTCAAAACTTATTACACTAGTGTGCATTAGTTCAAAAGTTCAACAAAGAACAGAAATTATTTTACACATACCAGAGAGAAACATAAGAGCGGCCACCGGGCCGGTTATGTCGGAACGCTTTTTCCGATACGCCTCCTGAGAAAATATGTACCAGAGAGGAACGTGAGAGCGGCCAACACGGTGTTTTCGACGACACCGATTTTTCGCACTGGGAAAGGCCGCCATCTGCATCCATTTTGAGAAGGGAACTACGAGGCTACATCCACATTCAGGTTACGGCGGTAAAACCTGTATGTGGTGGCAGTCCGTGCTACATCCATTTTTAGGCGGTTTATGTCCGTGCTACAACCATAATAGCATATTTGACAAGCACGGTCTCGCACATTGTTACGCGTTTATAACATGAATTAACATGTTAACATGTGCAAAAAAAAAAAGAATTGACATTGTGTATGATTAATATCATGAAGATCATACGAAGTGTCCGGTAATTAGCTGCCAACCCGAAGTGTGAAGGTAGATTGGGTTGAGACAAACATAAAAGTCCCATACCATTTTGCGAGATTCGCAATAATTATCGAGTTATTAATGACAGAAATCTGAGGAGTAAAAGCTCGCCGACATAGATGATTCGAAAAGCGTTGCAGTTGTTCAGGGCAGCGATCATGAATCTTTTCCCTAGCGTGAACTAATAAAAAGTGAAAGACTTCTGTGAATCAGTGAAAAATGAAAAATTTTATATGAATTTGTGAAAATCGAAACATTTCACACGACAATTGAATCGTTCAACATGGCAGTTGCGCGTCTGGATAATTCAATGAATACCAAAGAATTGATCAAATTGATCAAAATAATAATGTCTGTGTAGTCCGAAGGATATTACGTGACACGCAAAATCCGTCTGATATAATATCCAAAGAAAATGTTTCAAAATATGTATGTACAAGTAATATAAACCTTATGCACCGACGAGATATACTACAAAGACTGATGACCTTACGGGATTTAGCGTACCAGAGAAATTTCCCTGGTGAGGCACTCGGGTGAAAGAGACCGTCTCGCATTTAGCGCAGTAAAATTTAATGGAAACTAATACTTTTCAATCCTTTTCTTCGGATCAAAAAGATTCAGAAATCAGACATATTCAAAATGTCAATACTTTTTAATACGTTTCAATTCGACATCTTATACAGAAAAGTAGGACGAAGGGAATGGAATGCGGGCAACGATACATCATGCGTCCCCAAATGTGTCAAATCGTTTATTATAGAGGAGACTTTGATACGGCAACATGTATTCGAATATTTAATCATCTCATGGACCACTTATATATAATAAAAAAAAATTAACGCGGATAAATGAACGATTCGTATCAATTTTTCCTTTTCTTATAGAGCAATGAAAGAGTAAATCAGTATCGAAAATCGAATACCGATTAATACCATAAATCAGTGTCAGAAAATTGTCCAAGTGCAATGACAATTTGTTCTCATTTTTCAGGTACTTACCCCTCTAATCTCATTCAACAAATTAACTCGGATAAACGAACGATTCGTATAAATTTTTTTTGTCTTGTAAAACAATAAGAAAATAAATCAGTACCGAAAATCAAAGACCGTTCAATATTTAATTTTTTCATCAAATTAACGCGGATAAATGAACAATTTATATCAGTCTTTTTTTCTTTTATAGAGAAATCAAAGACTAAATCAGTATCGAAAACCGGATATTGATTAATATTATAAATCAGCGTTAGAAAATTGTCTAAGTGCAATGATAAGTTGTTTTCATCTTACAGGTACTTACCCCATTAATTTACTCAACAAATTAAGTCGGATAAAAGAACGATTCGTATTCAATTTTTATTCTGTTATAAAGAAATTAAAGAATCAGTCAGTACCGAAAATTGAAGACCGATCAATATTGAATTTATTCATCAAATTAACGCGGATAAATGAACGTTTCGTATGAATTTTTTTTTCTTATTGAGAAGTGAAAGAGTAAATCAGTACAAAAATCGAATGTCGATTAATACCATAAATCAGTGTCAAAAAATTGTCCAAGTGCAATGACAATTTGTTCTCATTTTTCAGGTACTTACCCCTCTAATCTCATTCAATAAATTAACTCGGATAAACGAACGATTCGTATAAATTTTTTTTGTCTTGTAAAACAATAAGAAAATAAATCAGTACCGAAAATCAAAGACCGTTCAATATCTAATTTTTTCATCAAATTAACGCGGATAAATGAACAATTTGTATCAGTCTTTTTTTCTTTTATAGAGAAATCAAAAACTAAATCAGTATCGAAAACCGGATATTGATTAATACTATAAATCAGCGTTAGAAAATTGTCTAAGTGCAATGACAAGTTGTTTTCATCTTGCAGGTACTTACCCCACTAATTTACTCAACAAATTAAGTCGGATAAAAGAACGATTCGTATTCAATTTTTATTCTGTTATAAAGAAATTAAAGAATCAGTCAGTACCGAAAATTGAAGACCGATCAATATTGAATTTATTCATCAAATTAACGCGGATAAATGAACGATTCGTATGAATTTTTTTTTCTTATAGAGAAATGAAAGAGTAAATCAGTACCGAAAATCGAATATCGATTAATACCATAAATCAGTGTCAAAAAATTGTCCAAGTGCAATGACAATTTGTTCTCATTTTTCAGGTACTTACCCCTCTAATCTTATTCAACAAATTAACTCGAATAAACGAATGATTCATATCAATTTTTCTTGTCTTATAAAAGAAAAGAGAGAATAAATCAGTACCGAAAATTGAAAACCGATCAATATTTAATTTATTCATCAAATTAACGCGGTTAAATGGACGAGTCGTATCAACTTTTTTTTCTTGTAGAGGAATGAAAGAGTAAATCAGTACCGAAAATCGAATATCGATCAATACCAGAAATCAGTGTTAGAAGATTGCCCAAGTGCAATGACAATTCGTTCTCATTCCTGAGTCTTTTCCGAGTCGAAATATTAATTCTACATTGATCCTGCAAATTGCATCCAATTTGAAAAATCAATGTAGAATATCTAGGTGCGCAATAGTGAACAAGCTTTGTCCTACCTGAACGTTACATCTGGCTACTCTCGCAGTCTCGCCCATGATGAGTCTTCAACAGCGGCGTATTCCGCAGTTATTTAATACTTGTTTATTTCGATAATGTATATGTACTTAATCCTTATATTCTTAATTTAAATGAGCAATTTTTGTTGATTTTGATTATATATTCGCTTAACAGCACAAGAAAGAGAACAAAGATAAAAACGTAAATAGAACTGCCTTTGTTAGAACTGCGCGTGAGATAAATATATAAGGATTAAATAATCATATAAGAATTAGAGGAAATGGGGGATGAAAAACACTTTTTATTCTCATCATTCTTAAAGTTCTTTTTTCCTTTTTTCTTCTTTTTTTTCTTTTCTTTTTTTCTAATGAGAATGATGAGAATTGTAGCTCTTAAAAGAGCTGAAGCTGCAAAAAGACAACGGTTATGTCTAATAATGCTGTTTCACTAATAGAGATTTTAATTCTGATTCGGTACAATAAGAAAGATAAACAAGAATGAGAAACGGACATTCTAGCAGATTCTAAACGAAAACAGCAATCTGAACATTATTAGACGAATAAAAATCAACACTTGTAAAATTTATATCAGATTCTAAGATCATTATTCATAGTTTTTTTAAATTGCAATTTAGTTTTTTTAAAGTGCAATTTTTCATTGAGAACATAATTAAAAATTTGTATTCATAAACCTTAGCTTGCCTCAGCAACCTTGTTTGAATAGACATTCATATTTTACGAGAAAAGAAAAGTAGAACTCATGTTACGTGAAATTAGTTTAACGAATAATCAAATCTCAAGCTATTTTTCAGATGATAAACTATGAATGCTGATCTAATTTCGACTCGGGTATGTTCTTACTTCGAGTAAGGTCCGTTAAAATTAGAAAAATCCTGCATAATAATAATTACTCGAGGTACCTCGAATACCATACATGATGTATCGCTGTCCTCGGCTACGTCTCTCGGCGCGCTCCGAGTCCTCTCTCCATCCTGACTTTTCGATCCGACGTCCTCCTTCTGGTTACTCTGTCGCAGCACCCCCGGATACTCCATCGTAGCACTGGCGACGACACTGACTCTAGCTCTAACATTCGCGCCAGTAAGATTCGGGGACAAAGAAACGCGTATTAACCGACACTGCTCTGCGTCGCGGCATGCGCGTCGTTCGTCGGCCCGAGGCGCAATGTCCTTTCCGCAATCACGGAGTCATATATAAGCGTACGAAAACAAACAATCGGGAAGGCACGGTTACCCCCCACCTTGCCGATCAATGTTAATGCCTGCGTCGTCTGTTAGCTGAAAATGAAAACAACTCGTGTTTTCAAAGCATGCCTGAGAGAGAGAGAGAGTCGCTTCAAACTTCACAATAATTATTTACATCTGTTCCAAGAATCATATTACGCTGAATTCAAACTCTATTTTGACATGACATACACGAGATCTGCGATCACATCATTGATCTTTCTTTGGACAAGAAAATCCTGAGAGGAACGCTGTTCGAGAATATCACATTTTATGTTTCAGGTGCCT